TAAAGGAAGCAATAAACACAAAATAAAAAGCCAGGCTTGGCAGTGTACACCTATAATACAGGCACTAAAGGACCTAAATCACCAAGTAATTACTGCCCCACAGAGAGGCCCCTGAAGAAAACACAACGGGTAAAATAATGCTGTAATTCATTCATTCTTGAACAACTAAAGCACAGCTTTACCAACTATGGAAAAGAAGGAAAGGCACTATGGTGACTCATGCCTGTTAACTCCAGCACTGGGTAGGAGGGTGTTGTAAGTTTTAGATCAGTCTGAGCTACACAGTAAGTAGTTGACCGGCCAGTGCTACATACTAAGATCCCCATCTCAGGAAAAGAACTATATTATTAAATACTCTCACCCCCTTAGATATTACCAGTAGACTTTTGACAGTGTATCCCTGGCTGTCCTAGAACTCCTCTGTAGACCAAGTTGCCCTCGAACTCACAAACATCCACCTGCCTCTGTCTCCTTAATGCTGGGATTACAGACGTGCATCATCACCACCCAGCTAAGTGTATGCTACCCGTACACTTAAGAACTAACTACTACCTATATAGCTGTTGGGACTTCCCTGGCCTCTAGAGTAGCAGCTAAACAACCTACTCTGTACTGGGAAAGCATAGTGGAGGATATGCTTTTGAAATGTTGTTATGTCTAGTTCCAGGTTTAAGCATCTCAGGAGTTGCAAAATTAAGCCAAACCATTACTTCAGTAACACCAGATGCTATGACCAAGTATCAAGTATGAAGTCCTAAAGACATGTTTTTGAGAAAGCTGGTCAGGCTGACCTGAGACCAAATACTAAATTTACTTTTATTAGCAGGCTTCCTTGATCAGCTTCTTTAACTGCTGCCTCAGTTCCCCCACCAAGACCTGGATGCCTTTTGCAGTGCCAACATTGCCTGAAGTAAGCACAGATCCCATGAGGCAAGCACTGGTCACTAATTCTAGTAAGTGTTACTGTACATGGGCACCTGAACTTCTGAGTGACCAGCTAGCTATAAGTCAGCATCTTGAACAACTTTAGGATAGATAGTTCACTATAGCAGTTCACGTAACAAAGGGCACAGCCTAAGTACAGCCCAGTGGAAGAGATGCATGGTGCTAGCGGAGATGGTTCCATGCCTTCTGCTGACAGACCACCCACACACCCAAAATCTTCACAAGGCTTACTTCCTGGAAGCTCCCCAAACTCATCATTTAGGAATTTTATGGAGGTTTCACTTCATAGGCAGGGTTAATAAAGTCATTAGTCACTTGTGACTAACTAATCTTCAGTCTCTCGTCTCATGGGAATGGTGAGAGAAAGAGTTCTAACACCCAAAGCACATGGTTTCTCTGGGGACCAGTCCCAATTCCAAAGTCACCTACAAGCACATCAAGGTTCTGCCTCTTAACAGACCTCAGAGACTTTGAAAGACTCTCCTTGTGAACAATGAAACATGCTCCTATCACTCTCCCTGAAGAACTTCCAAGGGTTTGTTCTGGTCAGGAACCAGGGACAAAGATCAAATATTCATTTCCTATTATCACATGTGTGCCTAAGAACTTGGACCCTTTCTGGCTTTGGCACAGTATGCCTCCCTGAGATCTGGATCACTCAGACCTGTATTCCAGTGGAACTTCTGGAAGTCTTATCTGCTCACCTACCACAATAGTCTTCTTCTTTGTCCTTATCCTTCCCCACCCCCCCTACCAGAGGGGAACCCTGCAGGTGTCCAGGCAGGGAAGATAGTAAGGATCAGGGAGTCTAATGCCAGGCTGTTCATTTAAATATTTAAAACACATTTGGGAAAAGATTTCCAGGCAACAATCACTTCAATCCAAGTACACAATGGAGCATAAGGTGTGACTACATAGAAACTCCTTTGCAAGGTACATGTGACCATGAGGGTGGGTTCTATAGCTAAACAGCCAGGAAGCTAGTGTGGCCTCTGACTGGGATAGCATAGAGGTCAGCAGGCCAATATACGTGTGACATTCCACCCTCAGGGTGGGTTCCACTGAGATCTAAAGATAGCAGACTAGGGAAGGAAGATTCTAGGATAATCATCCTGAGGAATTTGGGAGAGGTCTATCTCTGTAACAAAAACTGGGTGAGGTCTGCCTCCACAAATAGCAAAAAAAAAATTACCAAGTTCTTAGCAATATCATTCATATATATATATATATATATACATATATATATATATATATTCATTCACACACACACATTTTCAGATATTTTATTTCACCCCCCCAAGGAGACACCCTGCTTCATTAACATTCTTGGTTTTCTAAGTGCTTCTCTGTAAGTCCAAGGAGCTTTGTGCCTCCAACACCTACCCTGCTCCATTCTAAGAGAATGTAATTTCCCTAAAGGAAAGGTCTTAAGTCATGGTTGGATCTTCAGACCTCAGCATTTCTGACACAGTACTCAAAACAGCATTTGCTGAACAATAGCAGGAAAAAAAAAATGGTAATAAAATAATAGCAGCAAATGCCAGGGCTGGAGCTGGGTGTGTAGTCACTGGAGGGATGCTAGGGCCCCTAAGTAGGTATTCAGCATAAAATTAAAACAAAAGCCTATATCAAAGCATCAAGAGCACAAGGCCAGGGACTTGATTTTCAGCATTGAAAAAAAAAAAAAAGACAGAAAGGGGAATGGGTTGTGAGGATTGAATGAAAAAGAGTGAACACAGAGAAGTTAAAATACACCATCTAGCACATCGTCAGCTGTGACTCTGGCTAAAGACATTATCAATGTAATTCACAAGAGGGTGAGGTCAACATGGGCCAGAGCAGTTAACAACCACTCCAAGGAGAGGCACAGGTCTTGAATCTCATCTGGTTAGATAAAGACTTTGCTCTCTCATGGGACAGGGCAAAAGATAGGACATGTCTCCTCCTCTGCTCTTGCCAACCCAAACCAGTGTATGCTGTCCTCACACCATGGATCAAATGCAGTTTTCATACTCTAAGAATTACCTACCCACCAGACTCTCTCTCTCTGCCCACCCATTAACCCACTCTCCTTTCTACACGCCAGAGTCTAAATGAATTTCACTAACAAGGGACACTCAATAAAACTGCTGGATTAATTAACTTTATAGACCTGTACAAAAGGAGCAAGTCATCCAGACCTAAAGAAATACTCAAGTATACATATACTAAAAAACAAATATAGGCAAGGTGGTGGTGGCACATGCCTTTAATCCCAGCACTTGGGAAGCAGAGGCAGGTAGATCTCTGTGAGTTCAAGACCAGCCTGGTGGCTCCAAAGCCACAGAGAAACCCTGTCTGGAAAAACAAGGGGGGTGAGGGGTGGGGGGGGGAATCAAGTATAGGACTGGCTGAATGGCTCTGTGAATGAAGGCACTTGTCACCAAGCCTGATCACTTTTCCCCCACCATGCACACATAAAATAATGTATTTTCTTTTACTCAAGTACAAATAAGGCAAGATGGCTCACTGGGTAAAAGCACCTGCCTTTAACCTGATGACCTGAGTTCAGTCTCCAGAACATACATGGTGGAAAAAGAGAACTAACTCCAGCAAGTTGCCCCTGACCTTCATAACACACACACACACACACACACACACACACACACACACACACACACACACACACACACACTAAACGGTTCAAGTGCAAAGATCATGTCAACTTTGAAATAGGGAAAGAAAGCAACCAGCAGAACCACCCACAAGGGAACCATCAATGGGCTATGGGGATACCTATGTCACTTTGTGAAATAATCTCCAAAATATGGTTACCTGGAAAAAAAAAGTCGAATATACAACGTGATTTCAATTAGGCAAGGCAAAATATTTTAAAACAACAAACACACAAATCTTTAAGAATTGTTCATATGCCTGAGACCTACAAGTGTCAGTAATACTTGCGGACAGGAGACGAACGTGAAGAACTAGAAAACAGATCTGCTTTTCTTGCTAAATATATCCGTACTGTTTGCATTTTTAAGAGGTTGCATCAATTAACTGCTTGTATTACTAAAATGAGTGCTTTTAAGCTACGGGACTTGGATGTAGACCGTATGAGAAGCCAGGCGACGACTAATCCAGCCCCAGGTAACTATTTCTGAGCAACTAGAGCTTTTTACACAGCAACCCCACGCTCAAAGTGCAGAAAAGTGCTGGGCTCGAAAAGGTTGAACGCCAGAGGACCAGAGGCATACTCGATCTAGACGGCTTTCCTCCAGACCACCCCTTGAGCTGGGCTCTGTGGGGAACGTGTCCTCAGTCACGAGTCCGGGAGGAAGCGAGGAGGAAAGCGCTTCGGGCAGGTGCGCACAACGCGCGGGTCTGGGGAACGAAACTTACTTTCTGACTGGCCTCTCTGGCTGTGACCTGCCTCTCCTGCTCAGGCACGGTCCGCACACACGACAACTTCTTCCTGGGATCCATCCCCGAGCCCAAAGGTCACCCGGTCAGGGGAGGGAAGAGCGACTTTACAAGCCAGAGAGAGGAGGCGCGAAGATGCGCATCTGCGGTTCCTAAGGACCACACGGCTCTGACCTGCGAGCCCGGGCGCTGCAGACCCGATGCAGCGAGGTTCGCGGTGCTCTGGGGAGGAGGTGCAGCCCGGGACCGCAGCCGCGGGACACCTGCTGCCGCGCAGCTCCCTCTCCACGCCGCGTCCAGCTCCTGCGGCCGCCGGGGACCCGCCGCCACCTCTCAAAGAGTGGACTCTTGAACTGGAAGATCAGCTCGCCGCCCGCCCGGACCTCCCATTGGATCCCAACCGGCTGCCCCTTCCGCGGTGGGGGCGGGGCGGGACGCCCGCAAGGGGTCTTCCAGCCTGGAGGGGGGGCGAGGTCAGGGGACGCTGTCCATCACAGACCCAGACCACGCCCCCCGGCTCCCCCACGCCCATCACCACTGTAGTGCGGCCCAAGTGGGCGGGCCCATGCGCGCCCCGCCTGTGGGAAGCGGCTGTTTGGCAGCCCGTAGGAAGGCGGCGGGGGCGTGGCTAGAACGCACGCTTCCGCGGGAGCCAATAGAGTAGAAGAACAGCCGAGCGCTTCCGGGCTGCGAGATTGGGGGTGGGCAAGATGGCGGCGGACAGCGGGAGCTGGCAGCTGGACGCGCTGCTGAGGTGAGGAGCTTGGGGGCCTGAGCTCAGGGGGTGTCCCCTCCTCGGTGGACGTACTTCGGGCAGCCCAGCTGGACTTTGCCGAGGAGCTGTCTTTGTCGTGCCTCAGTTTACCGCAGATGTTACTGGCCGAGCAGCTGTTTGCCGCTCCTCTCTCTCTGCTTCTCTGATTCTCGACCATCTGTTGATTTACTCTTTTCCAGTTTGAGGTTTAATTTATAAATACATTTTTAAAGATAAATGTTATTTTCTATGTAGAAACTTATGTCATAGAAATAATAAATAGGGATGCTAACCTCCAGGTGATTACCACTGTTGTGATAGTTCAGAAGATGTTCCTGACTTATGGATGCCTCTACTGAAGTTCTGCCAACACTTTGTCAGGTTAACATTTTAGAGCCAGCAGCCCGGCCATGGTGGCGCACACCTTTAATCCCAGCACTCTGGAAGCAGAGGCAGGCGAGTCTCTCTGAGTTTGAGGCCAGCCTGGTCTACACAGTGAGTTCCAGGACAGCCAAAGCTATACACAGAGATACTTTGTCTCAAAAACGTAAAAGAAGAAAAGGAAAATTTAGAGCTAGTATAACGGCTTTGTGAGGAACAGTGGATATATGCTTTTGCCAGATAGATGCACCTTCATTTTTGTACTTTCTGCTTCAAGTTCTAAGGTGATTGTTAAAAATATAAATAAGCTGGCCAACAATGGTGGTGCACGCCTTTAATCACAGCACTCAGGAGGCGGATGCAGGAGGGTCTCTGTGAATTCGAGGCCAGCCTGATCTACAAAGCCACACAGAGAAACCCCATCTCAAAAAAACAAGACAAACATATATATATAGTATTTTAATTAAATACGGGTAAATATTGACTAGGAATTAAATGTTTACCTGGCATGTATGAGGCCCTGAATTCACTCACCACCCCTAGAGGTGGGGGAGTATTAAAAATAATTGGATATTTTGTTGTCAGACTTACAAGCTACAGAAATTCTCTCGGATACTAAGATATTAAGCAAATATGTAAAAGTAAACTTTAATTTGTAGCCTTATTTTTAAATTATCAGCAGATTGATTTTTCACCTTTTATTTATTTCAGATTTTTTTATTCACTGTTCTTTCCTGGACTAATTATATGTGGCGTTCTGTGTGTGTGTTTGGTCATTGTCCTTTGGATAATCAGAAGACATCTACAGAGAAAGAAAAAGTCAGTCTCAACCAGCAAAAATGGAAAAGAGCAAATGGTGGTTGCATTTTTTCATCCTTACTGTAATGCGGGCGGTGGAGGAGAGAGAGTTCTCTGGTGCGCCTTGAAAGTCCTGCAGAAAAAGTAGGTATGCATCTTTCTTAGCTAATAAGCTGTACTGCTGCTTGACTCCTAAGAGCATACTGAATTTTAGGTTCAGCACAGTGTTAACACAGCAATCTTTACAAAAATGAAATAAGTAACTATATAGTTTAGGTGAGCATTTGTGTATGCTTGTGTGCTCATGCATGTAGAGGCCCAGAGCTGATGCTGTGTGTCATACTCAGTGCTCTCCACTTTTTATTGAAGCAGGATCTCTATCTGAACCTGGACCTCAGGATCCTGCAAACATAGCTAGCCAGCTTGCCCAGAGAGTCCCATGTCTCTACCTTTCAGAGTGCTGGGATTATACACAGCTGCCACTATTTTTTTTTTTTTTTTTTTTTTTTTTTTTTTTTTTGGTTTTTCAGGACAGGGTTTCTCTGTAGCCTTAGAACCTGTCCTGGAACTCACTCTGTAAACCAGGCAGGCCTCAAACTTACAGAGATTTCCCCCTACCTCTGTCTCCTGAATGCTGGGATTTAAGGTGTACACCACCACCACCCAGCCCAATAACTGCCACTTTTATGTGGGTTCAGGGGTTGTAAATACTGGTCCTCACACTTGTGTGGCATGTTTTATTCACTGAGCCATATCCTTGGTCCAAGTCTATAGTTTAATAGTTAAATATTAATATAAATAATCAGGATATAATTATGTAGGAACGTAGACACACACACACACATGTTACTTATGTGTTCAAGAGAATTTGTTACATTAGAATTAGTTAAGTACCTGAGGAAGTCTGTCTGAAAATTGGGGTACCAAAAAAGGGAACAGTATGTCTATAACTACTTTAAAATAAATTTTTAAAGGTTTTTTTATTTTATACTTATATTACCTGCATGTATAAAATGCTCCATAAGCATGCACTGCCCATTTGATCCTTATGAGCTGCCATGTGGGCACTGGGAACCAAACCCAGGTCATATGTGAGAGCATCAAGTACTCTTGACCATGACACATGTCTCCAGAGCCAAGAACTAATTTCTTAAAGGAATATGATTAACTGTTCCTAACCAGTTAAACTTCATAATGTAGAGACACATTTTTGGAAGCAATAAGGGGGAGAAATACTAAATAATGCTTTAGAATTATGATTCTGTCAAGGCTGGGAGTGTAGGTTAGCAGTTAGGAGTGCTTGCTACTCTTCCAGAGGACCTTAGGTCAGTTCCCAGCATCCAAATCAGATAGTTTATAACTGCCTGTAACTCTAGCCCTCTGCAGACCCCTTGCCAGACACACATACACTTTGGCTTTTTTGTTTATTTTCTGTGGTTCTAAAGGTTGAACTCAGGACCTTATACATGATGGACAAGTGCTCTACAGCTAAGCTACTTAAAATAAAATTTTTATTATGTACTAAAAGTGGAAACCCCTCTCATTAATATGTCAGAAATTTCTGTTGGAATTTGATCCATTTAAAACCCATAGTAGAAGAAATGGCAAATAATTAGATGACATGATTTCTTAGTCTCATCAAATGACTATAGCATAATACCTTAGACTGGATAGTTTATAAAGAAGAGAAATTTATTGCTCATAATTCCAGAGGTTGGGAAATCCACAATCCAGAGCCAAAGGATGTGACTCATTTTGTAGGTGACTGCTACTTGCTGCATCTTCATGTTGTATATTACACCTGTACAAGGTTCAGTCTTCAGCAGCAAAAACTACATTTAAAAAGGCACAATTCCTGTTAAGCCCATTGTGAGTCCCTTTCCTTTTGTGCCACTCAATAGAGACTAGATGTCAGCTGCAGAATTTGTGGGTGACAAACTACAGTACATGGTCTCATTTGAAAACTTAAGAGTAAAAAAATCTCAAGGAAGGGTGGAGTTAGTAGTTTAAATGTAATAAATGAAAAAAGGGTAGAAAACGTTTTTAGTATAAGAATAAGCTTGTTTATGACTATGAGGAAATTGTAACATTTGGCTTAAGTTTAACCTAAATTACATTTTGTTCCAGGTATCCTGACGCGGTTTATGTTGTGTATACTGGTGACATTAATGTCAGTGGTCAACAGATACTAGAAGGTGCTGTCAGAAGATTTAACATCAAGTTAGCTCACCCAGTGCAGTTTGTTTTCTTAAGGAAACGCTACCTTGTGGAGGATTCTCGGTATCCCCACTTCACATTGCTAGGCCAAAGCCTTGGATCCGTTTTTCTTGGCTGGGAAGCACTGATGAAGCGTGTTCCTGATATTTACATCGATTCAATGGGATATGCATTCACACTGCCTCTGTTTAAATATGTAGGGGGCTGCCAAGTTGGGAGCTATGTCCACTACCCCACTATCAGCACTGACATGCTCTCTGTAGTGAAGAATCAAAACACTGGATTCAATAATGCAGCTTTCATTAGCAGAAACGCCCTTCTCAGCAAAGCAAAGCTCATCTACTACTATTTGTTCGCCTATATTTATGGTCTTGTCGGTTCTTGCAGTGATATAGTCATGGTGAATTCTTCTTGGACACTAAACCATATTCTCTCACTGTGGAAAGTCAGCCATTGCACTAACATTGTTTATCCACCTTGTGACGTGCAGACATTTCTGGACATCCCCTTACATGAGAAAAAGTTGACCCCGGGACATTTGCTGGTTTCCATTGGCCAGTTCAGGCCTGAAAAGAATCACGCTTTACAGATCAAAGCCTTTGCTAAGCTGTTACATGAAAAGGTAGCCAAGTCACACCCTTCACTTAAACTTGTCCTTATTGGAGGGTGTCGAAACAGAGATGATGAGCTTCGAGTAAGCCAGCTGAGAAAACTGTCTGAAAATTTGGGAGTTCAAGAAAATGTGGAATTTAAAATAAACATTTCATTTGATGAACTAAAGAATTACCTATCTGAAGCAACAATTGGGCTACATACCATGTGGAATGAGCATTTTGGGATTGGTGAGTTTTTCTTTCCAGCAAATTGTTTGCTACTGCAAGATATGCATTAAGGTCCTTGTCTTAATTATCTTTCTATTGATGTCTTAATTACCTTTCTATTGCTGTAACAAATGCCATGACTAAGGCAACTTGTAAAAGAAGCATTGGGAGCACATGGTTTCAGGGATAGAATCTGAATTAGCAGCACGAAGGCATGGGGCAGAAAACAGCTGAAAGTTTACATCTTGATCCACAGCATAGAGTCAGAGAGAGAGGCAGAGAATGCTTTTGAAATGGCAGGGCCTGCCTCAGTGACAAACCTCCAAGACCACAGCTCCTAATCCTTCCCAAACAGCTCCACCCACTGGGAATCATGTTCTCCTCCAAACCACTACAGTTCCTGTGATTGTTCTAGAAGCCTCTTCTAAGGCTCTAAGTCACTCTAACAAATCCTTGAAGTCATATACTTAGTCTTTTCAATTCTGTTCCCTTGGAGACCCCTGACTAATACAGAGTGGCACAGGTAGCTGCAGATGTGGCAAAGATCACTGGAGGAAAATGAGAGCAAGAGTAGCCCAGTAAAGAGCTAAGTGGGCACAGGTGAGCAGGCAGAAGAGGAGGAGGCTGCACAAGTGGTCACGGATTGTGCTTGGCAAATATGGAACTGGGATTTAATGACAAAAAGGAGAGGAGCTGGGCCCCAGGCTGCACACTGAGGAAAGAAAGAGGCCATCAGTAACCTAGGGAAAGATCAGTGTGGTAGAGAACAGGAAGTAAAGGTGAACCATGATAGATGGAGCATTGAGTTACAAAAGAGCACATGGAGTCTGGAATACAGACAGCATTGTTGCTAAGTCTGTTTATGAAAGGAAGTGAAAGAGTGTAACTAGGGAAGGCTGGATAGAGTAATTTATACCTTCACATACGTCATGTGGCAGGCAATAACCAAAACTTACCCATCACCTTGCTGTTGAACACAGGCAGCTGTGTGTTTTGTGAGCAGCAGACACTTTAGTTCTCAAAGGTAGTTTACACTTTCCTTTGGATGTTTTTCTCTCTCACTTTCTGATATATATTCATCCTTTTATCATCTTGGCAATATTGCATAGTCTTCTATTTTGTGTAGTATGTTCTTCCCTGCCTTCGTTGAGACAGGGTCTCACATAGCCCAGCCTGGCCTGGAACTTGCTGTGTAACTAGGGATGACCTTGAACTATTGATCTTCCCCTGTCTATCTCCCAGTGGCTAGGAATATAGGTGTGCACCATCATATGTAGTGTTTAATGTGCTAGGGTTCAAACCCAGGGTTTCATGCATGCTAGGCAATCACTCTACCCACTGAACTATAGCCTCAGTCCTAGTATATTGGCTTTATAGGATATTTCTGTAGTCCTCCATCTACTTGCCTTTTTGAATAAAGCAGCATTATTATGACACTTTGAAGACTAAAAGGCTTAAAGACATGGTTGCTGGGGAGGTAGCTCACTGAGTATACTGCTCACTGTACAAGCAATAGAACCTAGGTTAAGCCCCCAGCAGCCATGTAAAATGCAGGTGTGACAGCATACCTGTGATCCCACTACTGGTGGTAGTAGTGGTGGAGAGTCTAATGCAGTGGTTCTCAACCTTCCTAATGCTATGACCCTTTAATATAGTTCCTCATGTTATAGTGACCCCAACCATAAAGATTATTTTCATTGCTACTTCATAATTGTAATTTTGCTACTGTTATAAATGGTAAATATCCAGTGGTCTTAAGTGACTTGTGAAACAGTTGTTCAACCCCTTCACCCCAAAAGGGTTTCAACCCACAGGTTGAGAACTGCTGGTCTAGTGGATCTTTTAGCTCACTGGCCAGACAATCTAGACAAAACAGTGAGCTCCAACATCAGTGAGTGTGTGGACGATCACTGGAGAGCACTAGAGCAAGCCGAAGTCAACCTCTGGCTTGCATGGGTACCTTCACAGACAAGCACACACAAAGAACCTTAAATTTATTTTATATCATGTTAAATAAGCAAACTTCTAGACTCAGAAATGTTTAATCAAATGTTTCTTGGGCTCAGGATTTTTTAAGTTTTGTTCATCAAAAACTTAAAGACTTGTGTTGTTGTCGTTGTCGTCTTTCTCAGGAGTTGTGGAGTGTATGGCTGCTGGAACAATCATCCTTGCACACAATTCAGGAGGCCCAAAGCTTGACATTGTCATTCCTCATGAAGGACAAATAACTGGATTTCTGGCTGAGAGCGAAGAAGGCTATGCTGAAGCCATGGCTCATATTCTCTCTCTGTCTGCAGAAAAGAGGCTTCAAATCAGAAGGACTGCTCGAGCATCTGTAAGCAGGTTTTCTGACCAGGAGTTTGAAGTGTCGTTCCTGTCTTCTGTGGAGAAGTTACTTACATAATGCCAAATCTGTACACATTGTAGATATGTTATACAAAATGGAACTAGGGGTGTGGAGCAGAGGTAGAGCCTGTGCAAGGTCCTACATTCCATCCCCAGCATCAAAAAGTAAGAAGAAATACTTCATTTGGAAACACCTTCCCATGTAAATATTTTCTAAATGCATTCTCTATTGTAATAAAGGCAACCTGAGCAATATTTTCAGCAATGTGTATATAGAGAAGGTAGTGTTTAACAAAATGACAAAATTAGCTGTATGGAAAAATTAAGCTCATGTAGCTTAATATGCATTAGAATTTGGTCACAAAATCTGAACAGTACAAATCTCAAAGAAAAAACTACCAATCAAATATTTTTATATTCATCTTTTAACTTTTTGAAATTTCTTCCTTTCCTTATTTTAATCCTTGAATATTCCTGCCTCCACCTCCCAGAATGCTAAGGTTGGAGGAATGCAGTAACATGTCCAGTATATGATGAGCCTCACAGAGGCTAGACAAGCACTCTACCAACTGACTTGCATCCTAAGCCCCAGATCTTATTTTTCGAATCACTTTACTTTAGAAGAAAACTTACTGGGTATTTGTTTTATGATGATGCTGGAGAGAGAATGTAGAACCTCAAAGTGTAAAGTCAGAGCAGGGACATCTGAATCCCTAGCACTACAGAGTGCACGGAGCCAACCTCAGCCAAAGACTTCCTTCTAAAGGGAAGGGAAGTTCTGAGAGAAACAGCAGGTAATTGCTGGCACTTTGAAATTTATTCTTATATTTTGGGAATAAATTCTGTTAGAGATTAAACACAGAGCCGTGCTCATGGTACACAAGTGTTCAAACCTGTGAGTGCTTTACCCCAACCCCAAGTCCTAGCACACAGCAGCATGGGTAACTCTTTTGAGTATACCTAATAATTTTCTTAAAAGGAAAAAGCAGCTTCAAACAGGCATCTCTAACCCTACTCCAAAGCATCAGTCAAGAGATGGAATGACTGATTTCTTCATGGGTGTGTACAGATAGGTTGAAGTCAAAACACAGACAACAATCCTTCCCATAACTAGGTTTGTGTGGAAGTTTGTTAGAGCCAACCACAGTTCTTTTCTGTGAGTTTCTCATTTTTAACAGTCCTACCCACGTAATACTAAAAGTCAGCCTCAATTCATTCAAGAGAATATCAAGCTAAGTTGCTTTTCTGAAACTATGTCATATCATGGTGCCCCCACAGTGTGAAGGATCATGAGATGACATTTTGGTCGTAGTTAGCATTCTGGGCTGGACCTCGCTTCACCATTTACGGATGTCTGACCTGCTAACACTAAAGCTATGCCTTAATTTTTCTTTTATTCTTGGATACTTCATCTGAAATCAAGCTTTACCTTCAGAATTATGATGCAAGATATGAAGTGTATAAAGCTACTCTAAAGATTAAGCATTGCTTTAGCAAAAGTAGCAACCAAAAATACAGTGACCTGATTGGGAAAATGATGTATGAAGTATGTGCCGGCGTGGCTTTTAGCCCACTCTGTTATTTTATGGCTAGTCTTTGAGGTAAGATTTGGCTAAAGCTCACTCAGCCTACCCATTGACACAAAATAATAGGACTAAAGATTATAGAAATTGGAATGAAGAAAACAGGATGTGATGAAAGAAAGGATTCTTGATTTCCTAACACTGTTACACTAACTTATCAAAATTATTTTCATGAATCCAAAGCATAAAATACGGTTTACATGTATATTCTTTTCCATGTTCCTAACAAGCTACTGCAGATTTTTTTTTTAACTAGATTTCAGGTACTGTGCAAAATGTCAAGGCTCATCTTCAACTGTTTCTAGGAAACTTTTGAGTGGCTATTAAGTCCTCTACAGTTGTGATTTTTCAGTGGTCCAAGCATTCTCTCTCTTGAGTTCACAGCACTGGGGATTCACATTGCTACTTTACAGTGAGTAACATCACAACTCTGAAGTATATGTTACATAGTCTTTGTATAATATATTTATAAATAATTGTGATGTAGAGCTATTGATACAAAATCTACTTGTATCTAAATCTGATGGGTGATTTCTAATTCAATTAAAATATTTATATTATTTTTCCACTTCCTCTTTCCCTTCAGATCTTTCTACCTCTGGAATTCCTGGTCTCTTTTCCTTTAATTATTATTGCTACATGTGTATGCAAATAAATGTGTAAATGCAACCTGCTGCATCCCTTTGCTGTTGCTTGTCTGTGTTTGTTTTTAGGGATGACGACTGGTATTGGAAAACCAGTTAGGGGGTTCATCCCTGGGGAAAACTAATTCTCTTAGCAGTCATTAATTCCCTGTAGCTCTTAATCTAGGGAGGAGGCTGTCAACCTGTGTACTGAGACCCCTTTGGGGGGGTCACATATCAGATATCTTGCATAGAAGATATTTACATTACTATTTATAGCAAAATTACAGTTATGATGTACCAATGAAATAATTTTATGGTTGATGATGAACTGTATTAAAGAGTCACAACATTAGGAAGGTTGAGCACCACTGATCTAGGGATTATGCCATGTAAGATTTCCTCATCCAATTTGATAGTTCAACTGATGTGGTCAATGCTCAGGTCTTCTTTAGGCATACTGTTGAGATTTTGTGGGTACAGATTCCCTGTCTGTCATATCTAAAAGAATATTGCAACAGACTACCTGGTTCTCTAGCTCTTAAAATCTTTTTGCCCTTCTGTAATGTTCAATGAACCTTGGGTGTAAAGGTTGTGTTGTAGTGTATCAGTATTGGGGCTGGGCACCACATAAAAAGATGTTCTCTACACTTTGAGCAGATGTAGAGTTCTGTAATGGTCTGCATCTGCTGCAAAAAGAAGTGCCTGTGGTGAGAGCTGGAAATTACACTTCTCTGTGGGTATAAAGATAAGTATCTAAAATGCAGTTAAGAATTACACTGGTTTATGAAAGTGGCAGTAATACATCCTTCTCCAAAAGCCATGACCTCACTAGCCAGGCATGATCCCTTCTGTTGAGTAAGTCTCAACACTCTTAGCAGCCAAACCATCTCTCCAGCCCTTTATAGATGCTTTAAGTGAGTTAGAAATAGTTATATCTCACATACTTGGTTTGGTGTTGGGAACCAAACCCAAGTTCTTGTGCATGCTAAACATGTAGCTTATCTCTGAGCTATACCACCAGCCCCCATATACCTTACTTTAATAATTTCCAGAGTATTTTACAGGATCATAATATAAGCAAAATTATGATAAGTACCAGTGTTGTTATTAGTACTTTCAGAATATGTTTCAGAATGTTATTTAAAAGTATTCCTGACTCCAAAACCTTGATATGAATAAATGTGGAGTGCATCTGTGTTCATGTCAGTGAATACAACAGAAAAGTTACTTCTTTTACATAGCTATGATAGGAACTTCTGCAAATTTCTAGAAGAAAATTGGTTTCTGCAATTTACCTCATTTCTCCTGCTGTCCTTCCTCTTAACTCTACTTGCTCCAAAATGTAAGATCACCCTACCTTTGGGAAAACAACAGTTCCTGAATTCTATCGCTATTTGTTCCCTTGGACTCTATGTAAATGTTACAAGATACTTAGAAGGTAAGTGGAAGGGTTAGTACAGTTTTACTACCATTTGAGCAAGGACCAATAGCTGCCATATTACAGCCAAAGCTGGGTTGTTTTTTGTTTGTTTGTTTGTTTTGTTTTGTTTTTCCCTAATAAATTTCATTTTAAAGACAAACACATAGAGATAGGAACAAATAGTTTCAATTTAATAGAGCTAAGCTAAAAACAGCATTCATCAGAGTTGTCCCCCAAGAGCATAATTAGGGCAAAGTATAACTCAGTAAGATAGTGGATTTTCTTTAAGGACATGAATTCCCATCAATGAGAAATAAGCATTACTCATACTTGGACATTTTGACTAGCATTGGATGATCTGTGGCTTTAGCAATACAGATTAGACAGGCCAAACTCTAGTTAGACCTTCACTGGGTTTTCTAGACTGCCAAGTTTATCCTTTCTTTCTCTCCTGACTTTTCAGCATTCTTGGAGGAGCTGGGAGCCTCTTCTCTTTCTTCTGTGGAAGTTGCAAGTTTTTCTAGGGATTCTATTATTTCACTTCTCAACTCATCTTCAGATTCTTCAAATTTCCTGAAAGAATAAGCAGTCAAAATCAGTGTTATGATATAAATGCAGTAATAGGAAAACTAGTTTCTTTTTTCATTCCCTGCTTCCACCTAAGTGTTAATACAAGTAGGATTTTCATCAGATAACAAATTATTATATCAACCTGGCTTAGGGAGGAAGTATATGTGACTGAATGTGTGTAGATACAGACGCAGGTGCCTACATACATTCATGCAAAGGCCAAAGAAGGACATGGGGAGTCCTGCTCTGTCACTCTGCATTATTCATTCAAAACTGTTCTTCATTAAACTAGGCTCCAGCTAAGCCAACAATCATATTGCCTGCCTCTGCTCACAGCACAGGATATAGGCACACAAAGCCACACCTGGTTTAGGTGGGTGCTGGGCTCCGAACTTAGTTCTTCATGCTTATGCCTACCTAGAAAAGAAAAGTTTACTGTATAACATGGTTACATTGGGCTGGGGGTGTGGTTCAGTTGGTACAGTGCTTGCCTAGCCTATAAAGTCGAGCCCTTGCTACACGTACTGATTAAAGATGGTGCACATCCCTATAAACCCAACACACAAGAGGTGGAAAGAGAAGATACAGAAGTTTAGGGTTATCCTTGACTACACAGCAAGTTTGAAGCCAGTCTGGAATTCCTGAATCCCTGCCTCAAAAACAGAAACAAACACCACCCCCATCAAATGGTTACTCTAGAAGCAGCCCCATGTAGCTTGTATGTAGTGTTTGTTCACTATAGCAAGAGGTCATGTGATTCAGGCATAGTGGTGCAGGCCTGTAATCCTAGCACTCAGGAAGCAGAGGCAGGTTGAGTTGGAAGCTCTCCTAGTCTATAAAGTGTGTTTCAGGACAGCTAGGACTACACAGAGAAACCCTGAATATAAAAATAAAAACAAAAGCAGCCATGTGGAATGACTGACTAACTTACACCATGTTTGTTTAAGTGTACACTATGAGGTAAACACAAAGATGAAATCACCTAACCGTACATTTCCAAGAGCTAATCCTTTTATTAAGCAATGTGTGGCTGTAATTAACCAAAGGAAGATCTAGATGAAGATAGAGACATGATGGCTTGCCTTTGTAATTCATGGCAATGGATCTTAGAAAAAGTATTTCCCCATTCCTATGAGTACGAAGCAGCATGGGCCACCATAAAATGGACTGAGAAAGTAATGGGAGGCAACAAAGGTGACAAAGGACAACAGATAAGGGCCCAGCCCTGGAAGAGATTTGAGCATTTTGGTGGTGGTGGTGGTGGTTGTTTTGTTTTTGTTTTTGAACGTGTTTAGATGATTGAGAGAAAGCAGTACAGATGGGAATCCCTTATCCAAAATGCTGCTGCTCCTACACATTTCAAATTAGTTCTAAACCTGTAATATAAACATGGAAAATTACAGGGCTTGGGGAAGTGATTAGGCCATGAGAGCAAAGCTCTAATGAATAGGACATTGCTTTTATAAAAGAAGCCTGATGGAGTGTTTTTCCATTCCACTCAGTGAGCAGAGTTAGACAGTATCTTTGAGCCCAGGACTTAGTCTTCACCAGACATCAAATCTATTAACATCTTGATCTTTAAGTCAACAAACTGCAAAACTGTACACCTTCATCATTTATAAGTAACCTGCTCTAAAGCTTTTTGTTTTAGAGGGGATAGAGCCCAAACAAATCCATTTATGTTATAAAACGTGGTCCTCTTAAGAAGGACTCTATGGGCCATCCTCCATCTCACTTGCATATGACCTACTCACATATCACCATCCCATCCTGGATCCAGTTGCTCATCAGCCACTTCAATGCCAGAGGCTACCTCTGCCTCTTCCTGGTCTTCTTTAGGAAGCTGTGGTTTTATCAATTCCACTGAAAGAAATGGTAAAGATTAAGGTAGACTCATCTATGCACCTGATCAACAACATATGCCCACGATCCTATGGTGAATGCCATCCATGATGTTAAAACAAGACACTGATAGGGATACCAGCAGATATGTTGTGGTTTGGATGAGAAATGTCCCCCACAGACTCAAGTGTTTGAATAGTTGGGCCCCAGCTGGTAGTACTATGTGGAGAAGTTGTGGAACCTTTGTGAGATGTTTCCTTGGAAAAGAAAGTGGATTGCTGTGCAAAGAGCTTTGAGTTTCATGTCCAGCCCTACTTCCTGACCCATCTCTGCTTCCTGGTGCTCCGAGGTGTGCAAGCAGCTGCCCATACTCCTGCCACCACAGAGACATCTTCTGCCATGTCCTCCTGGCCATGATGGACAGTGGCTCCTCAAATTATGAACCAAAAGAAGTCCTTTGTCCCTTCAGTTGCTTCTTGTTGAGTGTTTAATATCAGTGATGAGAAAAGCAATTAATGCAATGTTCAGTTGTTTGGAGATGTGCTAAAGATAGTAGGCAATACAAGAAGACATTTTTTAAAAAACTGAGTATCATGATAAAGATCAGACAGAAAGAAACAGAATTACCCCATTTGGTGGTTGCATACAAATTATAAGAAAAGTATGAGTATCGAAACTCAAGACTTGTTCAAACTAAACCATCCTTATTCTCCTCCATTTCTGTTAAGTCCAGTGCACATCTGTGCTTTATGCACATGGTGGTGTGGTCTGCAGAACAAACCCAAAGTCCACACAGACACACCTTCACCACTGGTAGTGAGGCTTTGTGTCCACTCTTAGTATCTCAGATAATCCTCTTGATCTGGGCATGGTAACATCTGCCAGGAACATAGCACTTGGGAAGCAGAAGCAGGAGGATATACGAGTTTGAGGCAGCCTGGGTCATACAAGATATCAAACACGCTTTTATTTCTGAGACAAAACACCAAGGTCAATTGCCTGCTTGGATGGGATGTGACCTCCTCCTTGCATTATATTTGCATAAGCTTTTATTATTTCTTTTTGAGAGCAGAAAACTCCTTAGACCTTTTTTCCTTTCACAAGCTTCAGGATTTGTTGAGTGGGGTCCCATCCTGAGAGTACCACTGTCTTTGTTCCCATTTGAATCCAGCCTCTTTTCTGGCACAAGCCTTGGCTCCAACATCAAACTTCCTGATGATCTTTTTTACTTCAAACTGTACATTATTTTGTATTTCTTTTCTTTTTGCCCTGCTTGCTCTGTTCCATTATACAACTGCATAAGAAAAATTACTAATAACCACAAACAGAGTCTATTTTCAGGATTTTTGTTTGTTTTTGGGTTTTTTTTTTTTTTTGAAACTTCACTTGGTTACACAAGTATTCTCCTCTCCCCAGTCTATGCCACTATCTGTTGTCATTTGTTTCCTTGGTCTTGACCATTCAGACTTGGATAAGATGAAATCTCAAAGTGGTAGCTAAAGAGACTGAAAATTGTTTTAAATGTTTCTCAGCCATTTGCATTTTGTCTCGAGAATTCTGTTCAGATCCAAAACCACTTTTAACTGGGTTGTTTGTTTTCTTCATGTTTTTGAGTTTTTTTTTTTGTATATATTTCTAGACAATAGTCTTGATTTTAATGCAAATTGGTACATTGCTTTTATTATGTTAAGATATGTCCCCTGCATCCCTAGATTCTTCAAGACTTTAATCACAATGAGATATCAGACTTTGTAAAAAAAAAAAAAAAAAAAAAAAAAAAAGCTTTTTCTAAGTCTAATGCGCTGATCATGGGATTTCTGTCCTGATCATCTATTTGATGTGTTCCTGAATTTGGTTTATAAGTTTTTTATTGAGAATTTTGCATCTATGTTGAATGGAAAACTTGGCCAAAAATTTTCTTCCTCTCTTGGTGTGTGTGTTGGGGAGGGGGCAGTCGGGTTGGATATTTGTCTGGTTTGTGTATCAAGGTGACCCTGGCTTCATTAAAAAAAAAATTTAAAGTGCTCTTTTTCTACTTTATGATATAATTTAAGGAGTGTACTTGTTCTTCTTTGAAGGTCTGAAGGTTTAAAGACTTTGAAGAATCTACCTAGGTTGCACATTTTTTAGTTGGGAATTTCATTATTACTTCCATCTTAATTGGCTGTTGAGTCTATTTAAATTAATTACTTCAATTTGATTTAATTTTGGCAGGTCATATGTATTAAGAATTTCATCCTCTTTTATCTTTTCTTTCTTTCTTTCTTTTTTCTTTTTCTATATTTCCCAGTTTGGTGGAGTATAGTTTTATAGTGCACTGTGATTCTCTGAATTCTCTGAGTGTCTATTGTAATGTCTTCCTTTCATCTCTGCTTTTATTAACTTGGGTCTTCTCTCTCTTTCTTTTTTGGTCAATTTGGGTAAAGGTTTGTCAATCTTGATAATCTTTTCAAAGCACCAGCTCCTTTTTAAATTGACTTTTTGTATACGTTGTCACAATTGTTTCTGTTTCATTGACTTTGGACCTGACTTTTATTATCACTTCCCATCAACTCTTTTTGAGTATTGTTTGCTCTTATTTTCCATGAGCCTCAGGTTTAACATTAAATTATTAATGTTCCATCTCCAGATTTTTTATGAAGGCACTTAGTGATATAAACTGTGCATTTATGAATGCTTGCATTGTGTTCCATAGATTTGGGTATGTTGTGTTTTCATTTTCATCCAGTTCTAGGAAGTGTTAAACTTCCTTCTTGACTTTTCCATTGACATAATTTTCATTTAATAGTATATTGTTAACTTTCCACGAGCTTGTGTGCTTTCTGTGCTTTCTATTGCTGTCGATACCCAGCTTTATTCCTTTGTGGTCAGATAACACGAAGGATGTTGTTTCAATTTTCTTGTGTATATTTGTTGAGACTTGCCTTTGTCATAATATGTGGTTGATTCTGAAGACAGTCTCATGGGCTACTGAGAACAAATAAAATGTATTCTTTAGTGTTTGGATGCAGTGTCCTCTAGACCTCTGTTAGATCTATTTGATTTATGATGTCATTTATCCCCACCATTTCTCTATTTAGTTTTTGTATGGATCATTAAGAGTGCCCAGTATTACTGTGTCAGAGTTAGTCTGTGACTTTAGATTTAACAGCATTTGTTTTTATGAAAGTGGGTGTCTCTCTGGTGTTCAAATGTTTAGAACAGTAATATCTTCTTAGATTGTTTTCCTTTAAGGAATGTAAAATGTCCTGCCATATAACTTTTTATTAGTTTTATATTTACATCTATTTTGTCAGGTATTAGAATAGCTATATATACTTGTTTCTTTATTCCTTTCATGTTCAGAATAAAAATCCATCGGGGGCCCAGCTATGTGTGCTTGCCTGCTTGATTGACAGGACTACACACCCTTCTGCAGAAGTAAACATTTTTTGCCTTGCTGAAATACTTTGGATCATGTGATCATTTTCTTGGAACACTCAAATCCATTTCTAACACCCAGGCTGTCTCAAAGGCAAGGTCTTCCAGCCTCTGCTTCTGAAGTGCTAGAATCACAGGTATAGAGCATCTTGCCTGACCTATGATTGATTTCCCCAGAATGAATTTAATGTACTCATCCTAGGGAAAAAGTTAAGCAATAACAAAGATATAAACATTGCAGGAAAGAGTTATGCAACATAGAAAATTATATTTTGATTCAGTGGAAAATAAATCACTTAGTGATAAACCTAAGTTTAAACAAAGATGAATAATTATATAGTAACCATTTTGACTCAATAAGAAAATCTGTTAATCAAAATATAACATACATTAATCAGGTGTGGTGGTGCATACCTTTAATTCCAGCACTCAGGAGGCATAGACATTGTGTGTGTGTGTGTGTGTGTGTGTGTGTGATGTGAGATTTTATATATATATATGTATGTGTGTATGTATATATATACATACATATATATATATGTATGTATAATACATAATGTAGCTGTATGTAATGATGTGTGCTTGTCATCCCACCTACTCAAGAAGCAGGAAGGATCACTTGTGCCTTTGACGTCTTCTTGACAACACAAAGATTCTAGCAAGAAAGAGGGAAGGGTATTACTTTAAAAATAAAGAAAACTCAGAAGACAGAGGTAGGTGGATCTCTGTGAATTCAAGACCTAGTCTACATAGCAAAGAATTAGTGACACACGGTCATTTAAAAAAAAAAGTGGAAACAAAACAAAATGAACTATATTGGTTTGCATCCTCTACCCATAGGAAAATAAAGTGAACCCACTGAATACCTATCAGAGCTGAGCAATGCTAGATTATTTTCCCAAGAATGCCAGTCATTTTCATCAGTTGTCACCTTCAAATGATAAAAATTATACCTCTATCCTTAGAAGTTCATGCCAATTGTTACATCACTTGGAAACAGCTTGGTTAGAGCAAATCAGACAAGGCAAGATGTGTTCCCAGTTCTCTCTCCAAGCCAAATGCACTGTTAGCACCTTTTCTTTAATCTGATGTCTTTTATTTAAATATTTTTCTCTTGTTGCTTCTTAAGTAGCTGGGCTACACCACTATTGATATCAATGATGTCACAAGGTTGGCGGCTGTCCACATTGCAGCCCACAGACTGTGCAGTACCAGGATCTCTTTAATAGTTCCAGAAAGTTCTCTGGCTAAAGACCGGTGTCACATCTGCTGGGCAATGCTGACAATCTCATCGAAAGTGATATTTCCACTGTGTTTAATGTTCTGCTTCTTTCTGTCTCTTGGTGGCTCCTTGAGGGCTTTAATGATCAAGGCAGAGGGAGAGGGCACTACCTCCATCTGGGCCTGTCTGTTCTGGATGGTCAGTTTCACTGTAATCCTCAGACTTTCCCAGTCACCAGTTGCCTTGGCAATGCCATCACCAACTTTTTTTGGAGACAGACCCAGTGGACCAAACTTGGGGCCAAGGCAGATGTGGCACCAACCTCACCTCTGGCACACCTCAAGTACATGACTTTGATCTCATTGGGATCGAACTTGGGTGGCATGGTGGAGGCGTCAGGTATCAGATTAACCCAGATTCAGAACAACCAGAGAAAGTTGCACTGTTACCTCCTCTGAGCCAAAAGCCAAAAAGCCTGTTAGCACTTTTCTGTGTTCATAAAGCATCTACATAATTCCTTGGGGGTACCAGTAGCTTCGTTAAAATTAAACTACATACTAGGTTCTCCTTTACTGGCTGACGATGAGCTACTGCAGGCATGTGCTGCTGTCAAAGCACTCAGGGTCCCTGGCACATCACACCACCACCTCTTCCCATCTGGACTGCCTTCCATCACAATAACTTCTCCATCTGAAATGGATACAGCATTAGCAAAAATAAAGATGCTTCTTTGTTTCAGTTTTTATAACAGCACAGAATGTTAGAACCATGGATGTAATCACATTTCTCATTTGATTAACAAAGAGACCAGGGTATGTGTCTGTGTGTGTGTCTGTGTGTGTATGTGTGCGTGTGTGTGTGTGTGTGTGTGTGTGTGTGTGTAACAACTTTACTGCCTTTTTGTCACACGTTGATGAGAAGAGAGTCATATTTACTTTGTGAAGTATGTTAAGTTTCTATGTGCTTACTTTTTATGTTGAGTTCACCCTCAGATGTCTTACTGAATTTTAAGTCAGCTCATACACTTAGAGTAACTCACATTAGTGATACACTCTTAGCCTTTGGCACCCAAGGCAGACTCGTTATAGGACAGCCAATGACATAAAACCTGCGCATGTGGGCTGGGGAGAGGGTTCAGCAGCTACAAGTACTTGGTGCTCTTGTAGAAGTTTTCATCCCACATGGTCTCTTTTAACCACCTGAAACTCCAGCTTCGGGGAGATGCTGTCTATGGCCTCCACAGGTACTGTTCAAATGTGTATATATCTACCCACAGATACAAGGATACATAATTAATTATTTTAAGTGTATGTGTGATTAAACAATTTATATGCAATAGGCACTATTTGCATAAAAGCTATATACACCTTCACACATACTTTTATAGGGAGTGGGGATGAGGTAGTGTCTCATGCAGTTCACACTAGCTTTGAACTGTCTAGGCACCTGAGGATGATCTTGAACTCCCAATACTCCTGGACTCCATCTCTACCCTCCAAATGTTTGATTACAGCATGTGCCACCATTACTAATTACCAACACACTCTTTTTAAGGTTTAATTTTTCTTATTTTTAGTAATTATGTATATATGTAATTATGTATATATAGGTGTGTGCATGTGGTTACAGTACTTGAAGAGGCCAGAGGAGGGAGTTAGGTCTCCTACAACTATTTACATGGGGTTGTGAGCCACCATATTTGGTTGCTGGGAACTAAACTGCTTAGCTATCTCTCCAGCCTATTTCATCATCCCTAGATGACTTATTTATCACAATAGAATGTAAACACTGCATACGTCATTGTTATACTGTACTACTTAGGGAACAATAACAAGAAAACATCTATATGTGTTCGGCATAGATGAAAGATTTTTTCTGAATATTTTCCATTGGGACTAATTGAATCTAGAGATATAGATGGCTGTCCACTCAACTTATATCACAGTTTTAAATTTTAACCCATTCTCAGTGTTAAGTGATAAAGAGAAACAAAGGAAAGAACAATAAAAACCTCCCCTGCTTGACCCCAGAACTTTGTGCATGCTAGACAAACCCTTGACAGCAGAGTTGCATCCCTGACCCTAAGACCAATTTTATTGCTGAAAGGATAAAAATCATTGATGAAATTCTAAGTCTGTAATTAAGCTGGTGTTGGGAATTAAGTAAAGAAGACTCCTGTTGGGCACTGATGACACTCCCTCTGGAGTTCATTCTCTCCTTGGTTACTGGCCTCTTGGGCAAAAAATTGCCTTGACACAACTACTGACTTTGGACATACTGTCCTACTGTGCTTACAGGAAACAAACATAGAGAATGCTGAAACTTGCCAAGTCGGGGTAAGACAGTCTTTCAACTTCCCTGCTTCTGTGTTGGTCAGTCAGATATTCTAGGCCTTAGCCAAAGTTAGTTGCCCCTATGTTGCTGTGAGACTATGGGAGACTGTACAGGTACCCTGCTGTTTCTGTCTTCACTGTACCTTTTAGAAGCTGCTCACCTGAACTTCCTGCCTACCTTAGTATTGTTATCTTCCTTCTCAGGTCCTTGATGAAGTTGAAGATTAGACTGTCACAATTATTGTCCTCTCTTCTTAGATAGAAATGTTAGGCACAAGACTTAAACTTTCCAATTTAGGACAACTTCATAGTAATCTCTGTTATACCTTTACCCTGTGACTGGACATGTGATGGGAGATGTCATTCTGTATATGTTTCTCATACTGGTTAATAAATAAAGCACTGTTGGCCAATAGGAAAGGAGGATAGGAGGGACTAGGAGACAAGGAGGAAGAGGAAGTAGTAAGGAGGAGCCAAGATGGAGAGTCTGGAGAAAGCAGTGTGCCGGCCAGCTCCCCAGTAAGAGAAATACATAGATCAGCAGAAATGGGTTAATAATTAAGGCAGAGCTAGCTGATAAGAAACAAGTAACCGGGCCAACAGGATTATATCATATACAGAGTCTCTGTGTATTATTTGGGGCTGGCGCAGCGGCAAGACTCGGCGGCGGGCGGAAAAACCGTACTCTTTACAGACATGTAGCTTTTGCCAATTGCTCTTTGTTGAGTCACTGGCAGTAGGTCTTAATTTGTATGTTTTTACCTTTCCTTCTCCTAGAGTATACTTGATATTTGCTATTACTGTATATAGTTTTGTATCAAGCCTTTTTTCTTTAGACTAAAAGGGGAACAGTAGTGATAGGTCTGCCTCCACTCCTATAGCATGTTCAAAAGGCGTGGTCACAGGTGCAGACATGGGGTGGAGGGAGGAAAGGGTTTGAGGTCAGAAGCCCCTTCTAGTCATGGAAGAAGGCCTGTCTGCTCATAACAGGAAGGCCGCAGCAGTTACTGATTGCTTTCCATTTAAGCTATTTACTAATAAACTTCACTTCAACTTACTGGTCTGGTGAATCTATATATCCATGCCTTTAGACTCCCCTCCTTGTTTCTCCTTTCTCACTTAGGAAAGACAGCAGGTGTGATTTTCTTCCTTTACTTTTGTATGACAGAGCCATCAATTGCTAGGATAACTAGCAGACAAGTCTCAACTTGATACTCCTGAGGCCAAAACAATGTCTGTGCAAAATTAGCTTAGTGCCCAAGAAGTGACAACTATTCCAATACAATATGTGCTGGCAGCACAGTTGTGCCAGGCCTGGTTTTCCCTGGCTGCCAGTTGACAATAACTGACCAAAGACTCACCATCAGGCATGGTGGGGCAGGTGGAGGTGGCATCCGCTGTTGCCATTATTTGCAGCAGAGTCTGAGGTGCTCTGGTATCCCACTGCCTCCTGTTCTCCACAGCAACGATATCCGAAAAGAAACCCTCTTCGAGAAAGAGAGTAACTCATTAGTTCCATGGCAGCCAGAGTATAATGGCCACACCAAACAATTCTTAGGGCCTGTCCTGGTTTGATTTCTACTGTGACAAACACTGTGACTGAAAGCAATGTTTGGAGGAAAGGGTTTGCTTCATCTTACAGCATAGGGCTCATCATGAATGAAGTCAGGACAGGAACTCCAGGCAGGAACTGAAGCGGAGGCCATGGGAGAGTGCTGCTTACTGGCTTGCTCTCAGGCTAACATTCAGCTCCTTTTCTTCTACCTCCCCAAATCACCTGCCCACCTACATCAGTCATCAGTCGAGGCAATGAATGCCACACAGGCTTGCCTACAGGCCAACCTGATGTGGGCTGAAACTGAAACTCACTCTTCCCAGATGAGTCTAGGGGACATAAAACTAAGTAGCACAGGGACCCAAGAGTAGGATGTCCAAGCCACAGGAACCACCATCTAACAGATCTAACACAGATGACTGAAAATGCAAACAGTTTTCAAAGTTGTTCCATTTTATCATTAATGTTTGATTATCCAGTTTAACTAAAAGCTAAGGAAATACATGAATGGACAAATCACTGAGACATCTATGAGAATTCTCACTTGACTGTTTGTACCGACACAATCTCCATTTCCTTTTCATCTCTCTCTCTCTCTACCCATTGTGCCCTTTTCTTTGTCCCAGACTGGCTGGGAACTCATGGCAATTTTATCGTCCTGCCTCTGCCTTCCATGTGCTAGGACAGCAAGTAAGAGCCACCATGCCCAGATCCACTTTTTAAAATATATTTATTTTATTATTTATTTGTGTATGTGTGCATGTGCAAGTGGCCAAAAAAATGCATCTGATCCCCTGGAGTTGGAGTTTGGTTTAGAGCCACCTGGTATGGTTGCTGGGAACTATATTAAGGTCGTCTGAAAAAAAGCCAAGGGCTTTTAACTGCCAAGTCATCTCTCCAGCTCCTAAATCCATTTTCTCTTTTAATTTTTTAATTTATTTTTTCATTTTTTTATGGGCATTTGCTTCCATGTGTTTCTGTGTATCTTATACCCACAGAGGTCAGAAACAGGGAGTCAGATCCCCTGTAACTGGAGTTATAGACAGTTGTGAGCTGTCATGTGATGCAATCCTTTAATTACAGGAAGATCACATATTAGGCACCAGACATTTAGGCTGGATCTTTGTACATATCATACATCACTCTTACTGCTACAGCAACCCTGTGTGGTTATTACTACTGCCATTCCCCATGCCTCTAAAGAGGAAAGGGGGGTTCAGACCATGAAAGTAACTTACAAAAGAAGAACTGCCCCGTGACCAGAAACCACAGTGCCAGGGAAGATTCAGACTACCAGTGGCTCCGGAAACCGGTTTCCTATGTCACCACAGTGCTCAAGGATGACAGAACCCTACCTACCAGCAGAAGGTGTGGAGGCAGAGGAAAAGTTCAGGGGCATTCTCTGAGGAGGAGCTGCCCATCACCCTGGCAATGTTCTCTGCAAAGGTGGAGGATGCATGCTGAGGTTGAGGTACTTATCACACTGGCCCAGAGAGTTGTTCAGCAGGTACTGAGAAAAACTCACAAGTGTGACATTCCTAAAACAGCTGAAACTGCATATGGGTAGAACTGACCCATATGCATGTGCATGTATGTGTGTGGTAGGAAAGAATGCTAGATGTGTGTGGGGAGGGTAGGAAAGAATGCTAGATGTGTGTGTGTGTGTGTGTGTGTGTGTGTGTGTGTGTGTGTGTGTGTAGCATGAGGGAATGCTGGATGAGGGTATGTGCAGAAAAGGAGACTGAAGCCCAGTGGAGAAAGTTGGAGACAACTGCAAATGAAAAATTCCCTTTCCTTCCACCACTTTCAAGCAACATGTACCTGCTTCTGAGTCACAGAGCTCCTCAAAGGCTCTGTCTCTGTGATCTTCATGCTCCTTTAGAGGTCTGCACTCCCGAAACCTCATGCCATCTTCAAAGTTCAGAGTATCATTTAGTTTATCCACTGCCTGAATAAATTTCACAATTTTTCATGAGAAAGAAGCCATATTGGCAGTATGTGTGTGTCCCAATATATTAATATGGTAATATATTCGTGTGTGTGTGTGTGTGTGTGTGTAAAACAAATCCATATAGTTTTAAAGGTGAAACTGATATAGAAACAACAATGCTTTTCTTGCAAATAGCAGCCTGCCTGATCACAGAACAACTCAATTTTACCCAGGCTTTCTCTTTTCTGAATCACACTACTCACTTCAGGGTTTCCTTATCCAGCCCTGCTCTCAGTATCCAACATAATATTCTCTTTCTTCTACTTTTTAAAAGACTTATTTACTTTTCTTTTATGTGTATAAGTGTTTTATCCACATGTATGTCTGTATACCACTTGTGTGTCTGGTGTTCAAGATGGCCAGAAGAGGGTGTTAGATCCCTGCAAACTGGCATTACAGATGATTGTGGGATGTTATGTGGGGAATCAAACACCCCAGGTCCTCTGGAAGAGCAACTTTTGCTCTTAACTGCTGAGCCATCTCTCCAGCTTCTCCTCCTCCTCCTCGATAGGGTTTCTATGTGCAACTTTGGATCCTGTCCTGGAACTCTCTATAGAACAGGCTGGCCTCAAATTCAGAGATCCACCTTCCTCTGCCTCCTGAGTGCTGGGATTAAAGGAGTGCACCCAGTCTTATTTTTCTTCTTAAGCTGGGGCCTCGATATGTTGTTCACAGTGTTCTAGAATCCCCTACCTCTGTCTCCCCAGTAGTTGACATACACAAAAAACTCACTGAATGTATAACCAAGTTGAACAGGTCCTAAAAACTGCTGCTCATATTCCATTACCAATACTGAAATAGTTGTTTTGGTTTCAGGCATAGAAAGCACAGACTAAGAAAGAAAGAACACCCTAGCAGCTAAAGTTGTTTCCTCAGGCCAACCTCAGCACCTCATATCAAGGAAGCCAAGTGACCTATTCAGATCCCACAGTTCTGGGGCATCTAAGAAACACTAAGCCCCACCCCACTAATGAAGTCATCAGGTAGCAAAGTATTTTTAAAGATACAGTGACATAAAAATTGGGAGGACTCAACCCTGACTGTTAAACATGTTAACATGTTCTGCCACTGACCTGCATTCCAAGCCCCCAAGACATTTATGAGGATAGAGACCATGAGAGGGATGAGGGATAGCTCAGAGACCATGAGAGGGCTGGGGGTGAGATAGCTCAGTGGCAGGGAATTTTCATTGCATAACATATAAGGTGCAATCTCCAGCAACACTACTCAACAAAATTGATTGACAGGTATAATGTTCATATTTAACTCTTAGTAATCTAAAAGATGAATGTACAGTATTGTCACATCAAGGGAGCCCAGATGCACAACTGAGATTTACCCACAGGCAGCTCACACTTTCAGGCTACTTACACATGATTTTTAAATTAGCATATCAACTGTTGACTATATGCCATGCTTCATTATTGGCAAAAATAAGAAGTTAACATTATCAGAAAATAACTCATTTATAGAAGAAACATGAATTAAAATGGAACCATCTATCCAAGGAAATAATATCACCTTTTTAAATGAGAGGATAAGAAGTATTTGGAAGGTTCATTTATGCACCAGATACCTTGCTTCTAAGTGTATTTAGGAAATTCTCATTACAGCCTGTGCAACAATATCACAAACCTGAATACAGACTCACTTTGTCATAGCTGACCACAGCAATATAGCATACCTCTTTGTCTTGGATGGTATCTTCCTCAGGATTACACTTATCCAGGCTAATTTCAAACTTCAACCCTCTCTAGAATAAACAAGAAAAAAAACTTAGTTTAGCAGTTTAATAAAGTCTTCAAATTACCCCAAGGTCAATTCATTTTGACAGCTCACATACTTAAGATCATTAGTGTAGCCAACCTATACAGTAAGCATGAACCCCAATCATCTTTCTAGTATATAAGCAAAAGACAAGAATGTTCAGGTCTTAGTTTTATATATCTGCTTTAAAATTTTACTATCTTTTATGTTTGGAAGCCTAATTTGTTTCAAGTCTTTTTCAATATTCTAAAAGCTTAGAAAAAACCATAACTCTGTCACCTCACATCCAATTGTATATTCATAGTATCTAAATTCACGTTGCTGTATAATTCTATAGCTTAACGTCTACATTGAATCTGATGATTCATTTTAGAATAAAAACATTTTATTCATCAAGAAAAGTTAATCATAATTCACTAAAAAGTTAGGTACAGTATTCACCAAATTAAAATAATCATTCACTTACTTAACACTGCCATTTTAATGGGCAAAAATTCTATAATGTGACAAAATTCTCGTTACTCCACTGCAATTTAAAAACAATCCAATTCAATAACATGGTTTTCTTATGTGATGCTGGGGATCAAATTAGCACTTTGTACATGTTATATGAGTGCTTCATTGCTGTGCCACACCTCAGTCACAGGATGTAATTTTGACAACAAGCTTGGTGGGGGAGGGTGTGTGCATGCATGAGTGTGTACAAGCCTGTGTGTAAGGGTGGATCCTGATGGAAGCCCAGGATTGGATGCTCTTTAGGCAGAAGTTACTCTGGCACTGGATGTGGGACTATGAGACCTGGCTACATCTGGTAGGTGAGAGAGGCTGTGTGGAGGGGAGGTCAGGCTAGACCCCAGAGAAGGTTGTAAGGATCTGGCTGTTTAGAGAAGTAGAATTTTATAAACTCTTATTCACCTATCCCTGCTCTCTGTGATCCATACCCCTGCACAACCAAGAACACATTATCCATGGATAGATAGGACTCTGATGACATGAAGCTTGCATAGTCCTGGGGTAAGCTAGGTAATACATGAGTTTGTAAACTAATGACATGATTTCAGGCAAGTCTCAGATGCGCAGAGAACATGGAATAGGAGCACTGGCAAGATGGCTCAGCAGGTAAACGCACTTGCCGTGAAAGTTTGGTGACTTGGTACCATGGAGGGAGGAAAGAATCAACTCCCCAAAGTCATCCTCTGAGTTCTACCTATGTCCGGATCTCAGGCCTGGACCTTGAGGTTTAACATATGAATATCCAAGGAAAACATTTTTCATGCAATGGAAAAAGCAGGGTAAAGTCTCTAGAGTGGCTGTGTGATCCTCAGGCCTCCTCTAACTGAATTTATCTAGGATGGAGCTTTTCATTGTTCTGCCCCTCTCATGTGTGGAAAGGTAACATCCATTTTGCAAATAAATGTAGCAGTTTCTTGAACAATTAAATATGGCTGGGCCAACAGCTTGGTGGACAAAGTGCTTGCATTGTAAGCATGAAGACCTAAGAGTTTGATCTACAGTGAGCATGTGAAAACTAGCTGGGCAAGGTGACACATGATTATAATCCTAGCACTGAGGAGGTAGAGACAGATTCTTGGGGTCACTAAAGAACCAGTCTAGCAAACAAGGTGGATGACTCCTAAAGAACAGTGCTTGAAGTTGATTCTGACCTCCACATACATGCACACACACACATGCATGTGCACCCACACATATATGTATAAACACAAATTAATTATACAGTTGGGCCTAGTGCCACATGCCTGTAATTCCAGCTACTCAAGAGGATAAGGCAAGATGATCATGAGTTATTGAGAAGGGAGGCAGGAAGACCTAGAGTTTGAGGCCATTCTGGACAATGCAAGGAAACCCTTTCTCTTCTATTAAATAAAATGATAATGATAATAATAATAATAATAATAATAATAATGAGGTTTAGGTCACAGCTCAGTATTAGAGTACTTGTCTGTAATATGTGAGGGTCTGGGTTCAGCTCCTAGAACTGCAAAAAAAAAAAAAAAAAAAAAAAAAAAAAAAAGAGGAGAAATTAAACATGCCAGCCATCCCAGGCCAATGTAGTTATACCAAAGAAGATGTGTCTACCACTTTAAGACTTGCCTATTAGGGCCAGAGATGGCTCAACATGGAAGTTCCCTTGCAGGTAAAGCACAGGGCCCTTCAATGGAACCCCTCCACTCATCATAAAAGGCTGGGCATGACTATGTGTGCCTGTAACTGCAACCCTGAGAAACAGAAACAGGCAGATCCTGGAGCTTGCTTGACAGCTATGGTAGCCTAAACAGTGAGCTTCAGGGTTAGTTGTAAACCCTGTCCCAAAGAAATAAGGGAGACAGTACCTCAACATACATGGGCAGACACTTGCCCATGATCATCCCAGCTGTTTGCAATAGACAAAAGCTAGAAACTGTCAAAATATTCATCCATAGTTGAACTGCCCACCAATTTTGATACATTTATACAGTGGGATATTTATACAGTGGGATATGCTCAGCAGTGACAAATATGGAGAACATGGGTGAAACAACATGATTGAGCATCATGATGCTCCCTGTGGCATGAAAGAAGCCAGATGAAAGAGAACACTCAGGGATGGTAGCATTTATGCTCTGTGCTCTCGTCTAGAAAATGCAAATGAGTCCATTGTGACAGAAGGCAGGACAGCAGCTCCCTAGAGATGGCGTGGGAATGGAGGCTGGGAGAAACAGGAAAGAACTGACTAGAGAGCACCTGAGATTTGAGAAGCCCCACCCCACTAAGTGACACAGCAAGAGTCAGATGACCCCTGGGACAGGAGCTCACTGGGAAGCTCACACAGCCCTAGCAACAGCATCTCCACCTGTGTCCAGGTTTCTTCCTTGGGTGCATCAGGGTGGGTGGGCAGGTTACTCCTCTTCACCAGATAGGTTTTATGACTGAGGTCTGCATTCTCCTTTATGTCCTTTAATACAGATGACACACAGAGTCAGTGAGATTGGCTCTGTATGTTACTCACCATCTGTCCCTCCCTGAGAGGATGAAGAGCTAGTCACAGACACCTCAGAGCCTTCTGTATTCCTCCTTTACCTTGGGATTGATTTAGCTGTCACCAAATGCTTCTTTCACGGCTCTAGAAATGTCAACTGCCTGGCCCTGGCAGCATGCACAACCCAAGTTTGATCCCACAATTAAGGTGGGGAACAGACAAGGAGGGGGGAATGCCTGCTATACCACTTTTCTGAACTCAGACTTCCCATTGCAGACCTGCAGTGCATAAGGCTGATGGTGGCACAACTCTCCACTTTGAACGGAACTCTGCCCAAGAGAGACCCACCCCTTCCATCCAGCACAGGCCTTTGTATGGCTCATTTAGAACAGGCCACTTACTCGGACCTCTAAAGTGCCATAGTCTCAGTCCACCCCACCCCCACTCCCACCCCCACCCCATGCCCATGCCCATCAACTCTTCCACACAAAGCTTCCTCCTACTCAGCCATCTCATCTCTGCTCCTGTGCAGCTATGAGGCTTGACTGTGGTAGTCGCGTCCCATTATCATTCATGGCTGTGCACTCAGGAGTAGAACTGCATCTACTAGACAGCAGATGTGTCAGAGGCATACCCTTAGCTGGTCTCCTAAATGCTAAGTGCCTTCGGATGCGTTACTGAATTCTCTATGAGAGGCCATAAAGAAGGCACACTGGAAAACTCCACTAAGGTGGCAGATCTGCTGCAGTGTGGCAGGTGTATTCAAGGAGGGCTAGGTGGCCTCTGCAGAGCCCAGCAGGCCTAGGAAAAGGAGCAGTTCAGGGTGCTGTGGGGATTTGTGATGTTGGAATAGCTGTATGCTTTTCACACAGCGGGTCAAATACACACTAGTTAAGTCATCTCCTGAAGAGATGGCCATCTGCTGCAGTTCTAGAAACCTAAAGATGGAAGGATGAGTTTCCAGGGTAACACCATTGTGTGTTTTTCAAGAATGATGTCAACTGTGATCAGACTTTGCCTTACTTAATCTTGAAAAAGGAAGAAGTATGTCCTGGGAAATGTGAGCACCGCAGTCTGTACTTACACAGACTAAGGTGCCAATGACATCAAACAGTATAGTCTTGTGAGACCACCATTTTATAAGTGGTTTACCATTAACCTGTTATCATCCTGTGTGACCTCCAATGAACCATAACACTAATCTTCAGTTAGGGCTGACCACTTTCTTATGTAGAAAGAAACTGAAGGACTACCTCTGTCTCATTTCCTAGTTTCCTATAAGGAGACTGACTGTGTTTGCATATGCATGTGTCCATATGTGTACCCATGCAGGTACATATGTATGTGCATACATGCACATGCATGCTTGTGTGTACATGTATGTGTGTATACAGGTGTGTGTGGTTTTTTTTTTCTGTATATACACAGCCCACTCTCATCCACTAGGACTTGGTTGCTTGGCATGGACCCCGGGTCCCTCTAGTTCTTGGAAACACCTTTTAGCCCCTCCTTCTGCCATCTCCAGCCCTTTGGGACTCTGCCTACCCACAGAACCTCTCTCCACCAGGAACCCAAAGCTGCCAGCCTAGCTTTAGATATTAAATTTCTTTTAATATCTAGTCATTTTGTCACCTGTAAGTTGTCAGAACAATGCTCACTCTAATAGAGTGAATTTACCTTCAGCTCTCTCCCCATCCTTTCTTTAATTTCCTTCATGTCACTGTGGTATTGTTGGCGGATTTCCTCTAACTGTTTCCAGTATTCCTGAAAAGCAAAAACAATTTAAAACTTGAAAATGATCTCTACATACAGTTTTTAAAACATGTATACAAGTAATCATTTGCTTCTAAGTGTAATGATAAACTTACTTTGGCTGTGGTGTTTCGTAGCCTGGGAGGGACACACTAGTATGGGACAGAGACCTTTATTACAATCCCAAATCATGTGTAGCTACTCTGCATAGTCCATTTTTGCATTAATTGAACATCTTACCTCCTCAAAAGATGTGTAGAGGCTGGGGTGCACACCTTTAGTCCTAACTACATGGAAAGGTGAGATGGGAGGATCACTTGAGTTCGAGAGTTCAAGACTAACCTGTGTAACATGCAAAGACTTCACTCATCATCATCAACATCATCACCATCACGCATACACTGTCTTATCACATAGTGTTTCAGAATGTGACCATATTTGAAAATAGGGTCTTTGCAGATGTAATTAGTTAAAATGAAGTCATTTGGGGTAGAATGGACTCCTTAACCACTAGGGACCTGGCTTGGCATAGATCCCAGGTCCCTCTAGTTCTTGGAAACACCTTTTAGCCCTTCCTTCTGCCTTCCCCAGCCCTTTGGGACTCTGCCTAGCCACAGAGACTCTACCTCTCCACCAGGAATGCAAAGTGGCCAGCTGGGACTCAGGTAGGGGACCTTCAAGCTCCTTCCTATCCTCCATTAAAGTCTCTCCACTCACCATTAGTCCTGCAGCAGCCTGCCCACAGGTACCCCTCCTCCCAGAACACCTTCATCCTCTTGGCACTTGGCCTCTTGGTGCAGACCAGGGTCTCTCCGTCTTCCCCACAGCCTCTCTCAACCTTTCCTTCTAGGCCACCTCCATTCCTTTGTGAGTTCATGCTGAACTGCAGAAAATACTCTACCAGAAACCCCACAGCCACCACACTTGGCTAGGACCCAGACTGGACAACAGTAACCAAAGAATCTACCCAATAAAAGCCAGAAATATACACCAAGAAGTTCCTTAAACATCCTACCTCCAGATGCCTAGATGCCACATAAAAAAAGCACATAGACATGAACAACCAAGACAATATGCCTCCTCCAGAAGTCAGCAAAAACTCAAGCACATGACTACCCACACCAGTTCTGGCTTTCAGTCTCCAAAAGCAGGAGACAACGTTGCTACTGTTTTAAGTTATCTATTTTGTTGTGTTTCATTACAATAGTCCTAAAAGGTGCAATAAAAACCACTTTGTCAAATGTCTTATAAGCTCAGCTCTGTGTGTCCACAGGGATGCTGGGAGCAATGGTGACATATGGCAAGACGGGCTGCAGTGTGAAGGACCATGGCACATGCACAGAACTAGAAATTTTAAACCTGGTCCTTCATTCTGTTCCTTCTATACTGGAGCTCCTGGAGTTTAGTCCCCTCTCTGTGGCTTTGTGGCTTTTCTCTCTCGTTGGGATGTGGCTCAGCAGAAGATGGACGAAGACCCTGTTTATGAAAGGAAATCATTTATAGGGCATACTTGCAGATTCTGGCTTAATCTAGACTATTTACTCAAGACAAGAAGTATATCACCAAGCAGTCTCCCATGCTGAAATATTAAATGCTTTAAGCAGCATTTTATTTTTGCTTTGTTTTGTTTTTCAAGGCAGGGTTTATTTTCTGTGTAGCTTTGGGTGTCCTGGAACTCACTCTGTAGACCAAGCTGGTCTCAAACCCACAGAAATCCGTCCACCCCCCTGCCTCTGCCTCCCGAGTGCTGGGGTTAACTGTGTGCGCCACTGCTGCCTGGCCCTACAAGCAGCATTTCAACCCTGAGCAATTGGTGTTATCTATAAGCAACAGGTATTTTTGTGCTATAACTTCTGTCAGTTGTAGCTGTCAGCTTAAGCTCTTCCCAAGTTTTGCAGCCCTGGGGTGTGATAGCGAGAGAAAATGTAAGTCAGCCCTGGTAGCCCATGCCTGTACTACCCACCCGGGAGGCTGAGGCAGGAGGATGAGCAAGAGCTTGATGTTCCAGGCCAGTCCTGAGCTACATAGTGAGATTCTATCTATAAATAAAAAGTGAATGGTGGGTGGCCTTGGTTTTATAGTGGAATGAACTTGGACCCATCCATGTCTGAGGGCAGAGAAGCTGTGAGGAAACCCTTGAGCTCTCCCACAGCTGGAGTCTTACTCACCAACTGTCTTTCCACTTTTAACTTATACTGCTGAGCTTCAAATTTCCTCTGAAGATATGCAGCAAACCTGAGAAAAAAAGAATGTTCCACTGGAACACAATTCCCACCCCCCTCTGTCTCTCTCTTTCCTCTTCCTTCCTTTCTCTCTCATTCTCTCTGTCCCTCCCTCCCTCTCTTCCTCCCTTTTGTCTTTTGAGGTGCTGGGGATTGGCACATGCTCTAATGCTCAACTCCAATCCTTCAGCCCTTGAGGAAGCATTCTCATTAACCATCTCAGATACCAATTTGACAGGTGGGTTTTTCACCTCAGTGATAGAACTAATAATTCATCTGTAGTCTGAAGTTCGAAGATACACAATGCAACATCAGGAAAGAACAGCTTTGGAATCAAGAGGGAAAAAACAAATAAAATGTTTTATAAAAGAAAAGAAAATGAGTATATGAGGACACTCGGAGCAAACACCTTGCAATAAAGGTGAAGACTTGAAGCCCCGGTGGTGGAGAGGCACACACCTTTAATCCCAGCAATCATGGGGCAGAGGCAGATAGATCTCTGTGAGTTCAAGGCCAGTCTGGTCTACAGAATGAGTTCCAGGACAATCAAACCTATACAGAGAAATCCCGTCTTGAAAAACTGAGAGGGGGAGGGAGGGGGAGGGAGAGAAGGAGGGAGGAAGACTGAACCAGGGCATCTTGCACGTTAGTCAAGTGCTATAACACTGAGCAACACTGATGGGCTTTGGACTTTTATTCTTATCTTTTTGACAGGATATGACAAGGTAACTTTGGGCCTTTCTTTTTCAGGCTCAGACATAGCTTAGGTAGGTCTAAGTACTTGTGATCCTTTTGCCTCAGTTTCCCATGTGCTGGCAACACAGGTATGGTGATGCTAAGAATTGGATTGGGGTTTTTATTATTTCATTTTCTGATGCTGGTTTTGGAACTTTAGGTCTTGTGCAAACTGGTAAGTAGTATTCCACTCCCAGCCACCATAGATGCTTTTTGATTACATGGTTACATGATCCTTACCGTGGACTACCTCCCCAGTGAGCGTTCTGTACATGACCATGGGACTGAATTCTTCTTGCATGGACCTAAAATCATATACATGTGTCATGACTTATCATCCAAAATCTCTCCCAAAATCTGGAGTCACCTCCAACCCTACCTCAGGAGACAAGTATCGGGCAGTAATAGGCTCTAACAAAGGCCTTTTCAAAAGGGAATTGATAGATGGTCGATCCTGAGGACACACTTTAAAGAGCTGAGGTATCAAGGACTGTAGGTCAAGAGAAAAGTGGGGTGGTATGGGAGCAACACGTGCTTGACAAATCTTCAGAACCAGATGGTGTAAGTCGTTACTCTCAAACTGAAAGGACAAGGATAATTATCCACATTAGAGACAAGTTGAGTACTGGTAGTTAAAGTAATAAATACAACAAGAAACAAAAGCTAAGCAGTTGGTGGTGGCACATGCCTTTAATCGTAGCACTCGGGAGGCAAAGGCAGGCAGATCTCTGTGAGTTTGAAGCCAGCCTGGTCTACAGAGCTAGTTCCAGGATAGCCAGGGCTGTTATATAGAGAAATCTTGTCTCAGGAAGCAAAAAAAAAAAAAAAAAAAAAAAAAAAAAAAAAAAGAAGAAGAAGGAAGGAAGGAAGGAAGGAAGGAGATAAAGAAGGAAAGGCAGGCAGGCACACTGACTATCATCTATCTACCTAACTATCTATCATCTACCTAGCTACATATCTTCTACCTACCTATCTTCTGTGTGTCTGTCTATCATTTGTTTGGCATTGGCACAGAGCTTTGAGCATGCCAGGCAGCTGCCCTACCCTTTAGCCGCATCCCCAGCCTATGAATATTTCTAAGCTGCTGTCGAATGCACTATGCTTTGCCCTATCTTGTCATCAACTATATGTCATAAGTGGATACTTATCCAAGAGATGCTCTGCTACTTAATACAAGATTTATAATTTTAGTATTTTCATTTTGCTTCTGTTTTTTCGTTTTGCTAACTGAATGCAGGGCCCTGCATTTGCATAGTGTGTGATCTACCTATGAACTACACCTAGTCTTTAATTTTAACTTTTTTAGCTAAAAAAGTTTCATTTATTCTTAATTTTTTATTACCAAAATACCCTTTCCTTACACTTAAAAACAAAAAGCACAGGAAGTTATAAACAGGAAAATATGTATAATTTCACAACTCAGAAGTATAATTCTATATAATCTTTTCAAGAATGTTTACTTTACAGAGATAATCATGCTGACATGACTTTTTTTTTTTTGCTTTTTCAAATACTATAACATAAATACTATAGCATAAATATATCATCCACACTAAAGTCTTCCATTGTATGAAAGAAGCATTTATTTGCACAAAATAATGTTGGACATGCTGGCTTGGCAATAAAGTGCAGGTTTTGTTCAGACACCAGCTGTGTGGCTTTTAACATTAACAACAACAGTAATAATGGAGACAGCTGCTGCATAGACAAGAGTTGGCAAGTAAGCTGTCCTTGGAAAGTCCTGCCTACAGTATCGGCCTTAGTCTGAAGTGTCTGGGACCTGAGATTTGTAAAGAAATTCCACTCCTGTCCAGATGTTAAGAGTGGCTCTTTGGCTCTTTGCTCTCTTTCTGCCCTTACTGTTCTTTCTGCTCTTACTGCTCTCTCCACTCTCCTCTCTTTCTGCCCCTGTCTCCCTCTTCTCGACTATTCTCTTCTGTCCTCTCTGTCTCTGTGTCTCTTTGCCTCCTCTCTCTTCCCTTCTCCCTCCCTCCCCTTTCTAATAAAACTTCTCATTCAAGCTTAAAAAAAATTAAAAAGAGTGTCTCTTGGTCCGAGACATTTATGCATATAATATAGTTTATTTGAATATATGGTTTGCTTCTGGGCACCTTGGGAGTTTTGCACATGCCAGGCAGATGGTGCCTATGTGTCCAACTTCCAATAAAGCATGGAGATAAGGGACCTAATGGACTCAATGCTTCACTCATCAAGACTGGAAAAATCAGCACATCCATTAGAAGTCTGTGTGTGATTTACTACAGACTCTGCCCCACACACTCTTTACCTTCAAAGAACATGTGTATAATGGAAACATGCTCCACATGCTATTCTCTGACTTGGACTTTTTTACTTTATAGTATTGCCTAGATATCTGTTCATGTCAAAGCTGCATTTCTGATATTTCTCTGTGTGTATGCATGTCTATATGAAAGAGAGGCAGGGACAGAGAGCCTGCATCTTGCTATGTAGATCAGGCTGGCCTAAAACTCTCATTCCTTCTGCCTCCACCTCCTGGGTTAATTTTGTTGTTGGTTTTGGCTTTTTTGTTTGTTTGTTTGTTTGTTTGTTTTGGTTTTTCAAGAAGGTTTCTCTGTAGCTTTGCAGCCTATCTGGAACTCACTCTGTAGACCAGGCTGGCCTTGACTCACAAAGATCCACCTACCTCTGACTCCCAAGCGCTAGAATTAAAGGGATACGCCACCGATGCTTGGGTTCAGTTTTGGCTTTTTAAAGATGAATTCTCTCTCTGTTGCTCATGTTCACTTTGAGTACCTGAGTTGATTGGACCACAGGCACATGGCTACCATACCATACCACACACTCTTTTTTCTTTCAGAAGTTAATTTCCACAGCATGTTTTCAGTAATTCAAGATTCACATGATGAGCAACATACTTACAGGATGCTTGAGGGTGCAGAGCTCATATAAGACACATCCAAGAGACCAAATATCCCTGGAGAAGAGAAGGGTTTACATGGCCATAAAATGGCAACAATTACAGGTGGAAGTATTTGCCACTTTATGTGGGTACAGCTTCATTTTATTAGGTTTTCACAAGTGCTTTCAGATATCTTATCAATGCTAAAATAAAAATTAAAGTAAGAATTATTTGAAGCCTTGTAGAACCCTGGCAGACCACGGTTCTGGCAGGCAGACAAACATTAGTACAATATGACAACTACACATTTACTTCATGTGCCCAAAGAAAATGTGTGTGCAATGGAGCTGGGGACACAGCAGAGGAGAAAGGCAAGATTCTAGCATGCATGTCTCAAAAGTGGAAAGTGGCCGATCAAGGAAGATAAATTCTACTCAAAGCTCTTGACAGAGAAAAGGTTACATCACGAGATGGCACAGTCTCGATGAACATTTGGAAAACATGTTGGAAATATAGGACTTGAATTTTGTACTGTCCACGCTTATTTAAAAAATTACTTAATGTGGTACTGGGTATTAATTAAACTAAGGACCTTAAGCATAAAGCAAGTACTCTCCCACCCATCCACTACCCCATCCCTGTTAGTAACTATAAATATATAATTGGTATAAGGAGTCATTTTAAAGAATAAAAAGGATAATCAAATCTAAAAGGCAAGTGAAAATCTTAGCTGCCAAGGATCCCTAACAAGGATTCAGTAAAGAAAAGCAGAGTGGGACGGAGGTGTGCTCGGTGGCAGGCCACCTTATCATACAGGTGGGAGGGAACCACTTTTCTGAGGCATGATGCAGATGACAAGCTCAGCTGTAGTCAGGGTTGGTGCCAATGCTAATTCACAAGTGCCTTGTCTAAACTCATTTTCCTGTAAACAGGCAAAAACCCTAAGGGATGTGGCAGCCACTAGACTCTTCCTGACTGCCCTGGCCTCCTTGAGCAAAAGGATTTTCAGTCAAAGAGCCAGCTCGCCCACCCTTGTTCCAGCACCAGCCATCTCAAACACCCCACAAATGACCTGAGAAGACTGCATAACAACCCTGCCTAGGCTCCTGAACACACAGTTTGGGCTATTGAGATAGTTTATACTAAGCTGTTTTTATGTCAGAAGCCTAATGAATTCTAAATGATCCCACCAGTGTGGTGCCGAACAGACAACTTGAGCTCAGGGCAGACTCCTTCTCTGGCTATGTAAGCAGGCTGATCAGATTTCCATCTAGTCATCTGGGAGACATCCTGGGTTGCCTCCTGAGTACTGCAAAATCACAATAAATGGCTTTTCTTGGGGAGACTTTTTTATTTATTTTTTTCCTCATTGTTATAATTTAAAAAGGAAACAGTGGGAAGGAGTCATATCATACAACAGAGCTCACATGGGAGGTTTATTGGAAGAGCGTATCCTGTCTGGACCTCAAGGTCAGTACAGATGCTTGGATGCTAACACCCATTCCTACCAGATTCACTGCTGAGAGAAGAGTCAATTTCCTTTTAGGTGTCACCCTCTAATGAGGTCACACTTCCAGGAGTATATGGGAAGCATATACTCACTCACTCCTGAAACTCACTCTGTAGACCAGGCTGGCCTCAAACTCAGAGATCCTGCCTGCCTCTGCCTCTCAAGTACTGGGATTAAAGGCGTGCAACCTGGCTTGTTTTTGTATTGTTAAATGAAGAAAAATTGCTTTGTCTTAAATAAGTTCAAAAGCTTCCAGGAATATTAGTCATCAGAATTCTCATTTTACACATGAAGGAAGGAAAGTGCACACATGCCAGCAGAATAGATTAGAACATCAGACTCTGCAATTCAGTGTTACCCACCAGATTTGACAAGCATTCACTGACCAAGAGCAACTCACGTTTTATTGTTGTATGGTCTGTTCTGACAAATCTCTGGGGACAAATAGTAAGGTGTCCCAACACATGTCTGAGCAAGTTCCATGGAACTAGAAAATTAGAGTAAATAAAGAATATGTTTCATTTAGTAGAGTGAGAAAGGCTGAAGACAAGACTATGCAAGGAAAATTGTAAACATAAACAACAAAATTATACTTGTGCACAAACTAACAAAGACAGAAGGTTTTTAACCATTCAACGCCCATTCATGTGTGATGATGTGTGCCTTAATCCCAACAATTGAGAGGCAGAGACAGGGAGATATCTGTAAGCTGGAGGCTAGCCCTGTCTATTTAGTGACTTCCAGGACAGCCAGGAGAAGTCCTTGTCTCAAAAAAGAAAAAAAAAATCAACACCCAAATTTATACATACATACATACATACATACATATGTGTATATATGTAAACACACACATACATACTTATATGGAAAGAGAGAGAGAGAGAGCAAGAAAGCCAGGCATGGTGGCTCATGAGTATATTTCTAGTACAGGGAAAGTGAAGGCAGAAGAATAAGGAGTTCAAGGCCAGCCTCAGCTACATAACAAGTTAAGAGCTAGCCTGAGCTACATGGGATCCTATCACACACACACACACACACACACACACACACACACACACACACACACACACACAGTATGTATGGGCTAGAAAGGAAATTAAGAGCACGTGTTTTTCCAAAGGACCCAGATTCAGTTCTCAGCACTCATACTATGGCTCACAGCTATCCCCAACCCCAGTCCCAGGGGATCTGTTTCATTATGTGTGTGTGTGCGCACAGATGTGTGTATGTGTATAAGTGACAATGGAGGCCAGAAAAGCACGCGCTGGAGTTGGAGTTACAGAGAACACCAGAAGTGGGTTCTGGGAACCAAACTTAGATTCTCAAGAAGAGCAAGCACTCTTGAGCTCTGGGGCCCCATTGACAGACAATCACATGATTCAACATATTCATTTATAGTTCCATAAAATTGTGGGGATAATGAAACTTTTATCATCTTAAGTCACAATGCCTCAAAACGAACACTTTGTCAATTTCTGAATAGAAAGAAAGATAGAATTTTACAAGTGCTTACTTATTCAGTGTCCTTGCTGTCCCAAAGTCCCCAAGCTTTGCAACCAATCCATCCTTGCTAAGAAAAATGTTCTTAAAGAGAAGAAAAACCGTGTTCAGAAAAAGAATAAGAGCCACTGTGTCTTAGGCTGTGTGTTGGAGGGAGCTGCTACCTGAGATTTTATGTCCCTGTGTAATATCTTGCTGTCATGAATGTGCTTCAATCCTAAAGAAATCTGTACAAACCAGCACAGGATCTGCAGAAGGAGCAGAACAAGTCTACTGAGCAGTCTGCTGGCTTCTGGCGCAGGCCCCTGATGACACGAAACACGGGGACACTAACAGAAATGGAACACCCTAATTTAGTTTTATAGCCCAGAAAAGTGCCCCTACCCGCTGAGTCATCTTTCTGGCCCCACATGATATTTCCTTCTTTATTTTAGGTGTATGAGTGTTTTGTCTGCATGTATGTAAGTATGTATATAATATGCATACCTGGTATGTGTGGTAGTCAGAAGAGGGCATTAGGTTACCTAGACCTAAAGTTACAGATGGTTTGTGAGCCACCATGTGCGTGCTAGAAACTGAACCTAGGTCTGCTCTAAGAATAACAAGTGTTCTTAGCTGGGCGGTGGTGGTCCACACTTTTATTCCCAGCACTTGGGAGACTGAAGCAGGCAGATCTCTGTGAGTTTGGGGCCAGCCTGGTCTACAGAGTAAATATCAGGACAGGTTCAAAAGCCACAGAGAAACCCTGTCTTGAAAAAACAAAACAAAACAACAACAACAACAAAGAATAACAAGGGTTCTTGACATCCTAAGAAGCCATCTCTCCAATCCTGTCCTTATGGCTGTTTTAGACATGAAGTTCATCCTACATGAGATATGAATGCAAGAGATACTTCTTCCAAAAAAAAAAAAAATTCATTCTCAAAACTAAATTCTATTTCAAATACCAATAATATTCATGCATGGTTTTATGATTCAGATTTCCCCACCACAAACAGGCTTCACATAGTCGAGTGTGTAGAACATAATAAATTAACACCCCATGCACATTAGAAGTAGACTTACCTGATCTTCACTAAATAACACTCCCTTCTGCCTCCGGATCCTCTGCATGAGATCCCCTCCCTCACAGTATTCCATTACAATAAACAGCCTGCTATTCTCTGCAAGAAAACAGCATCATTTGGTGTGGGAGCTGTGAGATAGCATCAGCCTTTCAAAATGTAGAGTGTGAAGAATACAACAGGGAAGTGCTGTGCAATAAGAGTGGGTATAGCCTGGGGACGACTGGGTTCTCATCCCACAATAGTATTTGCCTTTCTTCTTTGCCTATTTGGCCTCCCGCAAGGGGTGGAGGAGCTCTTAACTGAGTAAAATGCAGGCCATGGGCACACAACAGTTGCTTGAAAACCATCACAAAGGTGCAGAGATTTGTATCTATTCTGTTCAGCATTTGGAGAGCTTGACTCCAGAACATGCTTAGCATTAAGAATTAATATTTACTAAGGGAACTCATTTTGCCTTAGGAAAACCATAATTTCTCCTTACTTTTCCTACATTGCTTCATATTCACAAAACCCTGTCTTTCATACTAGCCAGCTAATTTTGAGTAAATCAAAAGGATTAGCCAGGTGGACATGACCTGATCATAAGATTTATGTAACTCTGAACCTGGAGTTGGAGTAATGAGTGATTTCCAGCTCCACTTCCTGGCCATGTGGCAAAGTTTCACTTCTAGTAGAGAGTGGCCCCTGGTTAACAGCCAGCAAGAGAGTGGAAACAGACATGAGTACTTGGTTCTTGCAGTGGGAGATGAGATGTGATAGTGCCAGCAAAACCTACATTTACAGGGTCTCAGTCAGGACCTGGGGCTCTTGGCTAAGATCCTGTTTTAATTACCAACAAGCTGCCAAGCAATGTACAGGGGCAAAGGAGGTCATTTATACTGTGAAGAGGCCTTAGCAGTGTAACTGTATCCACTGCAAAGTGTCTTCAGAAATCCACCCTACATGGAATAAATGTATACTCCAGGCTATTACAATGGTCCAGTCCAGTCATTCATTGAGCAACTGTATACTCAGCATCTACTACCCTAAATTCATTAGTGTGTGTAAAACCCAGGACCTCATACATGCCATACAAATTCTTCCACCACCAGGCCACATTCTGGCATACCAACCATTGTCTATTTGGTAGAATGAAAACTAAGGAAGCCATCTATAAAAAGTCACTACAAGGGCTCAGCGTCATGGAACACACCTGTAACCTCAGCATTAGGGAGTCCAACAAATAGGATCTGGAGGTTGAGACAAGACTAGGCTACAGGAGACCCTGTCTCCACAGACAAACCTCACCAGATCAGAAATAAAGACATTTCAGATTACACTTTAGCTACACGGGAAAATGAACGTACTTACAAAACTTTAATAAATACACAATTCTTGGGAACACATCTTTTCTAAAGGTCACTGGTTTATTGGGATACTTGAATGACAGGAAAATCTAACCTTGAAATGCACTGAAGAAGGTTACAATGTTGGGATGCTTCATCTGAGCCAGAAGCATCACTTCTTTCTTAGAAGCTTCTTTTTCCTGGAAGGGCATCGAAGCAATGTTTTGAGACAGCATGTCTTGCAGAGGTAAATGGCTTATAGAGGCTTCCTTTCTGAGCACTGCCATCTGAAAACCCTAAAGGAGCCTCTGGCTTTAATGCCATGCTTAAAACTTTTCTCTCAAAGGCAGGGCCACTATGGGATGAAAAGAGTACCTCATATCTAACCATTGGCTCATCAGTGACTATTACAATCAAGGACATTAATAATGCTGGGGAAATGTTATTGTACTGAAAGTTGAAAATTGGTTTTACTTGCTATATGACTGTATACCCAGCTACCCAGAAGGCTGAAATCATTCTGGGCAACACAGTAAGGTCCTGTTTCAAGAAGTAAATGCAAATTATAAATAAATTGATAGGTAGATTTGTAGTCATTATCTGAACATCGTGAAATACTTCATCCTCCAGCATAAGCAAATTCTTTCTGAAACATAACATTCCAAAAGCTGCCACTGCTGAGAATAAAATGGTCATTATACAAAAACAGACCAGCAAAATTCCATATCCTGCATTTCTTCATTTCAAAAAATAAGCCATACATGCCTATAATGCTAGCACTCAGTAGTCTGAGGCAGGAGGATCCCAAATTTGAGGATACTCTTGGCTACAAAGGGAGATCATATCTCAAAACAAAAACAAAAACCAGTTTCTTGGGGCTGGCAAGAGGGCTTAGCAGGTAAAGGCATTTGTTGCCAAACCTGGGAACCTAAGTTTGACCCCTGGAGCCCCTAAGTTCGATCCCTGGAGCCCAAAGTAAAGGACTGATACCCACAAGTTGTCCTCTGACTCCACATTTATGTTGTCTCTCTCTCTCTCTCTCTCTCTCTCTCTCTCTCTCTCTCTCACACACACACACACACTGAGACTACCTTGTCTACATAGCTAATCTAGACCCTGTCTCAAAAACAAAGAAAGAGAGAAAGAGAAGGAGAGACAGGGAGGGAGAGCTAAAGGGAGGGCAAGAAGGAGGGTAAAAGGGAGGGCAAGAGGAAGGAGGGGGGGAGGAAGTAGGGAAGGGAAAGAAAATAGGAACACACAGAGGTGGATCAGCCAGGCATTCAGCTATCACGGCTTGTATCCAGAACGATGACAAGTCCTTTGTTCAATGGGAGGAGGGGGAGACCAAGAAAGTGAACAAAATATATGTTCTTGGATTGGATTTCTAGGGGATGAAAGAGAGTCAGCTGAACCTTAAAATTCATAATTGTGAAAAGGGTATTTGCTTCCATAATAGATTGACAATGTGCAGGCTAGAGGGATGGCTCAGCACTTATTGCTGGTACAGAGGCCCAGGTGCAGTCCTTACCACCCAGATCATGTGATTCACAATTGCCTGTAAACCAAGTTTGGGGGGCACCCAATGCCCTCTGACCTCTGCAGGCACTTGCACTCACATGGTGCACAGAACTCATACAAGCACACACACATACACACAGCAAATATTTTTAATGCTAAATATACCTCTTTAAATTATCAAAATTTTGAACTTAACTTTACCTGTGTAAAATTGATCTCCTTTATGACACAATAATTGCTTTCTGTTTTGGTTTTTGCCAAGTATACTTTCCCAAAGGTGCCTTTCCCGATGATCTTAATCAGGTCAAATCTATCCATTGTTTCAGGGGTCAGAGGCTCCTAAAATGAAGTCATAAACCTTCACTGTACACTTCTTGTGACAACTAGCCAGCAGAAGATGGACAAAGGCAAAGAACTGTTTGCTAAAACTTTCCACCCAGCTTTTCAAGTGTCAAGAAATTTCCTTATGACCACAAGTAATGTCGTGAAAAGGGTTTGGTTGGTAGATTCCAAAGTCAGCTTTGTAATCTTAGACGAGTCACCACCTCACAAAACCTTTCTTCTCTAGCTTCTAAACCGGAAAATTACTTGTGTTTGAAGGAGAGACACCTCATCGAAGGTGGTTGGAGCTTATAAAGAGCTGAAGTCCAAAGGCCCGGCAAGCACCATTTAAGTCTTAGTGGGAGGTACTGCCCTCTACAGGGAAGCCTGAGAATTTATTCTATCCGTGTTTTGGGTTCTAGAGATGTGGGGGACATTATGATAGTTAAGAAGTTAGGGCCTGGGGTACTAGCTTTGCCATTCAAAGGTCGTTGGTCCCACACAACAAGGGATTACCACAAAATCCCTGCATACATTTACGTAAGTGGAAAACCCATTCACAATTAGCTGCCTCTAGAACCGAACTATCACACGTCTAGCTACGTGTCTCCCTATGGGGATAAAGTAGTACTGGGCTTCCTAAAAATATAAAGCAAGGCTTGTTTGGGTCTGGGAACTTTTCTACTAGTTGTACCCCAATATGGAACAACACCCCGGTCTACTGGCTGTAGAGCTGCAGTCGGTGGGAGGTCCAGAGTTCTAGCAACCATGATCAGGCGACTGGCCTGTCACCTGGCTACAGGTGTTTACAGGGGGAAATATGTACTTTGTTGTAGGTTGCTTTCCTTCTTTTTTGTTTTGTTGTACTGGGAATCAAATCCAGGATCCCATACAGGCTAGGTAAGCATTCAACCACTGAGCTTTCTTTATAGCTAATCCTTTTAGGAGACTTTATTGAAATTGCTCTAAAATGTTGAAGCAGGGCTTCAGTTTGCCATCCCCCTGCCTCTGGCACAAAGCAAACTTCTAAACCCCTGGGTGGTCTATTGAGTAGGTTGTTTTCAAATGATTTCGACTTAGGTGGGCACAGGCTTGTCAGCAGACGCTGAGGCCAGCTTAAGTGGGGGCGGGTAGGGGCGCTAGAGTCCAGACTTTGTGGCTTGTGTGTTGCCATGGAAACTGACGCTGCCAGGTCTCCCCCACCACCTGGCCTCCCCCAACCTCTCTCCGCAGCCTTTGGGAGGCCTGAGACAGCTCTTGAAGAACAAACACGGTGGGTGGGCTCAACTTACCTGCTCAGCGGGCTTTGTGCAGTGAGCCTTTAAGTGTTCAGGCAGATCTGGCCCCTGGCAGCTAAGCTTCCAGGACGCTGGGGCAGGGCCACCGCGCAGGAAAAGTGGGCGGAACGCTGGGCGGGGAGCGGGGAAGGGGAGACCCACCGCGCTCTTTCCAGTTGCCTGTGCTCTGAACCCAAATGCAAAAAAAGCAACAAAGAACTTATCTCCACACTCCTGTGCTGTAAGAAGTCAGTCAGAGAAGGAAAATGAGGACACTGAGTTCGACCTCAAATCGGGGCGAGCACACTTTTTATTGAGAGAGGTTGGCAACCTGAAGCTCCTAGGTTGGCAACCTGAAGCTCCAAAGGTGCAGAAGGCAGTGCAAGGTCTGAAATTCGGGTTTTATAGTGGAGATCAAGAAGCTGGGAGAAGCAATTTGGGGTCAGAACTTCGGGGTAGGAGATCAAATTGCCTTGTTGCAACCTTTGGGTTCCAGGGTGTGTATTAGGGGTGGCTATTTTCTAGACTTCTATTGGCGGCATTGATTTTTTTTTTTTTTTTTTTGAAGCCTTAGACCGCTTTTTTTGCGCGTGGGGATGGAGAGTTTTAGTGTTTTGGCATGTATATGCTGTCTGCCACCTACAGAGGTTTCTGATGAGTGAACAGTGCTGGAAGAAAACGTGTTGGTTTGGTTATTGGGGGAGGTGGTGGTCATGATCTCTAGGGTTCCATACAAGCTAAGCAGTGTTCAACTGTAATATATATTCCCAGGAGAAAGTATGTTTCTCATGCAAGGTCTCAAATACTGCTGAAGGGTGTATTAAGATGGGAACCTGGGTCCACAAGCAAAAGGAGGTGCTGTTCAGGTGCTCTCAACCTAGCTCCATGTCATCTTTTTTTTAATGCTTGAAGTTCTTGTTGGTCACTATGTTCTGAAAGAAGCATGTACATGGAAACTATCATTTCCTGCCCATAGGCCCTAAAGTGTTGTGGAGTTTTGTTTGTTTTTTGTAAGTGGGGTCTCACTATGGATCCCTGGCTGGCCTGGAACTCACAGAAGTCCAGATGCTTGCCTCTGCATCCCTGCTGAAACTAAAGATGTATGCCACACCCAGTTCTCTTTTTAAGAGTAATCAGGACTGGCAAATCTCAGCCAACTAAGCAAACACAAGGAGTTTGGTTTAAAGTGGAAATCTCCTGATTTTCAAGAGGATTTATAGACTCTTTGGTGGCTAATGAGATATAATTATGCACATAATTTCATGTTTGTTTTGTCTGATGGATTGTAATGTTTGTACCCAGAGATTAGAGCTGATAAGGATATATGGAGGGTGATATAAATGGAAGTTGAGTGTCTTGGAAATATTCTTGTAACTATTCATGCCTTCTTGAACATGAATCATCATCAGAAAAGTGGCAAGCTAATGTTCAAGGGACTGACCTAGGAAGGGTGAAGCTGACAACAGAGGCCACACCCAAACTCTGCACCCTAATTGCTAATTTATTCCTCATAGCAGTGAAAGTGAACAGTTTGGACACTGCTTTGTTTGTATACTGGTCTCAACCACTAAACAGATAGCTCTCATTGTCAGGAAAAACAGGAATAGGAAAAGAGCAAGAGAGAAGCCTGAAGTAGCCTTATGGGATTGCATGAGTCAGTGATGTCAGTGTGAGGCTGTGCTTATTTAATATACATACAGATGGGGATGCACAAACATAGGTATGTAGACGGTCCCGATATGCCAGGAGTAACCAGCACAATAGTATCCAGATACTGGCTTTAAAACAGTGATGGGCACTGTGGCTTCTTGGAAAAAGAGTATTGATTCTGGGGCTGGAACAGAGAAGGTTCCAGGTTGAGCCTACTTTATCTAATTTAACTTAGTAATTTAAAAGGACAAGAACATCACAAGCCAGTGACACAGGGTAACATTACATTCTTTGCTCTACCACAACTAGAATCAAATCCTCTCAACATTGTGGGGCCTCAGTGACAGTGAGCAGAACAGGAACAGAGAAGTTAGTACCTACTGATGGAGGCAGGCAGCATCTGTGGCACACTGTGCTGATGTCATGTACTCCCTGAGAGCACATGAGGAGGACAGGGCTTACCTTTGTGAAGAACACTGGACACACCCAAATTGAGGATAAAAAACAAAATACCTAACCAGCACTCCTCAAAAATGGCAAGGGAAGACAGAAATTGCCAGAGATCTGACACTGGCCACATGACTGCATACAAGGGGACACACAGGGAGGATGGAGGTTTGCACAGCAGCCTTTGCATGCTAAGATAAACAAAAGCTGGGCTGTGATATAGTAGCTGTGGTAGATTACTTGCCTTGCATTCATAAGGTCCTGGGTTTGATTCCCAGCACTGAAAAAAAGGGAGTGGAGTTAAGTTGTTAAAAGCTACTTGTAGTCTATTTCAGCAGATCCAGGTAAAGTACTGAACTAGAATTTCTACCCAGTCTTCATCAGGGGTCAGGAGAAGCCGGTTTCTTCACTGGGGAAAGATTCTCCCTTCTCTAAAGTGTCATAGCATTAAATGAGGTAATGCATGGTGGGGTCCAGGATGTATGGGCATGGTGCCCCGCTTCATTCCATAACACTTTCTAGTTTCTGATGTTTGCAATATCCTTTTGGCTGTAATCCTGCCTCGGGTCCAGGACTGCAATCTTCTGGGAGGCCACCCCACTTGTCTTAAGGCTGATTCCCTGACCCCTGGCTTTTTGTAAAGCCTATGAGAAACATTTAAGGGGAGCTGTTAGTTGGTAAACATCACTGGAAATCATCTTGAAGCATCACCAAATTGGGTATTTACTGAAAAGTGGCACACATTTTTATGTCACAATTTAATATAATTAGATCCGTTTAGGAAATGTGTCACATAGAAACCATGGATAACAACAAATGGGTTGCTATAACTGTCTTAGCATTCCTAGGAGGTGGGCAATGTTATTCTCATTGTATAGTTGAGAAAATGAGGGATCAAAGGAGTTAAGTAATTTCCTATTATCACACACAAAGTTAGCCAGCAGCCTAGCACTCTACCTTTGTTCTATCAGAATGCAAGGCACATAGCATCTCTACACCTCCCATGTTAAAAAACAAACTCACAAGGGCACATTGTGGTACATTTTCTCAGTCTTCATTCCATCCCCAGTCATCAGTGTCTCCCCACATGACTCAGGTACATTATCCGAGGAGTTTCCCATCACATACGTCCTGCCATCCCACTTGCTTCTTTAGTTCTGACACCCAGTCAGGGTTCTCATCATCTTCCTCAAAGTCCCTGTGAAAACAGTTTGAATGAAGCTTCTGGATTAGGCACATGGTTTGTACTTCTTGATGGGTTCAATTGAGTAGAGGAAAAAAATTGTCCTTCCCCCAAAAAGTGTCACTAGTGTATTATCAAATGAAAACCAGATATATTGGCACATGCATTTAATCCCAACACCTTAAAGCTGATGCAGGAGGAACCTAAGTGCCTCAAAACTCAGAAACAAAAACAAGTCCAGGCTAAAAATACACTATGTGCAGGATCCATTTAGGAATTCATAGTAAAATGTCAGTATTGCCCACCATACAGGAGCAAACAGAAGTGCTCATTTAGGATGAAAGCAGTATAGCTATTACTATCTGAAATTACTGTGTTATGATATGGCATGTGCATATAGGCTCCAGTCCCCAATTACAGCATGCTAGGTTTTTTACAACATACGTGTCTTCCTCATCCAGCCGAGGTTCAAATCTCTCTGGATCCAAAACAACGGAATCTTGGTCTCCGTCAACACTGTCTGATGCTGTTTCTTCAGAAAGGGGACCTTTCAAGAACCCTTCTGTACCTTCAAAGAACAGCAATAGAAAGCATAACAGTCCACCTGTTCATTTTTAAATGGGGTCTCCCTACGCTGCCCAGGTTGGACTTGATCCCTTGGCAGATCTTCATCACAGCCTCCCAAATGTCAGCACTACAGACCAGAGCCACAGTGCCTGGAGAAGCCAGACAATTTAAACAGCATTTACTCTTTATGATTTAGGTAGGCAATAGACCCTGGAAGTAACAGAATGTAGATTAAGTTTTAAAGCAACACTTTTTCCAAGAGACGGGGTAAAATATACTAAAATCGTTTAAAGTAAGAAATCTATATTACTGTCTAAGCAATTTGGGGAGATACTGTCTCAAAACAAATAATAAGAAAGATCTAAGGAGTTAGCTCAGGACCTTATGCACTCTCTACAGAGCGCACCACTGCTGGGCTAGACACCAGCCCTCTCTTTTTAATCATAATCTATATTAGTCACTCAATAAGCATTCATAAAATAAACAAATATAACTAAATCTCTTGAAACATTGTCAAAAACTACCATGCCATTACAGGCTTTACTTGATGTGATTCATCTCAGATTTTAAGCAAGCAGGAAGGAGAGGTGGAGTGGGCGGAGGGGAGGCTGCCGTCAGGATTTATTATACAAGAGAAGAATAAACAAGCAAGGAGAGTTAACATTTGAGTTATCCAAGTTCTATGCACACACATGCAATCCTTAAATGCAGTCCTCTGGCCTGAAATCCTAAGGAGAATATTATAAATGGTTGTTCTGTCTAATAAGTTTAATGAAAATGTTTCAAAAATTAAATCCTGGCCAGGCAGTGGTGGCTCACACCTTTAACATTAATACTTTCGAGGAAGAGGCAGATGTGCGTTCAAGGCCAGCTTGGTCTACAAAACTACAAATTCAGGGCAGCCAAGGCTACACAGAGAAACCCTATCTCCAAAAAAGAGAGTCCTATTTTAAAGCTCTATTCAATATAACAGAATTTAAAGAAAATTTGAAGCCAGGCATGGTGATACACACCTTTAATCCCAGTACTAGGGAGGCAGAGGCAAGGTGGATCTCTGTGAGTTTGAGGCCAGCCTGGTCTCTACAAAATGAGTTCCAAGACAGCCAGGGCTATTACACAGAGAAACCCTGTCTTGAGAAGAAAGAAAGGAAGGAAGAAAGGAAAGAAGGAAGGAAGGAAGGAAGGAAGGAAGGAAGGAAGGAAGGAAGGAAGGAAGGAAGGAAGAAAACAAATTTTAGGTTTGAGATTACCCCTAAGACAACTATATATTTGCCTTAGCAAAAAGGGCTGTTCCTGGGCTAGGGACAATGTACAATAGCATGGGTTTGATTCCCCAGCACCACTACTAACAATTTAAAAAGGACTCTTTCAAACATAGCAGTATTGTGATTGCTAAAATAAGAAATCAGGAAATAGAAATAAAGCATCTGCATGAGAAAATTTAAACACAGGTTAAGCCTGCCCATACATAATTCAAGAACATCTAAAAGTGGAATTTTAGAACTTCAAAGATTTACTTATCTTTATTGTGTGTGTGTGTGTATGTGTGTGTGCACCCACACTTCTGCATGTACCACATGTGTGCCTGTGTACCAAGAGTGGATAGAACTGAAGTTGCCACGTGGTGCTGGGAATCAAACCTTGATCCTCTGAAATGCAGGGTCCTCTTAACTGCTGAGCCATCTTTCCTGCACCATCTTGACAACTTTAAAGTCACAGGGGTTTGAGGAAGAATGGGTGGGTTACTATTTAATGTGTGCAGCTCCAGCTTTGCAAAGAAACAGAATTTGGAGACTGGTTGCACAACATCGTGCATGAGTATAAAACTACCCAACTGTATACTCAGGGAGTATTAAGATGAGGACCTGGAGAGGGGTGGCTCAGCAGTTAAGAACACGTGTGCTCTTCCAGAGGACCCGAGTTTGGTTCCCAGCATCTACCTACATAGTGGCTCACAACTGCCTATTAACTGCAGCTCCAAGGGATCTGATTTCCTCTTATGACCTCCCTAGGAACCTGCACACCTGTGGCACACACTCACACAGACACAAACACAAAAATAAAAATAAATCCTCTAAAACTTACTAAGATGGTCATCTTCACTCCTATTTTACCATAGTTTTGAAAGTCAAAGTATCCTCATGATCATATAATAGGCGAACATTACCTGGTCTACATATTGTGTATGTTTGAAATGCCAGGCTGAGATCAGCATCCTTCAGCATTGACAACAAGGTCTCGGGGGGCTCTCTGAGCCACTGCTTACGGGTATGATGTTCACTGTACTTTATTACAGAACCACCTAGTTGTAAAGAGAGAATACAGGTTAAAAAAAAAAAAAAAAAAAAAAAAAAAGAATCTCCAGCATCTATCCTTCAGATCACATTTCAAGCAAAGCTATAATTATATGTGACTTGCACTGAAAATCTAGTTCACTCACCTGCATGAAGAGCACTGAATGTCTACTGCAGAGTGATACAAACTCTAGTGAATGCTACTACAGAGTGTTCAGTCTGACTATGTTCTCCCTGTATATATCCATGGGCTCCAAATTTTTGGATCTAAGATATTTTTTAAAAGTTAAGTCTGGAGCTGGAGAGATGGCTCAGTTGTTAAGAGCATGTGTTGCTCAATTACAGAGTTCAGATCCTGGCACCCACACTGGGAAGTTCACAAATGACTGTAATTCCAGCTCCAAGGGATCTGACAACCTCTTCTGGCTTCATACACATATGCACATATAACCTCTCTCTCTTTCTCTCTCTCTCTCTCTCTCTCTCTCTCTCTCTCTCTCTTTCCCTCTCCCACACACACACACACGTAAAATCAAAATTAAAAAATTAAAGTCTGTATTGAACATAATCACATATGCACAAAACCAGCACAGTGCAGCAACCATTTACATAGTATTTATGTTACATTATGTACAAGTGGTCTAGACATTAAAGTATATAAGAGAAAGTAGGTGTTACATGCATTTTACATGAGGTGACCGGCATGCATGAACACTGGTATCTGAAACCAGACCCCAAGAGGTGATGATGGTACTAACCTCTGTCATCCTGTGCCGTGAAACTGGAGGTAAGGATGGGTGCTTTTTCTAAAAATGTTAGAGATGAACTGGGAACATGTCTCTCCCACTGCTGCCTAGGAAGGCTTGCTGAAGCAACACTCCTCTGGTGCACTGATGGATTACCTGATTCTCAACGGGGAAGAGGAGGGTCAACACTATCATTTTCTGTTTATTTATCCACATTTAAACATGTACTCAAACAAGGCAGAACTACCTCTTGTCTCTTTCAAACTCACATGTAGCAAGAATCTTGTCTAGTCTTAGGAACAAGGAAATACCAACAAAAATCTTGAAATGAGGTCATGCAAAATGATAGCTCAATCCAGAATGAACCATCAAAGTGGCTGCATTAAAATATGAGTATCACTAACCTTTAGCATGAAGCACAGGAATGAAACTTCCATGGACTCATGCACACAAAGTTAGCTATAGTTCTAAGGACTATGGCATACCTTCCCTTCCCTCCCCACTTCCCTCTTAGTGTTTTGTAGGCTGAGGTTTTTACTTAGGAAGACAGCATGAACTCTATTAACAAACCACACCCCAGCCCTTAAATTCTCTCTCTTTAATAAAAAAATTGTATGACAGCTGGGCTTTGGTGGTGCACACCTTTAATCCCAGCATTCCAGAGGAAGAGTCAGGCGGATCTCTGTGAGTTCGAGGCCAGCCTGATCTACAGAGTGAATTCCAAGACAACCAGGACTGTTACACAGAGAAAACTTGTCTCAACAAAGTAAATAAATCAATTGTATATTATTAGCCATTTTGCCTGTATACATATCTATGCACCATATGAGTATTTGGTGCCCACAGAGGTCAGAAGAAGGCATCATATTCCCTGGGACTGCAGTCACAGACACTTGTGAGCTGCTATGTGGATGCTGGGAATTGAACCAAGGACCTGTGGAAGCACAGTCAGTGCTCTTAACCATGGAGGCATTATCTCCAGACCTTAATGTCTCTTATTTTGCAGATAACCAAAATATTTCTCTAATAGTAAATCCTGGATGAGGAATAAATACTGCCTACTTGCTAATGATACCCCCAGACCAAGTAAGGTGAACACTGGTCTTCACCCACAGCCCCCAACTACCTACATAGTAATGATCATAACTTGAGTCACTCACCCAGATTTCCTCTCCTCAATGCACTTCCAACTGAGTTTGTATGAGTGCTTTCCAATTCAGTATGGCTACATTTTCTATCATGTTCTTCCTCTTGCTTTATAAAAGATTTAAAAGTGATTAAATAATGTTTGTATTACTACATATGTGCAAACATGTAATCAGCCATTTTAATTAAAAGTAAAAAGTAATGCACTAAAAACATGAAGTCATAGAAACCCAAATATAAACATATTAGTAGCTATATATATGATATACACATGCACATGAATAACAGTTTGCTCATATAAATGTATATTAATATCCATGTATGTCAGTAGCCATTATTACAGATATGTGTGAAGGCGGGGAAGTAATGATTTCATTAGACCCAAGATAAATGATAAGTGGGTGTTTGTTGGGGAACACTTACACACCTCAGGAGCATTTCTCTGCCCTTCCTACCAGATGGGCTGACCCACCATAAAAGCCACGAAGTAAAGCCACACCTCAAGCTTCCCTCTTTCTGCTTCCAACGAGGCCACGACCAAGGGGGTGTGGCCACTGCTACAAGTTCACTGCAAGACCGCTACATATGTGTGTGTATATACACAATAGCAGATATATTTAACTATTTTTTTTCTTTTATTAAAAATATTTCTTTCATGCAATATATTCTGATCATGGCTTCCTCTCCCCCATCACCTTCCAGATCCTCTCCACCTCCTCACACACTTAACTTCATGTTCTCATATTCTCTCTTCCTCTCCCTCCCCATCCCTTTCTCCATCCATCCATCCATCCATCCATCCATCCACCCACCCATCCATGTCTGCCACTCTGGCAGCTACATTTTAAAAGTAGTAAACATTAATGTGTATGAATGTAAATGCTATTGAACTATATGCCCCCAAATCATGAAGATGTGGAGCCTGGGAAGAGAGAGAAAGGTGGCTCAGCAGTTAAGAACACTTGCTGCTGAATCAACTCCAGCCAACTCTTGTCTGACCACCATACCACAGCATATGTGACCCCAATCCCATAGTTAAATAAATGTAATAAAATTAAAAAGAAAATGGTCTTTGAGTATTCATTGCAAAGTCTTCCACCCTTGTTATATAAAATTCTACTATAGAAATATGATTAAATCAGTACTTTTCCAGATTGTCAGAACCCTAAACTTCGTGCAGTGTAGTAACACAATGAGTGTTCACTAAGTATGTACATATTCAGAGAAGGGATACAAATGCAGTCCCTAGCTGGCTCAGGCGCCATTCTCAGTTACTGGTTCAGTGAATAGACAGGAAGCAGGCCATGCTGGCACATTAACTTTTCTTGTTCTTATGCAGTGGTTCTCAGAATCCTTTTTGACACATCCATGGGACACAAAACATCTCTCGTCACATCACACTGATGGCTCAGCACACCTTTGGATGTTAAAAGCCCTCAGGATGCCACATGCCCTACTTCGGTTTGACCTCAATTTGACACAGTCTGTAGTCATCTGAGAAAGGAACTTCAATTGTCAGATTGCCCAGAAGAATGGCCTGTGGGTGTGTGTGTGCGGGGGTCTTGATTGTTAATTGATGGAGGAGGCCTAGCCCACTGTAGTGGGCCCTTTCTCTCAGCAGTTGTTGGGTCTGGACTGTACAGGCGAGCTCCTAAGCATGTACCCAGGAAAGAGCCATCAAGCAGTGTCCCTATGGTCTCTGTTGCAGTTCTTGTTAAGTTCCTACCCTGGCTGTTTTAGTGATGGACTTGGCCTAGCCCTGTAGTTGCTTTTGCTCAGAACTTTAGCATAGCCACAGAAAGGAACTGAGAACACCAATTACCCTGTTGAAAATTGATGTTCTCTTGTCCCACAACAGCCTCAAATTAGAGGTCACGTAGCACTGCCCGGGGTGGCCTACAGGGTTCTCTTGGTACCTCAGTCATGGCTTGTCTTATTTGCTTTTTGGCCTTCACCATGTTTACAGGCTGTACCCTTTTCACTTGGGAGGCCTTTGCTGAACATTCCACAAATGGTGGTGGCAAAGTTGGGCTCTGTATACTGCTTCAGCCAGTGACCCCCTAAGGTAGACAGACCTTTAGTGACACTGACGCCCCTCCAGGATGTTTGCATAATGATGAAATCACCAAAGAATGCTTCCTCAGAACAGGCCCAGAGAGTTAAGCAATACACAACATTGTTAACACACAATTTCCCAAGGGCAGAGTTAGATGTGTTCTGCAAAGGAAACACAAACTCCTCAGAAGATCTGAATTTCTAAATTCTTACTGTGGTACTAACTATATGGCTACCTAAATAAAGTAACCAAAATTCTCTAAGCAATATGCTAAAAATGGCTAAATTTTATATGTAAAATATGCTTCAATAAATCTAAACAATATCCCAATATTGCAATGAAATTATTTTTTTAAGATTTATTTATTTGTTATGTATACAGTGTTCTGCCTGCATGTATGCCTGCAGGCCAGAAGAGGGCACCAGATCTCATTTTAGAAGGTTGTGAGCCACCATATGGTTGCTGGGACTTGAACTCAACCTATGGAAGGCCAGCCAGTGCTCTTAATCTCTGAGTCATCTCTCCAGCACCATGAAATTATTTTTTTTTTAAAGGCACAACACCATCAGGGATACTTTACTTGCATCAATGTAGTAGTGAGTTATTATTTACAATCTAAGGTTCATTAGAAACTTTACAAGTTTAATTACTCATAAATTCCATGATGGGAATAATCTGCTGACAGTGCATCTTGCCCCCTTCTGGGGGGGTGGGAGACAGGCTGGCAATGATGCACACACTGGCCTTGGAAACTGCTTTGACAACCCCCCTATTTTGCTAGCATACACTTCACTATTGTAAGCAAAATCCCTCTGCAGAGACAATGAGCAGCAGGACTGCACTCATGCAAAAACTTCCTTAAGGCTGCCTCTCACTCCAGTGCCAGGAGCACAAAGCACAAGTGTAGTCTAATTCCTTGTTGACTAGACTCCTGGTGAGTCAGTCTGTAAATGGACATGATCATAGCAGGGCATCAAACAAAAAGCTGAAGAGGTTTGCTTTCCTCCTTGTCCTCATAACACCTCCTAAAAATGTTACCCAAAAAATAAAACAAAATAGAAGTCTTGAAGTAAAAGCAATTCCTCATATTCATTTTGTTGTTTTATTTAGTTGACAAAGGGTTTCACTATGTAGATCAGGCTGGTCAAGAACTCAGTGATCCACCTGCCTCTACCTCCTCAGTGCTGGGATTAATGGCATGCATCACTACCCCAGATGTAAAGAATTTTTTTTACCTGAGATGACAATGGAGAGCTGTGGTGATGTGTGCCTATAATTCCAGCACTTCAAGGGAAAGGACAAAACATTAAAGTTGTCCTTGGTTACACAGAGATTTGGCTATATTGAAGCAAGACTGAGCTACATGAGACCTGTCTCAAAGAAACTAAAACAAACAAAAATATTAAAGTACACAGATAATTATAAACAAATACAAACACTCAAGGAATGCCAACTGAAAACTAATTTTTAAAGAAAAATTGATCTTAGTTATGCTTCTTAGTTATAGCCAGAGTTATCAGGAGCAGAGGGAACCTCAATTGAGAGAATGCCTCCATAATATCCAGCTGCACAGCATTTTCTTAATTAGTGATTGATGGAGGATGGCCCAGTCCATTGTGGGTGGGGCCATCCCCTGAGCTGATATCCTGGATTGAATGAAAAAGGAAGAAAGGAGAAAGCAGGCTGAGCTCTGCTCCCAGAACCTCACACTCTGCCATGTTCCCTGCTGGGATGGACAGCACCTCAGGTGAGCCCATACCCCCACCCCTCTTCCTTTGCTTGCTTTTGTCAGGTATTTTGACACAGCAAGGAGAAAAGAATAAGACACTATCTCAAAACAAAAACAAATAAACTGTTAAATGGCAAACCGTGTGTGTGTGTGTGTGTGTGTGTGTGTGTGTGTGTGTGTGTGTGTGTGTAATCCACAATAAAAGCAAAACAACAAAGGCAAGATTTCTCACATCTGGAGGCAGGACTGACTTCTGTCATATCTACATTGACACCACTGCCATCGGCAGTTAAAAATAGGAACCAAGAATAAAAGAAGGTCTGAAGGACTTGGCACATGATACAGGGCAACAGCTCCCTGATGTTTCATGCATCAAATGGTTAAAGATGACTTAGCTGGAGGGGCAAGGGCAAATCTGAAACCTCACAGCCTGGCAACACACTGGATGCTCAGGGAGAGCCTGCTTCATAAATTAGGTTTAGAGCACTTACCATGGCATTTGCTTCCTCCCTCGGAGCTCTCTTGATTCTGCTGGGGTCTGCTTAGAAAGACAAGGTAGGAGAAACACAGGAATGCTCATCTTATTAAATTCTAACATAACCATTCCCCATCCCCTTCCCCCTGTCATGTTATGTGTTTTGAGAAAGCCCCCATTATGTAGCCCAGGTAGTCCTTAAACTCTGATCATCCTTCCTCAGCCTTCCTCGCTCTGGCATTATTGGTGGCTCACATAAGAATGTCAAAGATACTGGACCACAGCATTAACCTGAAATGGTATCAAGCTTTCAACACTCGCTAATATTCTCTAGATAATAAAAGAAGCAACTTACATTGTTCAGACAACATGCAAGTCATTTATGCCGACCCATTTAAGCACCAAGAAGTTAGAGAAGGCTGCACCCTCACATTTTAATGATTTTGGGGTTTTGTTTGTTTTGGGTTTTGAAGCAGGGTTTCACTAGGTAGCCCTCGATAGCATAGAACTAATTATGCAGATCAGGCTGGCCTGAGACTTACAGTGATCCTCCTGCCTCACCTCCAAAGTGCTGGGATTAAAGGCACATGCTACCATGCCCAGCTTCATTCAACATCTTAAAAATGGCTATTGAATACCTGTAAGGACAGGCCATAAAAACACGAGAGGAACAAGTCACACACAATCCCTGCCGCTGTGAATGATTTCACTCCTCTGGTCTCACTAGAGACTATGTTCCCATTTCACTGCCTCCTTTATTCTTCCTGCGACTGTCAATGAAGATATTCCAAAGAGGCCCTTTTGTTCTCTCTTTGGCTCTCAGACTATAGGAACAATAATCCCCAAGGAACTGGCATTTCTCCAGGAGTCTCATGCTGGAAGAGGGGAGAGGCTGAAACCTAGGGAAGACAGAGGGAGTCTGTCTTCTAGAAATAGATTCCATGTGGTTCTGACAACTGAGAGACTGAAACAAAGACAATGATGGGTCAGTCATGGGGGCCCACCTTGACCAGGACAATTTAGCCGTGCATATCCCTTGCCTGTTGTAGACCTGAGATCCTCATGTCAGGATCCTGGAAGATAGGCAAGGTGTGTGTGTGCAAGAAGGGAACAGAAAGCCATAAAAGCCACTTTACATTTAGTCAACATGGGACTGAGATGGATATCTGGCATAGATCAAGATGGCTAATGCTGGACATCTGAGGGCTATGAGTCAGCAATAAATTTATGGCTGATGTCAGATGTCCAGGGAACCCAAAAGTGACAGGGATGTAATCTGTTCTATAATTATACCTGGCATAATGCCACTTTTGTATGATTCTGTGTAAATATGGCCTTGATGTCAGAGGCAAGTGCCTTGGTCAGCCTGTGTGTGCTGGTCTACCGTGTGCATCCTATGGATGCTGGGGTGCCTGACAGCATCTGACTTCTGTGTGTATAAGCAGATAAAATAAGTCTTATCTACAGCTGTATTCTCTTTAAGCTCCTAGCCTCGGAGACACTGGAGCACAGATCTCAGAGTGGGTGTCACTAGTCCTCTTGGGTCCTCTTCCCAGTATGGACACCATAAAGAGCCCTCGGTTCTCTTTTCACCTTTGTCTTTAATTGGCTAATTGAGGACAGGGGCTGAGCCTTGCTTGTTATGGCCACTTTGGAAACCGCTCTGATGCTAACTCCTGTAATAACTATTTTGGAATTGTAAAGCTACGTTTTTCCAAAATGTATTAAAATTCTTCTTAGCACTTTCTTGCCCAGTGTTTCCTACTACCTTGGGATGTGAACAAAAGCCACAAAGTAGTACCAGGGGTAAAATTATCGCCAAAGCAAACTTGGAAAGCCAAGTGAGTAGTTGTCTCCAGAGCGACAGAAGAATCTGCCTGTGAACTGGGCCTATATCCATGATGCTGCGACACACTCTTTCAGTCTGGCCCACAGTCCCTGGCTCCTAACTCCTGTAGCCCTTCATCCTAACCCAGAAAAACAAACTGCTTTCACAATGTTTCTCTGGTAGTCCATAAGGACATCACCATGGTACACAATGCCCAGCTGGGAGTGACCCATACCTAACTCTTCTCTATTTTTTCTCACATCTGTCATCTCCATGGACTTCTTTAGAAGGAAGTTGCTGATAAAAGGAAAAGAAATTTTTAAGTGCTCTGAAAAAATTTAGATGACAAGTTCCAAAAGAGAAGTTAAATTAGATTTGGTGCCTGCTTAGGGCAGTCTATAGTCGTATGAAATTTTTAGGCAGTTGTTACATGGATAATTCCTTTTGAAAAGGTCTTTTAAAAATTTTATTTATCGATAAATGTTATCTTTAAAGATTTATGGTCACAACAAACTGAATGAAAAGCATACACACCTGTTTCCACACATGCATCACCTCTTACACCAAATGACACCCTGAACTACATGATGTTCCTGCTGCAGTTGGTGAGCCGACACTGACCAACACTACCACTCAACGCTACCCTTCTCTGTAGAAAAGGCTCTGCCTTTGAAAAATTAGTTTGCACAACGGTCCATCAGAAACTTGGGGATACAGTTTGCTTAAATATTAGTGTTGTATTTTCATGGTTAGATCCCTTTGAGCCTTCAACCTAACCCATAATAAGCCAAAGTAGATAAGATTCTAAGATAAAAAAAATGCACATTCTCTCATCACTGAACTATCCAAACTAGGTTCTTCTTAGTTCCTAGAAATTAAAAAGTACAACATCGAGTCAGGAAAAACCTGCAGAAATAAAATTGATGCTAGGAAGGATTTACTTCCTTGTGAAATATTAAGTCTCACAAAGTAGAATTTAGCTAGAGACCACCTCTGATATGACTGGAAGGTAAGGATCATACTAACCAGTCTTGTTAGCAACTGCAGGACAGAGAGTTCCACAAAGTAGCTGAAGTTCAGGGTTGCTGAGAAAGTTTCTGCTAAGATCTGTTCACTAGGATTTATCTCCAATTAGGCTCCATCCCCATAACAAAAGGAGACAACATAGACTTAGAACCAGCCATTAGGCTTATAAGGGGGCAGCATAGGGTGACAACATAATTAAGTACTGGTCTGCCATTTAGTCCCCTGTGCTCTTATCAGGTTTTTTGAGACAGGGTTTCTCTGTGTTACAACGCTGACTATCCTCTGCAGGAACTCACTCTGCAGATGAGGCTGGCCTCAAACTCACAGAGACCCTCCTGTTTCTGCCTCCTGAACTCACAGAGATCCGCCTGTCTTTGTCCCAAGTGCTGTGATTAAAGGTGTGTGCCACCAGTGCCCAGTGAAAATTATATTTTCTTTTTATGATACTTCTAAAAGCTTCCCAAAATTCTTACCCCCTTTTTTCAGTTTCTTGGGCTCAGATATTTTGGTTTCATCCAGTATTTGCTCTCCATACTCTCTGATGATCTGAAATTTAAAAAATGGGCATTTAAAGATGGGAAAAACACTTTACTACACCCCAAGCAGTCCTTAAACTTGTGATCCTCCTGTCTCAGCCCACAAAGCAGGGATTACTCACTGGCATGGCAGGACATACCCAGACCCAGCTAAAGAAAAATGCTTTCCTTTGGACACCACCATGATGCCATATAATTATCACAGTTCTTCAACACAAGAGCACTTAAAAGTTGGAAAATAAAAATGCCATGTAAAAGCAAATGTAAGGAGATGTGTAAAACCCTAGCTACTTGAGAGGCTAAGGCAAACCTGCCAGTGTGGACCCCCAAACCACAGCCCAAGTTTGATCCTTAGCAAGAAAAGAAAGGGGAGGGGTCAATTAACACTATAATTTAAACAGTGAGACAAACATAGTTTATGTGTCTAGAAAAAGATCTGAAGGGACCAACAAACTGAAGCTAGAAATCAAAATGATCGATAGACCCCACCCACAGTAAGTGAAGCTCTAGGCTCAACCCGAGCACAGGAAAGTGTAGCAGTTACTGGAGAAAGCTATGGGAGGCAGAAGAGGGAAAGAAGTCTAACCATTTAAAATACACCTCTGAATTATGGGAGTTTTTACAAGCATGTGTAATGAGTAAATTATGCTTAAAAGACAACAATATGCTTAGAGTCAGAGAGATGGCTCAATGGTTAAAAGTGCCTGCTGCCAAGCCTGACAGCCTGAGTTTGATCACTAAGCCTATTAAAGACGGAAGGAGAGAGCCAAGAAGTCCTCTGACACCACCACACACACCATGGTATGCCCATGCCCACCGCCAGATAAGTTAAAAAGAAATGTTACCATGCTAGGACCAGTGAGAGACACCCTTGCCATACCTCAGGGGGCAAGCACTTCAGGACAAGTGGCGCTAAACTGCCTCTGCAAAGCAGGGTAGTTGCGGAGGGACGCTGCGAAGGGCTCCTTTTCAACATCTGCTTGACAAGACATTGAAGCTTGTAGGAATACTGAGCTGGCAGTGGGTGGATGGGCCCCTGACATATTTTCAGGATAAGATTTTTCCAACTATTTGCCTGAAACTGAAAAGTAAAAATGACATTTTAAAATCAGATATATGAAAAGAAAATATAGAAATATCAGCTGAAGTAAATTTACATTTTCATAAGTAATGTTTATTTTGGAAAGGCACCTGCTGTTTTCCTCTATGGTTGTCCTTAAGGACAATTCACAGCCTCCTGTGCTTTGGAGGAAGATGAACATGGATATCGCAACCCTCCACATGGACATCTGGTGTCTATCATTGTCTGCTCTGGGTATTTAATCAGTGCTAGCCTGCCATGCGTAAACTCGGGGTGGCATCAGAACAACAGTGGTTCTCAACTTGGGGTGCACTTCAGAATCACCTGATTTAAAAAGACAAATTCAAGACCTCTTTGGAGATCCTGATTCAGTTATGGAGTGGGCCCAGGCGTTGGCATGTTAAAAAGTTCCTTAAGCTATTCTTTTTAAAACATTTATAGTTCTAAAGATTTTGTTTTTATTATGTGTGTATGTGAGAGACAGAATGATAGACAGAGAGTATATCCAGGTGCCCACACACAGGGACCAGAGGTGTAAATCACCAAGAACTGGAGTTGTAGGCCTCCATGTGGGTGCTGCTGAGGACTGAACTTGAGTTCTCTGCAAGGGCACTGAGTGCTCTTAACCCTGGATTGCCTCTCCTCCTGCCCCATGTTTGTCACTGGGACTCTCAGACTTTTTTTTTTTTTTTTTTTGGAGTCTTCTGTCAGTCATGCACTCCTTGGGCTTCATCCTCCCAGGTACCACCAGGCCTAGCTTGCCTCCTTAAGCTGTAAAGCAGGCACTAGAAGTCACTGCTATTGAAGGGAGATGTCCTATCATGAATAACACATGCTTTATGTTGTGTTCACATCGGGTGCTGAGGGGACATTTTCTGCTCCAAGAACCTTTTGAACTGTGTGCTCTCAAGGAGAGACAGATGAACAACTTATTTCTTTCGCAAAGTGAAGACCTAAATGGGATCAGCTTTGAGTGTTGCTATATACAATCAGCTACTGCCAAACAAGCAACTACTATCAAATGAACAGCTACGATCAATCAGCTACCACCAAACAACAATCGAGCAACTACCACCAAATAGGCAACTACCACCCAATGAGTAACTACCACCAAAAAAGCAATTATCACCAACAGCTACCAACAAACAACAAACAAACAACTAGCACTAAGTAAGCAGGGCCAGCCAGTGTCTCTTGTTAAATTATCTGAAAGTATCAAGAAAAAAAAAAAATACCTATTAGGGCAAATTCTGTTTTCTCACAATTTAGTCTGGAAGCTAATAATCATAAACATGGGACAGATGCTCTAGAAAACTTGAGGGTTCCTACAAAGCTAACCATACACTGCTAAGACACAGCTGCTCCTACCTCCAGCTCTCTGGTTCCAGACCCAGGTGGGAACCCTGTCCTTACACCCTTGACTAGTCTGACCCAGGACCCTTACCCTCTCTTGCCCATCCACACCAAGTCTCTAGACTCAGGCAGGCTCTCTGGGTAAGCCTGGCTCAGCTCCTTCCTCCCATGCTGCTGTGGAACAATCTTTGTACACTGTAAATGTATATTATTGACACTAGTTAATAAAGAGCTTACTGGCTTATACCTGGACAGGAAGAGATTGGGCACCCCCATTGACACACTTCCTCCAAATTCTTCCCAAATAGAACCGCCAACACCAAGTATTCAAGTATCTGCACCTATGTGAGACACTCATTTAAACTGCCGCAAATGTGTAGTAACTTTGGGACACCATGAAAGATCAACTATATGAAATAGCAGCATAGAAGAACTCCAGGTCAATGGCACAGATCAGATCTCCAACAGGATCATAGAAAAAAGTCCCACAACTAAGGAAAGACACACCCATACTGCTACAAGAAGCACACAGAATACTAATTAGAAAGAACCAGAAAAAAACATTAAAAGATTCAATGTAAGCTGGACAATGGTAGTAAATACCTATCAGGACTCAGGAGGCAGAGGCAGATGGACCTCTGAGGTTCAGGCTAGCCAGAGGGAGTTCCAGGACAGCCAGAAATTCACAGAGAAACCCAGTCTCAAAAACAACAACAAAAAAACACTTATTATAGAGAACAAAGAGAGAGTAATGGAAACTGCAAGAGAAAAACCACAAGTCAATTCTACAGGTAAACACGTCACAATGACATCTGCCTTCTCAATTGAAAGTTTGAAGGTCAAAAGAGCCTGGAGCAATGTGCTCCAAGTTCTAAAAGACCACAGATGCAGGCCCAGGAAAACTGTCTGCTGTAGTCCAAGGAGAAAGAAAAAAAACTATCCATGATATAAGCAGGCTGAGAGAATTCATGTCCAGCATAGCAGCCCTATAGAGAATACTGGAAGCAATTATTTCAGACTGGAGAGAGGAATAAGTATAGCCATGGGACTGTATGATGAGAGCAAATGAAGATACAATCCTTAAATACAAAATAGGACCAAGAACACATTAGAAAGCAAAAACAAAAACAGTCCAATCAACAGACTTCCTCCATGATGGACTATAACTGTAAAATGAAATAAACCCTTTCCTCCCAAACTTGGTTTTGGCCAGTGCTTTATCACAGAAACAGAACTAATACACTAAGCATAAACTATTCCATGACCCACAACAGAACTACTTGGTATATAAATTAACTGGATCCAGGGACTCTTAACAACTACATGTGTACCTATGTTCAGATCAATTTACAATGGAAAGAACACATATGCAACCTAACTACCCCAGGGACAGGTAAATCACTAAGCAAACAGTGCATGCACATGATAGGATATTACTCAGCCCTAACAAGGAATGGAATTCTGACCCCTGCTGCAACATAGAAAGTGAAGTGAACCCATCTGAAAAGGACAATTAGGTGCTGGAGAAATGGCTTGGAGCTTAAGACTACTCGAGGCTCTTGCAGAGGACCCAAGTTCAATTCCCAGTACCTGTATAATGGCTCACAACCGTCCTCCAGTTCTGAACTATCTAACAACCTCTTCCAACTTCCCCGGGTACCAGGCACACATGTGGCAAAACAGTCATATACATGAAATAAAATAAAAAGGTTGAATGCTATAGAATTGTACTCCATGAAATATACAGAATACACAAATTCACAGAGGCAGAAGGATTAGAAGTTATCTCAAGCTGGGGAAGAGACTTTCAAAGTACTGTTTCTGTTTTGTGTGATGGAAAAGACCCACAAATAGACAGTAGTATCAGGACATGTCATGAATATAATTAATCAATACAATTAATATAATTGATGAATATCATAAATGTAGTTATCAAGTGAATACTGTGAATGTAATCTGATAGGAGATGTCATTCTGTAAATATGTTTTTCCTATTGGTTAATGAATAAAGCACTGCTGGCCAATAGGGAAGCAAGATAGGTGGGACTAGGAGAGGTGGAGGATTCTGGGAAAGGTAGGATAGAGTCGTGATATGATCTCAGGAGGAGAGGACGAGTGAGTCTGGCATTCTCGGTAAGATAAGACCACATAGAAATATACATATTAGTACTTATGGGTATATAAGGAGTAGGGTTTTTCCTCCCGCTGCTGGTCTGGTCCTGCCACTGCGCCAGCCCCAATTAACACACTGAGACTCTATATTTGATATAATTCTGTTGGCCAGAATTCTTATCGGCTAGCTCTGTCTTAATTATTAACCCATTTCTATGTATTTCCACGTGGTCTTACATGGTCTTCTTACCAGGGAAAGGGGCCAGCATCTCGTCTCCCCAGTCTCTCCATCTTGACCCTCCTTACTACTTCCTCTTTCCTCCTTGTCTCCTATTCCCTCCTATCTTCCTTTCCTATTGGCCAACAGTGCTTTATTCATTAACCAGTATGAGAAACATATATACATAATGGCATCTCCCATCATGGGTTAATAATTAAGACAGAGCTAGCCAATAAGAAACACTAGTCACTGGCCAACAGTTTCATAATTAATACAGCATCTCTGTGTGTTATTTGGGGCTGATGTGGTTGTGGGACCAGACTGGTGGGAAAATGCCCATAACAGTAATCAATGAATATTACACAAATGTAATTAATGAATAATCACAAGTATAATTAGCATCTTGAATATAATTCATGCTACTGAATTGTCAACTTAAAATTAGCTACAATAGCAAATATATATATATATATTTTTTTTAAAAAGGAGAAGAAAAGCTACATATAGGAACATAGCCTGTAATAGACATTTCCTGTTGGTACAGGACTGCAAAATAGATCAACACAAAGATAACAATGGGAACAAATGGAAACTTTCATAACAAATTCTCCCTGGGGAAGTGAACCCCATTTCAAAAACTGGCACCTCCCGTAGGACTTAGCAGGGCATGACAAATGGCCCCATACTTACCGGATGCTTCAGGGCGCAGAGTTCATATAGAATGCATCCTAAGGACCAGATGTCACTAGAAGCACAAAGAGACAGCATTGCAACAACTATGTTATGCATTATCATGCCAGGATGTGCATTTTCTCTTATTTTTATTACACTTTAATTTGTATATGTATGAGGACACACATGGGTCACAGGATACATGTGGGGTCAGAGGACAACTCCTGGGTGTCTGTTTTCCTCTTTCACCATGTGTGTCCTAGAGACTGACCTCAGGTTGTCAAGCATGGTGGTAAACACTTTTACCCACTGGTCAATCTCATTGTCCTCCATATTATGATAACAGCCCTCCAGATCTAGCCCTGGCACTACAATTGGTGCCCTGACTTACTATGATCACCCCTGCCTGCACAGCAACCAACCTGTAAGCTTCCTCCAGGACCCATACTGAATGCCCAGCTAATAGGCTCCTCTGCTCCAACGTCCATCCACTCTACCCAGCAGTCTCTATGACAACACACCAGCCTTGGAATAGGATGCACAACCTGCACAGCAGTTCAGTCCCCTCTGTCCACTTGACTTCATTCCACCCAAGCCATTTAAAACCTCTAGGCACAACCTCCCCAACATCCTCTCCTCCACCCCAAATAGCTCTGTCCATTTCAGACACAGAACTCACAAAAGTAGTCAACAACCTAAACAGAAAGATAGATATATAACACATGAGGATAGTGAAGTAAGAAAAAAGTCTTCCAGATAAAACAACCCAGAGATAATAATTCATAGCAGAATTCCACCAGACTATCAAAAAACAATCTACAGTCAACTCTTCTAATTATTATTCAAAAAAGAAAAAGAAAATCAAAAAGAGAAATAGCATTCTCAATCTCCTTCAATGAAGACAGCATCACCCAAAGACTAGATCTAGGAGAGACAGAACAAAAGGAAGGAAGGGAGAGAGGGAGGGAGGAAGAGAGGGGGAAGAGAGGGATGGGAAGAAAGGGAAGGAGAAAGGAACAAACTGCAGGCCAATGTCCCTGAAGAACATAGAAACAGAAATGTCCAGTAAAATCATTAACACACAGAATATAGACAAACATCAAAAATATTGTTCACCATGATCCAGTTGGCTTAACCCTGAAATACAGGAGTGGTTCAACTCAGGCATGTTAATAAATGTAATAAACCACATAAATGGACTTACAGACAAAAATCACCTGAACATCTCAAGAGATGCAGAAAAAGGCCTTGACAAAAGCCAACATGCATTCATTGTAAAAGTTCTAGAGAATATGGGGCTAGAGGGAACATATCTCAATATAATAAAAGTGATATAAGAGAAACCCATAGCCAACCACATCCTAAATCAGTTCCCAACTTTCCTAATGCTGCAATCCTTTAATAGTTTCCTCATGTCATGGTGACTTCCAGCCATTAAATCATTTTCACTGATACTTCATAACTGTTCTTTTGCTACAGTTATGAATTGTAATGTAAAGATCTGATATGCAGTAGATGTGATATGCAATTCTTGTGAAAGGGTCATTCAACACCCAAAAGGGCCATGACCCACAATTTGGGAACCACTGTCCTAAGTGAATCAAAACTTGACACAATTCACTGAACTCAGGAATAAGACAGGGCTGGCAATCACTCCTACTCCATACCAATATTGTGCTCAAGGTACTACCTGATCTTGAAAATCGTGGCCATCTACTTCCCATCCCCAGTACTCCCATCTGATGGACAGATGAAGAGACTTTTAAAGGCATGAACAAAGTCTGGAACCAGGTAGGTAATTCAGACCACCCTTACAGATTGCTGAACCTCCTTTCAGCTACAAGTCCCTCACAGCTGTGATTACAGCAGTTGGAAAGCCAGGACTCTCCTCTAGACACCTGAGAATACAGATTCCATGTAAATCCAAAATACATTTCATGCCATTTGATCTCTATGGTTTTGGTACTCAAATCAAAGACATGTGCTAGGCAAAATTATTCTACTAATGAGCTGGATAAACCAAAAACCCAAGTGTTGAGGAATATTATTTTCACTAGGCAAAGATGGGTTATATTTATTTATGCTGTAGAGTATTACTTTAACTATGTAAAGATGTGTTACATTTGTTTCTGCTGCATTTGTGTAATGATGCAAAGATGTGTTGTAATTGGTTCACTTTGCCTGCCTAAGGCACCGACCTGGTCTAATAAAGAGCTGAACAGCCAATAGCTAAACAGACAGATAGGGCTGGCAGGCAGAGAGAATAAATAGGAAGAGAAATCTAGGCTCAAGAAAAGCAAGAAAAGAAGAACAAGAGGAGGAAAGAACAAGAAGAAAAGAGAACAAGAGAAGAAGAGAGAGAAACACCTGGGGCCTAGGCAGCTGTCAGAGAGAAGACACAGAGTAAAACATACAGAAAGAAAGGTAAAAAGCCTCAAGACAAAAGGTAGATAAAGAGAAACAGGCTAATTTAAAAGAGCTAGCCAGAAATAAGACAAAGCTAGGCCAAGCATTCAAAACTAGTAAGTCTCTGTGTCATGATTTGAGAGTTGGTGGCCTAAAATTAAAAACATATTTTCAGAAAGCAGAGTGGGGAAGGTGGCTCGGTAGGTCAAAACACTTGCCCCACAAACCTGGCTACCTGACTTTGACTTTCAAAATGCACATAAAAATCAGGTGCAGATTTGGACAGCTGTGATCTCCACACTCCCACCTCAAGATGGAAAGTGAGACAGTAGCACTGGCTAGGAGCTCCTGGCCCCGCTGGCCTCAAGTGTGCAGTGCAGCCACACAAACAACCTAAGAAGCAGACCTCCTCCAACAAAGCCAAAGGACCAACTTCCAAAAGAGTGTCCTCTGACCGCCACACACAGGCGTATGTATACACACATATTCACACAGACACACAAAATAACTAAAATAAAACTTTAAAGCAGATAAGCTCTATGCATCTGCACCAGATTCCAGCATCAGTTTGCAGGCTAGAGGCCCTCCCATCAAATGGCCAACGTTATCCAAATAAGGACACTACTCACCTTTTATTGTTATAAGGCAGGTTTTCCCAAATCTCTGGAGGCACATAATAAGGTGTTCCCACGTATGTACACGCAAAGGCCATGGGACTGAAAGCACAGAAAGGCAGTGATTCTGAAGCTCTTCTGAAGATGGCTGCTCTGATCTGTGTCCCTAAGTAGGACAGATACATACCTGGAGAGGAGGCGGGCAGAGCCAAAATCTCCCAATTTCACTTTCCCACTTTGGGTGAGGAAGACATTCTGCATTGAAAAAGAATTAAGTAGATTATGTCTTGATCATCCTAGCTATGATAGTGATCTCTAGAGCAGCTTTCAAAGCCTCCTGATGGTGGAGATAGGGGTAGAAACATCGACAGCTGGGTCCCAGAGAGAATGAAAGAATAGCACGATCCCCTCTTAAAATAGCTGCGCATTCCCCTGCCTAGGGATTCAGGATGACTGTCCTGAAGTCTAACAAGCAAATGTCAGGTAGCATCAGATCAGATCAGTGGGAGCCTGTGTTGGGGACTCAGTGGCTGGAGCAGGTGCTACTCACTTTCCACCTAAGAACACATGCATTTATTCGGTGGACACTAAAACGGCTACATTCCCATACACTTTCAAAGAAATTTTAACTCCGTTTTTACATATACTATTTTATTTGGTTAGTATAAATTCTAGGTCAAGGGGTGTAAAGTTTTGCTTAGGATAATTAAGTCTGTAAGATCTACTGCATGGAACCAGGCATGGAATCCCAGGACTCAGAAGTCAGACAGAGGTAAGTGGATTTCTGAGTTCAAGGCCAGTCTGGTCTACAAAGCAAGTTCCAGGACAGCCAGGACTCTATTACATAAAGAAATCCTGTCTTGTAAAACCAAAACAAACAAACAAACAAAACAACAACAACAACAAAAAAAAAAAACAAAGAAAAAGGTCTACTGAACAGCTGACATGGTATCGAATGTCTCCCTTGGGAGGCAGGTGGTCTCCTGGAATTAGAGGCCAGTCTGGTCTACATAAGAGATCTAGGACAGCCAGGACTACATAGCCAGACCCTGTCTTCAAGCAAACAAACAAACAAAAACATGACTGTACACCGTGATGACCATGGTTAAATGATTTTTTTGTTTGTTTTTGAGACAGGGTTTTTCTGTGTATCTTTGGCTGTCCTGGGACTTGCACTTAGAGCAGGTTGGCCTCAAACTCACAGAGATCCACCTGCTTCTGCCTCCAGAGTGCTGGAATTAAAGGAGTGCACCACCACTGCCTGGCAATATAAGCTATTCTTGAGAATTACTAAAAGAGTAGATTTTATTTATTTCTATGTGGTAGGGATTTGACTCAGGTGGTCTGTGCTGGCCTCAAACTAGAAATCCTTCTGCCTTGGCCTCCCAGGGGCTGGGATCACAGGCAGGTACCACCATGTCTGGTCTAAGAGTAGATATTAAGTAATCAGAAGGCAGGGGACTGGAGGAGTGACTCAGTGGTTAAAAGCACTTTTGCTCTTCCAGAGGACCTGGGTTTGGATCCCAGGACACATACCAGGTGGCTCACAACCATCTGTAACTCTAGCTCCAGGGAATCTAACCCCCAGGCCTTCTTGAGCATCTATACTCTCTCATGCATAACACACACGTACACTCCCACATGTGTACATACACTTAAAATAAACCTAAAAAAGTAAACAGACACATCAATTAACATGACTTAATCATGTTACAATGTGTATATCATATTGTATACTATAAATATATAAAATTTTGTCAATTTTACCTTCAATAAGGTGAGGAAATTTTTTGTTTTCTTTTTAGTTTTGTTTTTTTGAGATAGGGTTTCTCAGGCTGGAGAGATGGCTCAGCTACTAAAGGCTAGGCTCACAACCAAAAATATAAGATAGGGTTTCTTTGTGTAGCCCTGTCTTGAAACTCATTCTACAGGCCAGGCTGACCTCAAAATTCAGAGATCCACCTGCCTCTGCTTCCCAAGTGCTAGAATTAAAGGCACTTGCCACCATCCTCATCTAAATTTGTTTAATTAAAAGTCTAATATAAAAAGGTATTAGATTGGCAAAATTTTCTAAGCTAAACTAAATAGAAATATCCCAAAAGGAGATAATAATAGGAAAAATGACAATGAAATAGTTTCCCCAGATCCCAAAATGCTTTATACTCACTTTGGACTTGATATCTCTGTGTAATACACGTTTCTTGTGAATGTGATTTACTCCAAGACAAATTTGTATGAACCAGTTAAGTATCTTTAAGAAAAAAGTATACATAGGATTTATGGGGAAGAATTGGAGGTAAATATGCTCAAAATATACTATATAAAAATCTAAAAGAACTCATAAAAATATTTTAAAAGAAAAAAGTATACACCACCTGTAAAGCTGTAATAACTAGCTGATGTCAACTAAATTCTGAGGAAACACCTCTAGGCCTTATTTTACCCAATTTTAAAAGTGAAAAAAAATTTTTTTTAAAAAGTGAGTTCTGCACTCATAAAAATTATACAGTTCAACTAAAATTCAGCATTATTTGGAGAAATGCAGAAACCTGATTCCCATTTTTTTGTCATCTCATATATGATCCAGATATATTTATTTTAATGAAATGTCTACCACACTTTTCTTCTTTTTAACTGAATATAAGTGTCTGACCGGGAGATGTGGTAGAGATAGTGGCCCAGACTGGACTCAAACTTGCTATGTAGCCAAGGATGACTTAGAACATATGAGCCTTTAGTCTCTGTCTCCCAAATACGGGGATTACAGAAATGCATCACCAAGCCCAGTTTATATGGTACTGGGGATTGAACCCAGGACTTTATGGATACTAGGCAAATGTTCCGCCATTGAGCTCTATGTCCATCTCTAAAGATTCCTTCCTTCCTTCTTCCTCTTCCTTCTCTTCTTCCTTTTTCTTCTTTGAGACGTTCTCACTGTGTAACCCATAACCTAATTAAGAAATTGCCCCATAAAAGTGGGCTGCAAGCAAGCCTGTAGAACATTTTATTACTGATTCGTGTGAGAACCCATTCCATTGTGGGCTGGTGGCCCTGGTTCTATAAGAAAGCAGGTTGAGCAAGCCATGAGGAGCAAGCCAGTAAGCAGCACTCCTCCATGGCCTCTGCATCAGCTCCTGCCTCCAGGTTCCTGCCCTGTCTGAGTTCCTGTCCTGACTTCCTCCAATGACATGGAAGTGTAAGCCAAATAAACCCTTTCATTCCCAAGTTGCTTTTGGTCATGGTGTTTCATCACAGCACTAGAAAACCTGACTAATAAGACACATTGCCTGGGGAAATCCATCAATAACAGACCATGAAAACAGTGACTTCTCACTAGGACCAGGTAATTACAGTTGCCCACATTTTAACCTTAATTTATACAAACTATGTAAGTCAGTTTCTTACCGTATCTTCAGGAAGTAACTCTCCTTTTTGCTGTTTAATCTTCTGCATTAGATCTCCTCCATCACAATACTCCATCACAATATACAGATGCCCTTCAGCTAAAATACACAGGAGCTGCCTTAGGGAAACCATAATTGCTAAAAATTAAATTCAGTATGAGCATATTTGGGAGGATTAATATTTACCTTCAAATGACTCTTTAAAGGCAACAATATTGGGGTGTTTCATTTTCGCTAGCAGAATAGCCTCTTTCCTAGAATTCTGTATATCAGTGAAAGACTGTAAAAAAAAAAAAGAACTTTTAAATTATTATAAATTTAATGCTAAATTTTAAAATAGCCTCAAACTAATATTTTGTGTAGTTTTATATGAGACTTCAATGCTACATGCAGTGCAGGGTTGTAAATCTACTTCGGCTCAAGCTTTCAAACTCTGAAACAAAATATACAATGACTTTTTGATTATGGCTATTTTGTATGCTGACCAAGCCTGGGCTGTATTAGAACATACATTTTTTTTTTTTTTTTTTTTTTTTTGTCCACATATAGGATGCAAACTAATTTTCACACGCACTTGGACTGGTGATGTGGCAAAGTGGTAGAGCCCAGGGGTTTGATTCACCACCACCACCACCACCAAAAACAAGAACAAATGTGCTTAGACATCAGCTGATGTTTTCTATTGAAAACACTACATAAAAACCCTCAAAGAAAACCAAAGCTGTCATTGCCATAGACTCTAGACTTGGCTCAGAAGAAAAATATGCAGAGGGACAAAGACGAATATAAATTAAGTTTCTCAAACTACTTATTCAAAAGTTATCCACAGATGAGATGTCAAATGACTTATAATCAAGAACAAACTATAGTGCCTGGGTGTAAAGCCAAGAGTCAGAGAACTTGCTGAAGGTGGGAAGGGGAGAGGGAGGGAAGGAAGAACAAAGAGAAGGAAGGGGAGGAGAGGAGGAGGGAAACTCCAGGATTTTCAGGCCAGCAGCATCAGCATCCAGTGTGAACGTGCTGAAAACGACTCACAGACTAGACAGGCCTATCTACAAACAGAGCAAAATACTGTTTCATCACTTGGGAAGCTAGGGCAGGAAGATGGCAAGTTCTAGGCTAGCCTGGTTTACACGGCTAGCCTGTTTCAAAAACAAAACAAAGTTGCTCTCATTAGTACAGTAGTATAATGAGTCTCCCTGGCTAACATGAAGGATACTGGGTTCAATTCCACAATGCAGAGTCAAACCATCCAGAGTGGCAAGGTATGTCAAAGGGTACAACAGTGACATGAATGTAGGGGTCACCAACAGCTTTCTAATTGGATTTAAGGCCTGATTCACAGGAGGAAACACATATTTGGTGCTACAAATCTGACCAAGAACCCATCATTGGAGAGCTCACAGGCACCAAGGGATAAACCTATTACTATTAGTCCACTAAATGAACATAGTGTCAACCTGCCCTCTACATACTATCTCTACCTGTAGATCAGTGCCATCCTCAGACCTTATCAGAGAGGTTGCTTTGCACATCACACAGTGGTTAACACAGGAACTCACAACTGGTCAGTGTGCAGAAAGTAAGAATCAGGAAGGGTAAATGACTTGTTAAACTCCAAGCACTTTCGCTATATGGGCTGCATGCTCACTTTCAATGGGAGTTGTTTCTGTTAGTGGTTACCTTGAGAAGTCTTACTTCCTTCATGGCAAACTTCTGATTGCTGCTTTCCTGCAGCACCAAAAGAGCCCTGCCGAAGGAGCCTTGGCCAATCACTCTCAGGACTGTGTAGTCGTCCATGCTGGGTATACAGAGAGCTCCACTCCTGTCGTCACCGCCGGCTCTCCCAAACTATATTTAAAAAGCAGAATCATTTGGGAATTTTCTTTTAAAATGTGAAGTTAATTCAAAATAGCTATAGGACTCAAAAGGGATATTTAAACACAGTCTGACTCCAATGTCTCCGTACAAAAGCAGACAGACTTTTAATACACTTTTGCTGGCACATGAACTACACAAGAAGCAATTATGACTGTAAGCACAATCTTAAGAAAGCGATGACTACCTAACATGTTAAAGGCCCTGGACCACATTAAAGGGGGGAAGGGGCGGAGAAATTGGGAGAGAGGACTACACTTAGAGGTGATACAATATTTTCATCACAGGAAAAATACTGGAATGAATTTACTTGACTTTTCACTGGGATGAATTTACTTGATATTCACAAAGCTAAATGGTGTTTTGTTGTTTTATTTGTTTAAACCACACACAAGTTGTAAACTATGGAGCACAAAAGATAATGTCAACACCACAGATCAAACTCTACAGGGTATTGTAAAGCTTCCAGTCTGTGGCTGGAATGGGGTAGTGAATGTCTTTAATATTAGCACTTGGGAGGCAGAGCAAGATGATCCCCAGGAGTCCCCAGCCAGTCAGGCATACATGGTGAGACACTGTCTCAAAACAACCCAACTAATACATTAAGCCTTCCAGTCTATCACAGATTTACCAGGAGACTATAGCAATAAATCCTCCATATAACCAAATCCATGTATGGTTTCCAGAAGTGAGGTATTTGAACATACTCAGGAGGTAGAAGATGGTGAATCATAGCCAGGAGGCACTGATAAGTCGGAGATCAACCTGTCTACACTGTGAGTTCCAGCCTGTCCCCACTGCCCTACCCGAGCACCAAAAAAACTATAGGAAAACAATTAAGTCCTTCACAGCTTAACCGGCCTCTAGTTTCACTCGCTGTTTTCCCGTTTCGGGTGCTTGAGGACTTTAAAGACTGAAAACGACTGATGAGCAACAAAGCTTTCCTTGGCTGAGACCACACTTGTACTTTTAAATCTCTATGTGTTTAATATTAATACTACACCCATAAACGCAGGCCTGGATAGGCTGCCTTCCCATGTTTATAACCAATTACGTGTTTAATAATAAAAATAAAAGGAGAAAAAGCTAACATGATTCGCTAGTGCCCAGATGCGGGGTCAGGGGGTCACTGGCCACGCGGTTTAGGTAGCGATCCCCGGGGCACATATACTGGATACCCACTTTCCTCCTACACTCTTTCTTCCGAGAAAGTCACGCCCGCCGCTGCTCCGCGCCAGCTGCAATAGAGGATCTCCGGCGGCGCGCATGCGCACCCCGAGACCCGCGCGCGCGCGCAGCCAACCGCGGCGGAGGTGCGCACGTTTCCCGGTGGTCCCGCAGCAGGCGTGAGCGCACCGGTGGCTTAGGACCCCGCCGAGGGGCCCCACCGAGTCCTCTCTCCACCGCTGCTGGCCTGGACCGCTCTCCTCACCCACCGCCCAGTGGCGCGCGACTCTTCTCCACAGGGTGGTGGCATTGGACGGGGCTGGGGGCGGGAAGAGACCTAGGGTGGGCGGGGCCGGGTGGGCAGATCATCTAGCCGGTTGGTGGAGGGGCCGGTGAGGGGGCGGGGAGAGACCTGGGGTGGGCGGGCCTGGTGGTCAAGCCATCTAGCCGGTTGGTGGAGGGGCGGGGGTGGGCGGGACCTGGTGGCAGAGGGGCGTGTTTCTAGTTGAGAGCTGAGGAAATTGGTTCTGGCCAGAGGCTTTGTTCCCAGAGTAGCCTGGCCCTGGAGGGGCAGTCTTAAAGCTGTTGCGCCACCTTGCAGTAGAATAGAGCTAAAATTTTGAGATTGTGCCGCCAGTAATTTGAGTTATTGCTCCAGATTAGGCGGGCAGCCCACAGAAATTGCACAGGAACAACACTTCTAGCATTTACCGTATGACCTTGGAAAAAGTGAAAAATAGGAGAAATCCACGTTCCTCTCTCAAGTCTGTGTATTTCTTCCCTTACATAGTAAAAAGTCATCAAGATTGTAGTTGTATCAGGACCTGATGGCACTTGCTTATAATTCCAACTCTCGAAAGTCTGAGGAAGGAAAATCCAGAATTGGAGGCCATCCTGGTCTAGATCTAAATAGCAAGTCCCTGGTAGGCAATCCAAGACTATGTCGCAAGTGTTAGATTTAGGGATGCAGAATAAAGGAACAAAAGGCAGGAGAGAGACCAAAGTCTGCCCTCAACAGGTGAGACTTAATTATTAGCATCCACCTTCCCTTGGGATTGGAAGTTGTGCAAAGGGGAGGGAGCCCATCAGGGCTCTAATAGGAGTGTGTGAGGAGCTGGCTATGAGGAAATTGATACAGCTTCAGAGGATACATGCAGAGTAAAACACTCTTAAGCAATTTATGACCTCCTTTTAGAACTGCTTGTTCAGGCAGAGGAGCTATGTTGACAACTGTCTTAAGAGAGTTTTCTCCCTAAGACAGCCTTCTAGTATGATCTTTCTCCTTTCCCTGCAATTTCCTAGGAATTTCACAGGAACTCCCATTTCCAGTAAAAGATATCTTACGCCCCCCCCCCACCAAACTCTTTAGATTACAATCCAACAAGCCTCAGGAGACATACTATGATCTCATCTATCAAGAAGGTCATGGAGAGTGGCTGTCCTCAGAGCCAGTGTCCCCCTTGAGATCATCCCAGATGAGTTTGCTGATGGCTCCCCCTCCTATAGAGGAGCATAAGGCATGAGATTCTGGATTCTTGTGCTGGAGTATTGAACTTCTCCTTACCACCTGGCAACTCTGTACTTAGCCTGGGGAGGGGTTAAGAGTATATATAGGTCAGAGAAGACTACAGAGCACAGGCTCCATTTACATGGCTATGGGGAAGTCTTCAGTTCTGCTGGGTAAGGCTTTCCAGAGCTGGCTGGTGCAGGGAGGAGTGCCCACTCACCTAATAGGTAACCCCTATGTTGTATAAGGAAGCCCAATAAATTCATGGGTTCCCCAGAGTGAACTCTGGAGAGATTGGCTCAGCAGTTAAGACTACTTGCTATTTTTACAGAGGACCAGGGCTCAGTTTCCCAGGACCCATGTGGTTAATAAGGTATATTTAAACAAATTACTCCCTTTTCTGTTCAAAATAGTAGCCACTAGATTTTTATTTTTATTTCTTTTTTTATTGCTTATCGTTATTGTTTCTGACCCTGCTCTGGAAGGTCACAATGGGGAGAGCACTTGGAGAACTGTAAGTGAAGCCAGAGAACAAGCAGATACAGTGCAAAGGATAGTCAAGAGAAATGGTGACCTAGGGGCCCCTTGCTGAAATATGAGGCACTTTATCGGGCTGAGTGAGGGTGACTGGCATGCCATTAAAGAACACTGAGGAGAGAGGAGAGGAATCTAACTCAGGGTCCCTCAGCTTCAGCACTGTGATCAGTATCTCTGGCCTCTGTCTACAAGTGACAGCAGTATTCACAACCCTACCTCCCCGTTTTGGTTTTTTGTTTGTTTGTTTGTTTGTTTGCTTTTTTAAACAGGGTTTCATTTTGAAGACCAGACTTGGCCTGGAAACCACAGATCTGCCACCTCGGGTGGGATTAAATGTGTGAGCCACTACCTTGGCAACCAAAGGAGGAACAGACCCAGATTCAATTCCCAGCTCCCACATGACAGCTCACAACTATCTGTTACTCCAGTCCCTGGGGGTCCCATAGCCTCTTCGGGCTTCGGCAGGTACAAGTGGTGCATAGATACACAAGCAGGCAAAACACTCATGCACATAAAAAAAAAAATCTCAAAAAGTTAATTTTAAAAAATGCCCTGGTGGGAGTGGTGCAGACTGCCTGTGGCAGAGAACCAAGTCTAGCTGCATAGATTAAACATCAGAGGATGAGACCAGGGGTGAGCAGGTGGCTCATCCATACACTGCACTCTTAGCATGCATGAAGCTTTCAGTCCCCAGGCATCACCAAGTCTTGAATATGAATGATCCCTAGTAAGCTTGTTTAGAATGGCTGATCTCCAGCCTGAGGCACTGTTTTGAAGGCTGGTGAGTGGGTAAATAGGGAGCCTGTGAAGGTTATAACTGCCCTGGGTTTACCCACACCAGAAGCAGTTCACTCTGTCCCCTGCAGCAGACAGGCCCATTCCTCTACCATGCCTGCCTCAGCATGGTGGACTGCATCCTGAAACAGTCAAAAATAAACTCTCCTTTCTTTCTGTCAGGTATTTTATCACAACAGGAAAGGTAAGTAATGCAAATTTAAATTTAGCAATGTATTTCAAAGGCAAAGTTTAGATTCCATTACTGTGGCCAAAGTATTTGTTCTTACAATGCTAAGGATCCAGAGCCTTGCAATGCTAGGAGAGTGCTCTATAGGGACCACATTCCAAACCCACATAACACATTTATCGAAATAAATGCCATACTGCAGCCAACTGTAGCTCAGAGAAGGGTCCTAAAATCAGTTCCATCATTAACTAAGTCAATAAACAAAATGTCATTGGAACATTATACAGGTATTTATTATAAACATATTAGGTACAAAGTCAATGTAAAATATAAATTTATATAGACTACATATTCAAATTATGCTTCACTTCTATAAGTAACTAGTAAAATGAAGACACTAACATTACATTTTAAAAACAGTAGTTCACTGTATTGTACATAGGCACATGGACACCTTCAAACCTACATAAAAGCACATGACAAACCACCACTGGAATAAGACAACACCCTCCTTTCTCAGGAGCGCTATTTCTCTCCTGCTGTGTCAGTCTCAGTCTCAGAGAACAGGGGGCACAGTGCTGTATTAGGGCGGCAAACAAAAGCATCCGCTCCCAACTCAGACAACTGTTCCAGTGAGGACACAGAAGGGTCATGGTCTTTTAACATATCTGGAAGTTGTAAAGTCTTCTCTTGAATGCGTCGTGAACGCCTCACTGGTGTGAGAAACTTCAGCTCTTTAAATGTGGAATTATTACCATGTTGCATCTTCTTTTTCATACTGAAAAACAAAATTATTTCACAAATTCAAAGACATGTTCAAGTGTTTATCTTACATTTTAACTGTTTCACATAATATACTTCTAGGTGGCAACCATGTGACAGACTGTATTATAGAAAGGGAGAGATAATATAAGTTCCTAGAAGAGAGCAATATGCATTCTGTAGACACTTGAATAGCTGAAAAAAAAAAAAAAAAAAAAAAAAAAAAAAAAAAAGCCTGATTTCTCAGTTCCAAGCACTACAGCTACAGTGATAAATGTAAACCAAAAATGTCTTGATTTTGAAAATGCTTGAGGAGGCTTTTTTCTCTCTCCCTCTTCTGCTCTCTTCCTCTCTTTTCTCTCTCTCTCTCTCTCTCTCTCTCTCTCTCTCTCTCTCTCTCTCCTGCTTTGGTTGGCCACCAGCTATACCCTGTTTTCTCTCCCCTCTACCAATAAACTCCACGTGGGCGCTGAAAAGAAAAGGAAAGGAAAGGAAAGGAAAGGAAATGCTTGGGGGGGAAGGGTCCAGGTTCAAATCGCAGCCTCACATGACAGGGAGCTCACAACTGGCTAAAGTCCCAGAGGAGTCCAACACCCTCTTCCGGATTCTGTAGGTATTACATCCATGTGGTGCAAAGATCACATACAGATCAAACACCCATACATATAAAAACAAATCTTTAAAAGAATGCCCAGGGAAAGGTGAGGCCTGTGGTGGAAACCAAGTCTAGCTTTTATAAAGTGGCACCATGTAGGAGAAAAAAAAAAACAATAATTCAGTAACCAAAAGGAGAAATGTCCCAATGACCTTCTACTTCTTTGAGAATTTCTTTTCTTGTTTTGCTGTTTGAAACAGGGTAGTCTAGGCTGGACTTCAATCCATAGCAACCAGTCTCCCCAGTGTTGCAATTACACACATGAGCCATTACAATCATGGGTCTGGATTTGACTATCAGCATTAACATTTTCTTAAACAAAATTATCCCAGGAGCATGAGAACAAATCACATTTTAAACATTTACCTTTGCAAGCATGGTGTAGAAGATACATTATATCTAATTAGGCAACCTGCTTCAGTTTTTGAATCAGGGGTTATACAATCATTGGCTGGATCTTTTGTTTCTTTGTCTCCCTTGTTTTCACAAACTTTAACATTCTTCTGATCCTCATTCTCCTCTCCTGGATTTCCTGGTTCTAGATTGACACTTGTTTCTTCAGTTTTGACTTCCTGGGTATGTCCCTTAGTTGCATGAGCCTCCTCAATATTTTCTCCTATTAAAAAAAAAATTTAAAGATTTAAACTTAAAATTTCAAAATAACAGAACCAAACTGCATTTCCTAATCATTACTTTTCCTAATGCCAGGGGTTTAACAAATACTTAATACAGATACAAACTTAAGAATGAAACCATCCCAGTTCTTAAGATTATGTGTCATGAAAGACACAGTTGAAGAACAATTAACTATTATATGAGATAAACATTTATGTGAAGTAAGAACAAAGGGTTGTTGGCACCTATAAAAAGGAATGTACTAGCTAGTTTTATGTCAACACAGGCTGACAGCAGTCAGAAGGATAGGTGCGGACCACAGCAGTCAGGACACATGTGGCCATTGCAGTCAGAAGGACAGGTGCAGATCATAGAAGTCATGACAGGTCAGACCACAGCAGTCAGAAGAAGAGGTACAGACTACAGTCAGAAAAAGAGGCCACACCAGTCAGAAGAACAAAGACTGTACCAAAGCCCAAGCTAACCACCGGGACTCCCTACTAGGTCAGAAGTCACGCTGGCCACTAGAAATCCAGTCCAAAGACTAGAAGACCAAAAAGGAAAGAGAAAACAAGAAACAAAGCACCATTCCAACAAAGACAAACTCAGAAATCAGGATCTAGCTGGGAGGTGGTGGTGTACATCTTTGATTCCAGCACTTGGGAAGCAGAGACAGGTGGATCTGAGTTCAAGGCCAGCCTGGTCTACAGAGCAAGTTCCAGGGCAGCCTCCAAAGCTACAGAGAAACCCTGTCTCAAAAAACCAAAACAATAAAAAAGGAGGAAATCAATCAATCATCAATCAATCAACCCAATCAGGGTCTAGACCTATAATCCCAAAACCAGATTCCTAAAGTCCAGTGTAAGAATATAATCAACAGGGGCTGGAGAAATGGATCACAGGTTAAGAGCACTGGTTGTTCTTCCAGAGCTCCTGAGTACAATTTCCAGCAACCACATGGTGGCTCACAACCATCTGTAATGAGATCTGGTGCCCTCTTCTGGCCTGCAGGGATACATGCAGGCAGAACACTGTATACATAATAAATAAATAAATAGAATACAATCAACAACAGCCAGGGCAATATGGCACCACCAGAGCCAGCTATCCTAAGACAGCAACACAAGATTTCTCTGTGTAACAGCCCTGGCTGTCCTGGGACTCGATCTATAAACCATGGAACTCCTACAATTGATAAATAGCTTTAGTCAAATGACTGGATATAAGATTAAAAAAAAAAAAAAAAAGATTCAGCAGTACTCCTATATACAAATGAGAAATGGGCAGAGGACGAAATCAGGGAACACCCTTCACAAAAGTCACAATGTAAATTATCTTGGTATAACTCTAAAAAAAAAAAGCAAGAGAAAAGACCTATATGACAAGAGAAAATTGAGAAAATTGGAGAAGATATCAAAAGATGGAAACATCTCCCATGCTCATGGGTCAGTAGGATTAACAAAATGACCATCTTACTAAAAGCAATCTACAGATTCAATGCAATCCCTATTAAAATCCCAACACATTTCTTTACAGACCTTGAAAGAACAATACTCAACTTTATATAGAAAACCAAAGCCAAAATACAACAGGATAGCTAAAACAATCCTGTACATTAAAACTTCTGATCCCTGATTTCAAGCTATAGAGCTATTGTAATAAAAGCGGTGTGATACTGGCATTAAAAACAGACAGATCAATGGAATAGAATTAAAGACCCAGATATAAATCCACACACCTGGGGACACCTGATTTTCGACAAAGAAGCCAAATTATACAAGAAATGCAAATCAAAATGACTGAGATTCCATCTTACACCCGTCAGAATGGCTAAGATAAAAAACACAACAGCTCATGTTGGAGAAGTTGTGGAGCATGGGGAACACTCCTCCATTGCTGGTGGGAGTGCAAACTTATACAGTCACTTTGGAAATCAGTATGTCAGTTTCTCAAAAAATTAGCAATTGATCTACCCCAAGACCCAGTTATACCATTCTTGGACATATACCCAAAGGATACTCCATCTGACCATAAGGACACTTAGCTCAACTATGTTCATAGCAGCTTTATTTGTAATAGCCAGAACCTGGAAACAACCTACGTGTCCCTCAACTGAGGAATGGATAAAGAAAATGTGGCACTTTTAAGCAATGGAGTACTTACTACTCAGCTGTTAAAAACAAGGATATCATGAAATTCACAGGCAAATAGAAATGGGGAAAAAAAATATGATCCTGACTGAGGAAACCCAGACTGAGAAAGATATATGGTATATACTCACTCACAAGAGGATATTAGCTATAAAGTAGTAAAGGTGACTATGCTACCATCCACAGATCTAGAGAGACTGGATAACAAGGAGGGTTCAAAAGGGGAATGCCTGGATCTCCATAGGAAGGGGAAGTAAGAGATTTGGTGGGTAGATTAGGCATGGGCAGGGATGACTTGAAAGAAGTAATATTTCAGGGTCAGGTAGAAACCTAGTTCAAGGGAATCTGCTAGCCATCTACAAGGATGACACTGGCTAAGACTCCTAGCAATAGCAGGTATGTAGCCTGAACTGCCCACCTCCTGTGACCAGTGAAGGGATTGAGACATCAACCCCAGGCACATAACCTTCGACCTATAGTCTGTCTTGCTGGGGTAGGGTTGCTTTGAAAGACTAAGGAAGTTGACAACAAATGGCCAGTCTAGCCTAAAACCCATGCCATGAAAGTAAGCTTACTTCTAACACTGCCTGGAGTGCCAGGACCCACAAGCTGGATGACCCAGAGGATAGAATTAAACAACGGGGAAAAAAAAAACAGTCAATGCCTTCATAGATTGGTTCTCAGCCCTACTGTCATTAGGGAGGCTTCATCCAGCAACTAAAACAGATGCAGACACTGGGCTGGGCTGGTGGAATCCTGCTGAAGAGGAGGAGGAAGGATTGTAGAAGCCAGAGGGGTCAAGGACATCATAACAAAACCCTGAGTTATAGGAGGGCATTGGAAGGAGAAAAGAGAAATGGGAAATGATATAATTATAATCTACATAATAAAGAAAAGAAAGTTAAATAAGATAAAAGGAAACCTGAATCAGTAGATTTTAGCAAAATTACAATTCACCTGAAGAAAAACTTACCCAAATTAACTTTTTCTTGACTCTTTGTTGTTAGAATATCTATGATTGTGTGTCGCATCTCTTCAATAGGCTTAAATTAAAAAATGTTTTGAACAAAGAAAGAAGTTTACATGGTCAAAAATATACATGTAAACATATATAAGTATATATATATATATATATAGAGAGAGAGAGAGAGAGAGAAAATATTAGACACTGAAAATTTTTACAATTTTAAACTAAACATTTACTATGAAAAATGAATTTAGAACACAGAATTTTATCATTAAAAGAAAAATAATCCCAATTTTTAGGCCTTTGATAACTACTAGTGCTTGCTTGATAGGACCAAATTAATGAACAAATGGAAAGCTATCATCTATTCAATAGCTGACTATACAGTTTAAAAGTTCTTTTAAAAAAGTACAAGTTGTATTTTTGTCTCACATTGTTAAATTCATCCCCCCTCACTCCCCGATACAGGGTTTCTCTGTATAACAGTCCTGGCTGTCCCAGAACTCACTTTGTAGACCAGGCTGGCCTGAAACTCACTGAAATATGTCTGCCTTTGCTTCTCCAGTGCTGAGATTAAAAGCATGCCACCACCTGCACGGTTATTTCTGATATCTTAAGGTTGGTCAACCCAATGTATTTCAAGTGTTCAAATTTAATTACCTGATAGAAATCAAAACCACCATGCTTGGTAATACAAGATGGTTTGTACGGTGGAAGCCCTGGTTCACAGCCCTAGTTTCAGAATTCATTGTAAAATCATCAGTTCTGTGTTCAATTTCTTGGCCAGTTTTGGTTCTGGTTTTCCAATTTACACTTCAGTGCCGCCTCTTTCTGTCTACAATGTCTATCTAGAGCCCCAGCTCTCACTTCTGTATCACCAAGCCAGCGACATAACTTTATGTAATGTCCTCTGTGGCCCATCACAGGAAATGTACAGGAGGATATCTTGCGCTAAAACAGTTTCATTAGACCTACATTTTAGCTTTTATCTATTTCTAAAGTCTCATAACCCTTGGCACACAAGTGAAAAGTTTTAGAGAGTTGGAAAACATGCATAACGTAATCTTCATTTCACACAATGAACCCTGTGTCTGCATGCTCTACTACTGACCTATTCCAGGTCCTTTTGTGGCCTTTAAATATTCAATCTTATCAAGTTACACTACAATGTGCTCAAAAATAACTGAGAATTGTTTACAATGAAAAACTGGAGATCAGTAAAATTTGATCTTACCTGAGCCCCTGCCAGAATGGCCTTCTCATAGATTGAGATAATATTTTCAATAGGACTTGTGACTGGTTCAATACGAACAAGACATATCCAATATTTAACAAGTTTTTTGGCATCTGGAATATTATGAATCAAGTCATTCAATGTGTCTAAAATTTCTTCTTTTGGGCATCCCTAAAATACAAAGAAATGAAATGTGTGAGCTACAAATTATAAACTAGTAATCTGACTAGAACAGTGAACAACATAAAAAGTTGATAGAGGGAGTTGGATACACAGCTTAGCAGCCAGAGCACTGATGATGATGCTCCAAAGAGAACCTGAGTTGGTTCCTAGCACCCATGTTGGGCTGTTCACAACTGACTACAAACTCTATAGACTCAGGGGACCCAACACTTGCTAGCCTCCAATATGGTACACATAAACTCATTTATTTAAGTACGCAAACATAAATAATAATAAATCTTTAAAAGGCATTTCTAAATTATAAAAACGTACAAAAATGAAGACTCTGCCTTAGAAGGCTGGAGAGATGGCTCTGAAGTTAAGAACATTGGCTGCTCTGCCAGGGGATGAGTTCAGTTTCCAGCACCCACATGGTAGCTCACAAACATCTACAAAGTGGGTTCCAGGGATATGACACCCACTCCTAGCCTCTGCAGGCATCAGGCACACACATGGACATACATACAGGCAAACAGCCATACATATTTTTAAAAAAGGACTCTACCTTCTTATTGATCAGGTTCAGGCATTCAGAAATTGTCTTGTTTACTTTTTCAGTAAATAATCTCTGTTCATCTTCTTCTGCCATGGTAGTCCAAAAGGAACCAACTGGGCTTTCCCTTTGTCCCTTTGGCTCAGACTGATTAGCTATTAAGTTAGGAGGCCTTTTTAGCCCTTTTCCTTTGCCAGTTCTCCACTCAGTCACTGGAGCTCTACAAGCAGAAGCAGTACATAAACATTACTTTGATTTTGATGACAGCATCCTGCTAAATGGAGTAAGTATATTTCAAATCTGGAGCTGGAGATATTGCTCAGCAGCACTGGTTGCTTGGCCAGAGAACCCTGGTATGCATAACTCCCAGCACCCAACACGGTGGTTCACAACCACTTGTAACTCCAGTTCAAGGGGACCTGACACCTCCTTCTGGCCTCTGTGGGCACCAAGAACACACGTGCATAGGCATACATGCCAAACACCCATATACAATCAAGAAAACATGAAGTCTATACATGTTTCTAAACTGGTGGACATAAAATGTATTTGTTTGCAGAGGCAAACTCTTGAACATAACAAGATCAAATATACGTTCAAAGGATCCAAGAATGTGAGCTGGGGAGATGGCTGGGAGGCTAAGAGTGCTTACTGCTCTTACAGAGGATCTGGTTTGGTTCCTCGCACCAACATGAGGAGGCTCACAACCACCTGTAACTCCAGTTCCAGGGGATCCAATGCACTCTCACACAAATTCTTAGGAGGCCTACTCATTTCTGAAGGGAAATGGAAGAGGAGTGGATGTGGGGGAGAGGGGACGTGGGGAGAAGAATTGGGAGGCATGGAGGGAGGGGAAATTGCTATCAGGATGTAATGTTTGAGAGAAGAATGAAAATAAAAATAAATAAATTCTCAAAGAACCAAAGAATGCATTTTAAATGGCTAAGTTGTATTTATCAACTGTTATTAGTGTTCAACTGAGCTCAAAAGCAACCAGCAAACTACACTTAAAGGTAAATTTTTGGACTTATTATTCCATATATAAATCTGTCTATGTGGCAGAAAATAATTGATTAAAGAAATTCTAATACATTCAAGGAAATTATAAGCTAAATTCACAAATGGTATTCTATTAAAAACCAAGAAGACCAAGTGAGTTTCATCTACTTACTTTCTCTCCTCTGTGGTTTCTTTGGACTGAGCCGATCTAGAAAGAGTTGCTCCTGCTACTGTGTATCTGCGCTGGTCCATATTTTCTGACTTTTCTGTCAGTCTGGTATTAGAAAAATGAGTCCTGGCTACACCTCCAGATGTTATACTTCTTGATGGTGCCTTATCTCTTTTTGTGTCCTGAGAAGGCCGGGTATTGACAACAGTTACAGCTGGTTCTGACCGTTGTAATTCTTTTCCAAGAGGCCCTTTTCTGATTGTAACATTGGCAAGGGTCCTGCCCAAGCCCTGTCTCATAGTGCCCTGGGTATTACTATGGAGGTTTCTAATAGGTGGTCGCACAAGTGTGTTCTTGGACGTAGTGCTCACAGATTTAGTGTTTACAATCTTGGTGGTAGCAGTCACACTTGAGGCTCTTATACTGATGGCATTTACAGGCACAGACTGAGCCTTTGTGGCTTTAGACACAGTGGGGGGAAGTTTCTTGGTTTCTGAAGGACTCTCACCTTTGACATTTGGAAGCTTTCTAAATGAATTAATCTTAGACTGAACAACCTGGCCATGATAATAGCCAAGCACTCGTTTTTTAGGCATGCTCGCCTCCTGTTTGGGCTTTTCTGCAGTTGTTTGCATCTTTTTATTTTCTTTAAGGTGACATGCCTGGTCTGATGCCATAGTCTGACCTTGGAAATCATCTCTAGTTGATAATAACTGCACAGTTTGAATATTATTCTTCAAGTTGTGTATTTCTGAACTGGTTGCTTCATCAGCTTTTAATGGAATGTAGTTTTTTTCAATCGTGTTTCCAATATTTTCTTTATCAGCCTACAAGAGTTAAGAGAAATCAGTATTTCAGAAATCATGTCTTCATTAAAGAACGAAGGAAAGAACGTAGGAAAGGTCAGAGTATAAGACACATATCTTACCATTTCTGTTTTGTGTTTCAGAACTTTCTTCCCTTCTTGAACCTGATCTTCAGATGTCATCACTTTCTGTTCTCTATTAGTTTTAAAAAAAAATTAATTAGTTCTATACAAAGGAGATCTACTTTTAGCGAAGGAAGGGAGCTTGTGTGTACCAACTAAGCAAATGCTCTACTACAAGCTACAGTCCAGGTCTCATATTTTAAAATTTTAAATCGGGGCAGCAAATAAGTTTTGTGTAGTTAAAGGAAGAAATGAGACAGGTTTAAAGCCTTAGCCCAACTTTATTTTTTTTAGCTATAAACTAGTATAGTATCTGATGATCCCTTAGCAAATAATAACTCTGTGTAAAATAAAATATTGTCAGACATTCTAGTAATTCTAAAACAGATCCACAAATTCAGAGAGTATGCTAAAATGTGGGGAAATGTGTTATTTGGTAGATCTGACAAAATCTGGTATTTTAGAGCTAATGAAACTTTAATCCTAACAAATACAGAGTACAATTATCTTCAAACTCTGCTTTCCTATTGGATGAAGTCCATCTACACTGAGGGCCACCTGCTGTCCTCACGGTCACAAACTCAAATATTAATCATACCTGAAAGATTCTCTTCTGTTTTGTTTTAGTTTTTAGAGACATGGTTTCTCTTTGTAATAGCCCTGGTTGTCTTGGAACTCGCTGTGTAGACCAGGATGGTCCCCAACTCACAGAGATCTGACTGCCTCTGCCCCCGATTGCTAGGATTAAAGTCATGTGCCACCATGCCTGTCCTTAAAAGATTGTTTTACTGCAACATCTAGGCTACTGTTTGACCAAACAAGTGGGTATTGCAGCCTATAAGACACATGACATTACCCACCACAGCTGCTAGCTGCTGTGGTACCAATCTATGATCTATACTTGAGGACAGAAGGAATTCAAGTTTGAGGTCAGGGTATTTAGAATGCAGACTCTCAAAACCAAACATTGACCGCTAGGCACAGCACAGCTTCCAAGTCAGCATCTTGGTACACATACATACACTCTGCCTTCTCTTTAATCAGGGAGAAGGCTCAGCAGTTGCAGCTACTTGCCACCAAGCCTGACTACCTCAGTTTGATTCACAGAGTACACATGCCTGAAGGTTACTCTGGCCTGCATATGTGTACTGTATCTTGCATGCACCAGCACAGGTGGGTAAGCAAGTGAATATACACACAGAATACATTTTAAAAATGTTTAATTGCTTCCCTTTAAGTGTTTGAACATATATAGAAAATGATGATCTAAAGCCATCACCCACATAAAGTAGCTACAGATACAAACTCAGATGTGCTGAAAGTATTAATATATAACAGGTTTTTTGAAGACTTGATGCCAAAAGAGAAGGTTAACTGTCATAGTGCTTTTTTCTTTTGTAGTGCTTTTGGTGGCAACCATTCTACTACTGAAATGCATTTCCATTCCCCTTAATGCTTTTAAATATTATGTGTTGAAGTAATAATGTGTAGAACCATAACTGTATTAAGTGTTAATAAAATTTTTTTCAGTTTTTTAAAGTTAAATATAATTAGTAGGAAAGTAAAAGTTAAATTGTGGCACATGTTAGATTCTTAGTAGACAATTCTAATGCAATTAAACTTGACCTCACCTGGATATCTGATTTTCTTGTTTGTATGGAAACATTGTTTTTCGTATTAACAGATATTCCTTGAGTTTTTGTTTTCTTTGTTCTAAAGATGGAGTAACAAAGTCAACTTTAGTTAAAACATCAAATATGGTTGATGTAAAAGTAATTCAAATTAATAGAACTGATGTTATAAAGGATTTGCTAATGGATTTGCTTAGGAGACATTAAATCACACAAAATAGAATTTAGCTAAGCCAGCACTGCCCACCCCCCCCCCAAAAAAAAAACACCCCAAGGTGTTTGGAGGCTAACCAAGCAGGTTAGAAGTAAGATTTAAGATGCTAAGATGTAAATGTTTATTCACTAGAATGGACCAGCCTTTTGGCTCTAATCACATAACAAAGGGCATCCCTTTTACAGGCTGCTCAAGGTGGGCAGAATAGGGTCACAACCATCAATCTAGTCCTGGTCTGCCATAAAAGTCCCCTGTCCTCTTATCAGTAAAAACATAATTTGCAAGATGGCCTGAGGTAACAGCTATTTGAAAAGAATAACACTGATGTACTTAAGAAATAATTCTGGCAATTATCTGTTGCTGTGTCAATCTCCCAACTGCCCAAGTGGCCAGACACAAAGTCTCCCATCTCTGTTTAAACTATTCAAGGTGTAACCTAGAGCCAAGAGCTGAAGCAGACTTGGTAATGACAACATATGTAAAAATGTACAAGCCTGAAGTGTATATACACTGATGGTTCTCAACCTGTGGGTCACAAGATCTTTGGAGAGTCTAATGACCCTTTCAGAGACCATAGGAAAACACAAATATTCACATTATGAAAAATAACAGCAGTAAAGTCACGTGTATTAAAGGGTTGCAGAACTAGGAAGACTGACAACCATTGACAGAAGCTACTGAAATGTGCTCTTCAAGGCCAGTTCTTTTAAAGAGCTTTCACTATGTGTGTGGAGTGATTCCTCACAGGGAAGGCATGTTATTTCTGTACTAAATATGGAGGTCCCTAGTGAGATGTCCTACGCCAGCCCCTTGTGCTGCTCAGATGGCTGGAGGAGTAGAATGCTCCCTGACAGAGTTCTAGCACTTCCTCTCAAGGGCACTCCAGACTCTCCAGTCAACTGATCATTGGTTAGGAAAACTCAGCAGGAAACCTGCAGGACAAGCAAAGATGCCAAGACTGCCCCTACCCCATCTCAACCAGACCCTACTCTGTGGGGTAGAGGAGGGCTCAGATCAAGCCTTAAGGAAATTTTCTGATAAAGCCAACAAGTAGGTTTTCCATTAAGAAAACAATGGAGGGAGCCGGGTGGTACAAGCACTCAGTGGCAGAGGCAGGCAGATCTCTGTGAGTTTGAGGCCAGCATGGTCTACAAAGCGAGTTCCAGGACAGGCTCCAAAGCTACACACAGAAACCCTGCCTCAAAAAACAACATCAGAGAGAGAGAGAGAGAACAATGTAGGGAATGTTGTAACCTTGGAATGAAAATGTGAGTGATGTTTGTCTCTTGTTTGTCTGCAGAAGAACTCTAGTATGTTGCAGAGACCCTCCTACCCATATGGGGGCAAGGCAAGAAGAACTTGAACAAAATTAGCTGCCTGTTTAGCTGGATAGAGCTGGATAAACTAGACTGCAAACTCACTTTCACCCCTAAAGCCTACATCATCTGTGCCCCCAGATTGGAGCTGCTGGCCCACAGATCCACCCCCCCCAACAAAAGATCCAATTAAGACTTGGGGCTCCTTCCATAAGCAGGAAAGTTTTGAATCCTGTTCGGAACAAGAAAATGACCCTGACATGACTAAATAGAGAAGGGCTTCTCTCGAAGGTCACAAGTGAACCATATAGTACCCTCCACTGAGGCTTGCCTGGGTAAAGTGGCTGCTGGATCCTCTTGGGCAGGAGCTTTAGTTGCAGCAGGGTTCACTTCCCTTTCTGCACCCAAGGAGACCAGGGGCCCCACCTCAGAGAGGCCACAAGGTGCACAGCTAATTTTTCAGGGCAAGAAAGCCGCTTAGCTGTGCATCTCTAGAGGCAGCCTGGAGATGAGCTATGCTGAGTCCAAATGCTCGCTCTTCCCAGGAGTCTTTCTGTTCTTGGGACTCCTTTGCCAGCTGGAGAACAGCTAAGAGGTAAACCATTTCCAATAGAGGCTCCTATTGCCTATAATAAAAACAGCCAATGGGAAACTTGACATGGAGAGGATAAAAGAGACCCACTGTCTAAAATCTCAGCAGTTACTCCAGCAACAGATTTAACAGGCTTCCCTAAGTGAAGTTCTGTTAGATAATGTAACTATGAATGTAAAGCTTCACGTGCTAACAGGTAAGGTTCTCCCAGCATCCCTCAGTCCCTACCTGCTACAGGGTATGGCTAGCATACCCTGCCCTCTACCCTGAACTCTCCAGCCCAGAGGCTGGGCTGCCCTTCCCCTAGAGGCTCTTGCCTATATAGTCCAGACATTTTGGTTACACTTTCTCTCTAGCACCTTGGGCCTCCTGGCTGCTTCACCTGGTTGCCTTCTCTCCCTTCTCCCCAGCAAGGCCCTGCTCAGCCTGTCCAGATCCACTCTGCACTCTCCCAGATGTCCCTGCTTCTGACTCTGCTCTCCCACATGAGGACAGTAAACTTCCTCCTCCATCACACCTAGGAGCAGTCATGTACTTTCCTCTCCTTTTCACTTCTCTTTTTCATTCAGTTTACCTGGAAACTCACAGGGTCTAATGCTTTAACAGTACATTCACAGGTGTTATTAATTTATTGCATTACCCTATGTGTGTGATTTGGATTTAATTTTTCTTTATATGCTGCATGTGTTTCAGAACTCCACCTGTGCCTGTTAAAATAATTATAGCTGGACTTGACAGAAGTTATTAATTCCTCAAGGAGGAGAGTCAAAGTCATTGTACCCTAATTTGAGAGAGGCACTCCTCCAGCTAGCTGTATGCAACCAGGCCCTAATTTTATAAGGCCTCAAGGTATCTGGAGATAGGGTATAAAGACTGGGAAAAACTAAGGGGAAGAGGGGCACAATACCCCTTTTAGGGAAAACTTCTTATAGCAAATGACAAATTTGTTGTGGTTATGTCTCATGGCATTTATTTATTTATTTATTTATTTATTTTATTTATTTATTTTTGCTCCTTTGTTTTGGGGGACAGGGTTTCTGTGTGTAGCCCTGGTTGTCCTGGAACGCTCTGTAGACCAGGCAAGCCTGGAACTCAAGAGATCAGCCTGCCTCTTCCTCCCAAGTACTGGGTTAAAGGTGTGTGCCACCATGCCCATTTTTTAAATTGTCAAGTCAAGGCAATTTACATGTAAAGCTTAAGATAGCTGGATGTTCCAGGACTTAAAATGATTTGTTAAAACTACAATTACAGATGTCTAGCTCACTGAGGACTCTATCCCCAACCTGTTTATTCTTGTTTACACAGAGGGTTCAATCATTCAAAGTTATTGCTATCTCTAAAGTTCTGGATGAGACTCAACTTTCAATGAGTTCTTAAAAAAAAAAAAAGTTAAGATATACATTTGAGGTTATATCTCTAATAAGGATTAAATTCTTTTAGATAGGATACATTACATAAAGACAGAGACAAAACCATAAAAGCTTGAAGCCAAGCCACAGAGGTCTGAAATGTCGAACAGGACTTATAGACTTAATGGTTAAAATGATCTGCGGTTCCTATGCGTTTAACAACAAAAGCTGACTTAAAGATGTGTGTCTTGTCAGTTGTGTCTTTGCTAACTATGTCCAGCTTTAACTATCTGGAGACACCGAATCATACAGAGCTGTGCTAAGAACTGACTGTACACCTTTTATTCTTCTGTCTCCTGATCTCTGCTATAATCATGCTCTTGTGATAAAATGAACTACTGAATATAAAAGCTGGGTTAAATAGACTTAGACTATAATTGTACTTTTGTGATAAAATATAAATTGACTTAGATTAAAAAAAAAAAAAACCTACAGGTCAAAGGGGTTCCCAGTTTCTGTGTGGACTGCATTTATTGTATAAAGTGTATTTTGGTACTAAAAGAGTTTCAATCTTAAAAAATTGTCATTTTTAAGGCTCAGAAATTTTAACAGGGATAAATTACCTTATTTTATAAAATCCTAATGTTGTTAAGAGTTGCTTATTGTAAACTGTTAAAGCAAAAGTAATTTTGAGCATAAAAATTAGAGATCAGTCACCTTTTATGTAATTAAATGACTGGGTAGGTCATGCACACCTTTTAGTCCCAGCACTGGGGAGGCAGAGAACTCTGTGGATTCCAGGCCAGCTTGGTCTGCATAATGAATTCCAGGACAGCCAGGGCTATGTAGAAAGACCCTGTCTCAAAATAAAATAAAATGACTAAATGTCCTTTATGTGCCCAGAATTGTGTCTGTAGTCACACTAAGTACAAATGTGATTCATTCACAGAGACAGGATGAGAGGAAGAGACCAAGTTATATCTCCCAGTACAGTCTTATGTATATGTTGTCAAAGGATATCCCTAAGCAGGTAACTCAAAACAAGTTTAAAAACAAAGTTTGTTTAATATAAAATACTATTCAAAATCAGGTACATTAAAAAAAAAAAAAACTAATTATGAAGAACTAAATGGGTCAAATTTACAATACACTTACATGGCAGGATGAAGTCTATCCTTTCCCTGGATGGGACAGACACCAGAGTAAATGCATGCTAGCCTCATTACAGAGGAAGAATACATGGGGAGTAAGAGTTGCCAGATCTGCTGCCCCAGCCTCCCACTACGCAGAGCAGATCAGAAAACCTCCCTCCTCTAGAGGGAAGATGAATTACCCTCATGTTTCCACAGACAGCAGGTGGATTCTCTCACCCAATGGAGGATCTCAGCATCTGCATCCCTAAGTGTCTTAAGCAACAGAAGTAAACAGCAATGACTCTCCACTCACTGTTTCCTGAAGTGACCGAGGATGCTGCCAATGGGGGAATTTTTAACTAAGCCTGTCACCCAACTAGTGTGAGGCCTGCATGCCAGTTCAATTGGGCAGGCCCTTTAGCCTGGCTTTCAATTCTCCATCTCTTGGCAAACCAGTCCCACAGATCAACAACAAATTGTGCAAGGAGTCGTCCGTCCCCACTCCAATATTACCCTTCCCCAGTCCTAAGAGTTCCAGATAATCTAAGACAGAGCCTGTCTTAGGGCCAGTCAGTACAGCTGGCTCAACTGTGGGCACTCCTTTAAACACTGAGTTGCAGGCACCATCCTACCTGAGGAGGAAACCTAGTCTGTGACAGTCACCCCAGACCAGCCTCTCATAGAAAACAGCTCTTCAGCCCTGTTCCCACTGCAAACCTGAAAGCCACTGCACTCTGTAGAAGCTTGAGGAATCCAGCAGGAGACATTTGGAGATAGGCACCACAATGCCTGTGCCTCTCTTTGGACTCATGGTGATATTGACTACCAGGGCTAGCCACCATGGCTCCCACGGACCTGACTTTGACACAGAGAATTTTACTAGCTCTGTTATATCTGGTAATAACAGGTTTGTTAAAAAAAAAAAAAAAAAAAAAAAAAAAAAAAAAGAAAGAAAGAAAGAAAAAAAAAAAGAAAATCTGATTTCTTTAATGAGTTATGCCTAGCTGTGCATCCAAGTAATAGTTGGTCCTTGTAGATGATATATTTTTCTGAAAATGAATAAAGCCTCATAACTCTGTAAAAGGCATAGATCTACTAACTGCCGAGAAAAGGAGATTATATGCCTATCTGAATAAAGAGTGCTATTACTGTGGTAACTAGGTAGGGCTAGTTAGAAACATGGTAAAACAGAGAGGAAAGCATAGCCAACAGAAGGGAAACCCTACAGAGCCCCTGGTATTCTTGGAATGGCTACTGGAATTAGCTTAGTTACTATCTCTAACAGGGCCCTTCATAATGCTGTGACCCTTTAATATAGTTGTGGAGAACCCCAGCCATAAAAATTATTTCACTGCTACTTTATAACTATAATTTTGCTACTGTTACGAATCATAATGTAAATATCTGCTGTGCAGGATACCTGAAGGGGTCACTACCCACTGGTTGAGAACCACTGTATTAGGCCTTTGTACCTCCAACTCTCAACTGCTGGCGCCAGTTTAATATCACTCGAGTAGGGGCCTGATAGAACCACATCAAATACAGATGGTTCTGACCTCGAAGCCACTTTCTCAGGTGGTGAAAACAACAGGGCTCAGAGTGACCAGTCCCCTATTACACAGAATTTTAACCTGGGGCTTTATAAAAAGATGTTTAATAGTTCCACCACGAGAACAATTTATTCAGAAAAGAGTAACACTGATATACTTAAACAATCTGGCAATTATCTTTGCTGTGTCAATCTCCCACCTGCCCGAGTGCCCAGACTGTATTCTCCTGGCTCTGTTCAAAGTGTAACTGTTCAAAGTGTAACCTGGTGGGACCCAAAAGAGATTTAAGGATGACAGCATATGTAAAATGTACAAGCCTAAAGTGCACATAAGGTATTGAAATCTTCTATTCAAGGTTGGCTCTTCCTTGGGCATTAGCAAGACAAATGCTCCTTAACTAATCACTAAGTGTGTGGAGTGACTCCTCCCTGGGAAAATATATTATGTCCATATCACTGAAATGGGAAATTTCTCAATTTAGAGAAATGATCCCATTAATCAGAAGGTGCTATCTTAAAGTTACTATTGCTGTGATGAAATACCCAGACCAAAAGCAACTTGGGGAAGAAAGTGTTCTTTTCATTCACATGTCCATGATCAAAAGCAGTTTGATCTGGGCAGGAATCTGGAGGCCATGCTCTGATTGCTTTTTTATAGCACTCAAGACCAATAGCCCAGAGGTGGCAACGCCCACAATGGGCAGGGCTCTTTTCCATCAATCTCTTAAGAATCAATTAAGATGTCCTGGGGCAGTAGTGGCCCACTACCTTTAATCCAAGCTCTTGGGAGGCAGGTGGATCTTTCTGAGTTCGAGGCCAGCCTGGAACTACACAGTGAGTTCCAGGGCAGGAAAGAGAGGAGGGAAAGGAGGGGAGGGGATGAGGTGGGAGAAGGGAAGGGGGGAGGAAAGGGAGGAGAAGGGAGGGGACAGAGGTGGGGGGAGAGATTAAAAACGGGGGGGGGGGTAGGGGCTGGAGAGATGGCTCAGCGGTTAAAGAGCACTGGCTGCTTTTTCGGAGGACCAGGGTTCAATTCAATTCCCAGCACCCATATGGCAGCTCACAGTGTCTATAACTCCTGTCCCAGGGGATCTGACATCCTCACACAGACATGCATGCAGGCAAAACACCAAAAATCTAATAAAAATAAAAACATAAGAAAAGAAAGATGTCCTACAGACTTGCCTACACCCTGATCTTACAGAAACATTTTTCAATTTAGATTCTTTCCCCTCAGAGAACTCTAGCTTGTGTCTAGCTGGCACAAACCTAACCGGGATGATGCTGACAACTGCTGAGTAAGAAGAACACATTCTCTGGAGTCCAGACTCTGGACTAAGGATGTAAACTCTACGATAGAACAAGGGCGGTCCATCCTCAGCAGTACCAGAAAGACAGACGGACGGACGGACATAGCCGACAGACAGAAAAACAATCCAGTTTCCTAGGGATCACCATTTCGACAATACGGTTCCAGAAAGCCAGTCTACAAGAAACAGCCGTAGAGACCAAATACTACTAGTCTCCAAATTTTGACCCCTGCCCGCCCCGCGCCAGCCTCACCTCCCGAGCTTAGAGCAGAGCAAGCCAGCGCGCAGGCGCAGTCGGGGGTCCTTGCGGCCCCGCCCCCCTCAGCCCTCAGCCCCGACCACCGAGCTAAACGGCCGCCGCCCCCGACTTCCAGCGAGGCGCGCTCCCCACGGCCAGCGGCCTAGGCTCTCCGGAGGGCGCGAGGCGGGTTAGGGGCCCAGGCCCCGCGCCGCCGCTCACCTCTGAAGGCCGGCTGGTCTCTCTTGGTCGGGGGCAGCTGCAGGTCCCGGGGCACCGGCAAGGCGTTGCTCCCAACCCGGCCAGCGCAGCGTTTCCTGGACTCTGCCATCTCGTACTGTGCGCGCCTCGGCGCCGGCGTGGATTGAATGGACCAATGAGCGCGGAGGGGCGGGGCCTTGTCGAGGGGCGGGGCCGTCCCGGAGTCTCTAAGAGTTGGCAGCCCTGGGCGTGAGGTTTTCGAAAGTCAAATAATGCTCTTCCAGCTGGATGGACGCGGGCGGAGCGGGAACGTTGAATCCTTCAGGCTATTAGCAGGACTAGGGATGACAAGTTGGGACAAGTCTTCAGACACAACCCCGAGTAAGGCAAAGGACGGCAGATGGCTGCTGGTGAGCTCACCGATCACACAGCTCAGAACGTCCCTGAGGAGAGCATGTTCACATCTGCTCTTTGGAGCTGCGTTACTGAAGTGGGTTGTGACTACATCTCGCTTCCTTACACAGCTTGCAAGCAAAACCTTAAATTGAGCTCTAGCTTTGTACTGTTATTATCTTATCGAAAGTCTCGCAGTGTGCCACGCGCTGGACTAGAACTTGAAATCTTCCTTGGCCTTCCTTGGCTGCAAGTTGCACCCAGCCCTTTACATTCATTTGTGAACTGCAACAAAGGTAAAAGACAAAAAAAAAAAAAAAAAAAAAAAAAGCTATAACTTTTCCTCCAAGGCAGTATATAATTCTCCTGTGAAGATAAACTAACGCTTACTGGGTGGTTTTTCTATGTTTGTATATTTAGGTGTGCTATTATAATCGTTCACACCCATCATTTAAACATGTCACCTGTATAAAACCCAGACAGTCGGACAGTGGTGGTTCACATCTGTAACTCCAGCCCTCAAGGAGATGACACATATGGAATATTTCCCCCAAAAGGCTGCATCTTCAAACTGGAACTTTTTTGCAAGGCTGGTTTATTGATTAGAACCTCAGTGTGGAGAGGTTGGAATGTTGCAGGTTCAGGGCCCAGCTATGTTTTATCTTGGGCTATCTTTAGCTAAATAGCTATCTCTTGTCAACCTTGGAACAGCTTTCCCAGACCTTAGGACAACTGAAGGCATGTTGGTGGCCTTGTTTTATTTAAGCTAGAGAGAGTGCTATTTTCCTATTACTTAAGCCAGAGGGTGGCTCTCCCCATCTAGCTCTCAGCTGTGGTCAGCCCCCCTCCCCCACCCCAGGGAGGGGGGTGCTAGTACACTACTTTGCTAGTGCTTTTTTTAAGGGTTGGGGTGGAACTCTGTGACTTGGTCAAGTGTGCTGCCATTGAGCTATTTGAGCTATATCCTTGGTGCTTCTGTAGTTTTTTGTTGTTGTTTTGTTTTTCCTTTTGAAATATCCTAGTGTAGCTTTACCAACTTTGGGAGAAGCAACAGCTGAACAGCTGAACAGCTCTTATTTTTAAAGACAACACTGCTATTTTACACACTCATTACCATATGGCTGATTGCTAAGTTTCCAGTGTGCTGGCCAGTCTTGGCTGTCAACTTGACTGTATCTGGAATCCACTAAAACCTAAGCAGTTGGGCATGCCTGTGAGGGATTTTCTCCATTGGATCATCTGAGGTGAGAAGACCCATCCTAAATCAGGGTACATCTGGTGGCACACAAAAAGCTTTTGCTTTTTGCCTGCTGGCCCTCACTCTCCCTGGCAAGTTCATCTATCCTGCTACAGAGGGCATTCGTTCCCTGGTATAAGAACTTCAGAATTCCGGTGTAGACTGAAGACAGCTCTCTTAAGAATCCTCCAGAACTCCAGCACCTGATTGAGACTGCTGAGATACAGTCTCGTGGACTGAGCAATTACTGTATTCTTGGACTTTCTATTGGGAGACAGTCATTATTGGACTACTTGGGCCAGAGACTGTAAGCCACCCTCATAAATCATGACTAATACAAGCAGACAGTTCATTTTGGGAGACTGGTGAGAGAGCTTGCCATGCAGACATGAGGACCTAAGTTTTGATGCTGAAAACCCAGTTAATTTTATGTCCTTAGGGGTGTGTGTGTGTGTGTGTGTATGTGTGTGTGTGTGTGTGTGTGTGTGTGTGTGTGTGTGTGTAGTTAAAACAAACCTAGAACAAAAGATAAACCCTGGATATTTCAATACACTGAGTTAGTAAGAAACCCTCTGAAGCTACTCTATTTTTCAACATGGCAATTTCTCCTTAACTTTCAGATGTGCCCACCCCAAGAAGAGCTTTTCTTTCTTTTTTCTTTTCTTTTTTGAGAATGTGACAAAATCACATCATTCTCCCTTCCCTTTTCCTCCCTCCAATTTCTCCTATATACCCCTGCTTGCTCTCTTGTGGACATGCCAAAGTGGACAGGGAAAGCCCACAAAGTCACAACACTACACAAAGAGCAGCTTATTTTTAAACACACTCAAAACCATCCCACAGTGTTAGGTGGTAAGATTCTTCTAAGAGGTCCGAGAAGACTTCTTTCAAAACAGGGCATTGTCAACACAGCTGACCATAAATGTAGACATATGGTTGCTGTTGATTGGCTTCCCCTGAGGGTTCATGAAACAAGTTATGTGCTTTTAGGAGGACAGGGTGGGTCAGTCCTAAGGACAGATGCCGCGCCGGTGCTGCCAGAGTACTGCCACGCCAGCCCCAGTGGGGACAGTGTAGTAATGGCTGAGATGAATCGCATGGCTACCTGTCCAGAGGTTCACACCACACATGGTTACGCCTCCTGGGAAGAAGTGGCCATGTCCTTGCAGGTTCTTACTTGGCTGACTGATTGGAACAGGTGCTGAGTGTATTTGTGCTATGTTAATAATAATGCTTTTAATCATGAGTATTCTGGCCTGTAGCTCCACTGTTAGTTCAGTGAAGCCTAGAGAACATTTAGATAAAGTTTTAGGAATTGAAAGAGATGCAGACCATCGATCAGCAGATGAATGTCCTCTGTGCCCTCAATCACAAAACCCATGGTGCTGGCTGAGACTCCAGGTGTCAGCCCAAGGCCTAAGAAATTAATAGAGTTGAAGCTATGTGAACTTGCCCACAATGTGACCCTGCCTGAAAATAGCCCACCTGCAGCAAAGCTGCTGTTGGATTTACTACAATCTTAGGTGGAAAGTCTATGTTTGGCTCATATTTCATAAAGATCCTAGGTTCTGGGCCAGGTCTGTAGTATATTGGAAACGCTATGACTGGGATCTTTGGGCCCCTGAAACAGTATAAGAGTTCATAGGAGAGAGCTTGGCAATGCTGTTGAAAGTTTAATGTTCAAAAACAATGATTATTCTCTAAACTCAGTGAACCAAGTGTCTGGCAAGCTGACCACAAGCAGGCCAAAATAGAAAAAAGTTTCCGGCTATGCACTTGATCGCATGTTTCAAGGGAAATTGCTGATGTGCATTAATTTCTGTAAAATATCTGTAATTTTTTTGAATTGTGGCCAAAGATCTGTTCTTTGAACTTTCTGCATAAAAACCCTATGCTCTGAAGTAAAAATCACAGCAGTTGCAAATCTCAAGTGTGTTTGTGTCTGTCTGTCACGTCGAAGCCACTCCTGACCTGGTCATCGGAGTCTTGGTCTCCACTGAGCAGTCTGCGGCAGAGTACCAAGCTGGCGGAGGGTGTGGGGATTGAAACACTTAACAGACCACCAGGAGAAGTGAAGAGGAAGCTGCTGCCTTTTATTACAGAGAGTAATGGGCTTATATACCCAAGCCAGGGGCTGGGCCAAGCATAGGAGAAAGTCATGCACCACCCTCACCTGGGGTCAAGGCACAGGACTGCACACTGGAAAGTTATGAGAACAACCTTGTTTGATCAACCTTGAGAGCATGGGAGTTCTACAGCTGAGTGGGGGAGGAAGAGAGCTGTAAGGGACAAGTACTTAAATTTCCCAACTGACAGAATGATGATAGTTGGGAAGGAAAGGCTAAAGACCTGGCAAGGTTGGTATTGCTAGGAATCTCACTGAATTCAGAAAGGAGGAGGCTCTGGCAAAAATGTTCAGTGTAAGAGTAGAGCAGAGAGAAATTACAGAAACTAAAGAAATAGAGTCTGCTCTTTGGATCGCAAGCCCCTATATATTGTTATTCCATATTAACAACAAATATAAAGGGTCTAGAGTAGGCAAGACAACTGTGAAACAGTTCCAAGGTGAAACAGGAACTGAGTCTGTTTTAAAAGCTTATAAAGCCACGATAATTGAGACAGTGTAACATAAAGACAAACAATGGGATGCAATAGATTTCAGAACTACAACCAAGCTATCTGGCCAGTTCATATTTACAGTTTCCAAAAACAACAGTGGTGGTAACTGAAATTCTACATGCAAAATGTTAACTTTGATCTTTATCTCAATTTGATACAAAACAAAAACTGACAACCTCAACATAAAACATGTACCTAATATAAGAAAGAAAACTACTAAATAAGAAAATACAGAAAAAAAAAAAGCTATTTGGCAAAGATCTCTTTTTTTAAAAAATAGTTTTTGTTTGCATGGGTACTTGGCCTGTGTGTATATCTATTGCATCAAATGCATGTTTGGTGCCCTTAACCGCCAGAAAATGGCTTTGAATCCCCTGGATTTGAATCCTTCTCTCCCTCCTTCCTTTCTTTGATCCCCAAGACCTTTTCATCTGTGGTATTTTGTTGTTTGTTTTTAGGGTCTTACTATGCAGCCCAGGCTGACCTGGAACACTCCTCTTACCTCTGTTTCCCCAAGTGTTAGGATTACAGGCATGTACTACCATGTCTGGTTTGAAGAACAAACTATGTGACATTGGACAGAATAATAATTAAAGCCGTTTGCTCTACCTGGGCAACAGGCATGGATCCATGCACAGACCTACATGTAGGCAAAGCACCCACACATCCAAGGTTAATGACCTAAAAGCTTCAGGTGGGCAGAAAGTCCAGGAAGGAAAGTTGACTTGATTGGTGACACCGTAGGCTGTCAGGATGGAGGATGCCTCTGGTAAGATTAGCATGCCAACCTGAATTGGTATCTATCACTTTGAGACTGCAGGGGAACTGACCTACAGATGGACTCTTCAGTTCCTGAAGTTCCCCTTTCCGGCCCTATAAAACGTCCAAGCCCCCTGCACTGTGTGTACAGTCTCTAGGAGGGACTGATGTCTTTCATTGTCCTTATTAAATGACAATCTGTTTGGGGTCGACTTAGGCTTTATTTCCATGTCACCTCCATCAATATAGATCTAGTGCACATTTTTTTTTTTTTAAAAGGGAGGGTGGGGTGGTTAATTGGTAAAGATGCCTGCTGCCAAGCATGGATCTCCAAGATCCACACGGTGGAGAACCAGCTCTCATTAAGTGTCTTCTGGCTCCTACAGGCGAGGGCTTGCATGTGCCCCACCCACACGAACACTCATGAAATACGTTATAAAAATTAGTCTAAAAAAGTAATCTAAAACAAAACCGGAGAAAGAAGAGGGTATCCCCTAATACACCGATTACACATGTGTCAAAAACGATTCCTGCTGTCAACACTTATTTGAAAAACAACAACAAAAATAAGTCGTTATGTACTCCTTTAACAAGCCTGTCAACGGGCTTGGCAGTGACAGAAAAACAAACGTGCGCACGAGTGGCCGCCCGCGCCGCCAGGGGGCGCTCCCCCACGGGTCTGTCGGAAGCCTGGGGTGGGGGAGGAGGACGGCCCGTTCCCGGCTGCCCCACCCCCGCCGGCCACCAGGGGGCGCCGCTCGCGGCCCCGGAGTACGGGGGAGCGGCAGAGGCCGGCCCGGCGGCGGCCATGGACCGCTTCGTGTGGACCAGCGGCCTCCTGGAGATCAACGAGACGCTGGTGATCCAGCAGCGTGGGGTGCGCGTCTACGACGGCGAGGAGAAGGTAGGGCGGAGGCCGTCCCTCCCCGCGAGCCCTCGTGATGGGCCCGGCATGGCGTTGCCCTCGGCCCCGGGCTCCCAGCCTCGGCCTCGCGGCCCGCGGTGCACTGTGGACGGCGAGCCGGAGCGCGGGGGACCGGGGTGGGGGGTGGAGGGGTCGGAGCCCGGGACAACCCAGTTCCTCCGTGACGGGAGCGCGCACCGGAGCGCCTTCCTCCGCCCTCCTGCGGGATGGGTGATGGATTTGTTCTGGGCTAAGCCGAAGTCGTCCCTCGCCCGAAAGGATTTACGAAGGAGGCCGCGGGGTCCAGCCCCACCCCCCCGGGGGGTCTGCTCTGTAGGAAGCACTTGTAGGAACACACTTTTAGAAAGTGATTTTGATGCTGTGTTTGGTCATGCAAGCTTAAATCTTAAGAGATTGCAAATGGTAAGAGAAATACAGAATGCAAGTATTTTGTACTTACTGGAAACTACAAGCCATCATATTCTGATTGAAATATACGACCTGAAAATGGAGCAAAAGAGCTTGCATTCCCACAAGCAATTTTACTTTCCATTTTCACTTGCTGCATTACCCCTTCCTCTCTGTTGTGGAAATGAAGCCTCCCTCTGTACTTTGGTACACCCTCTCCTGGTCAGTGTTTACAGATATTGGAGGTGCATGCGACGTTTGACCCGGGTCCTCTGGGTTTCTTAGGGTATGTTTCTGCGGACTATGCTGTTGCTTTTGAGTCGGGATCTTTCCCGAAACATCTTAAATACAGTTTGATTTGCTTTTTAAGGAGCTCAGATTATTCTGGTTTTGAGTAGGAAAGGCAAACCAGTCTAGCTCGTCTGTCAAGTTGAGAGAAACAGGAGAGCTGAAGAAAGTATTGCACAAGCTCATTACTAGAGCATCAGCCTTTCACATTTCCTCTTGTTCATTGACAAGGCAGTGGGACATAACTCTAGCATAAGTTTTAAATGTATATCCTAAACTTTGATTTCAACAAGATAATACAAGAACTGGTCTGATCTAAGGGAACATCGTGCACTTCCCAGTTAACAAAACATTTGTTTTGAAAACGAGAATTTTTACTATCAACAAAGAGATACTTAAAATAGTATAAACTCAGTTGCTTGGTTTTGTGTAAATCAGACTAGCCAAGACACTTAAAGTTAGGCTGAAATCACATACTGGAAGTATTTGTTTTTTTTTATTGTAAACTTTTTATTGTAAACATTTTATTTATAATTGTGTACAGGTGTGTGTGTGTGTGTGTGTGTGTGTGTGTCTACATGTGAGTGTGTGCATATAAGGGCAGGTGTCAGCCTAGGCCAGAGGTGTCAGCTTGCCTGGAGTTGTGAGTTACCATGTGGGTGCTGGGTCCTCTAGAAGACACAGCAAATACTCTTTTTTTTTTTTGGAATTTGGGCATCGTTCTTTCCAAACTACTTCCTGCTAGTAAGGGGCACTGTCATGGGGGATTCGAATAAGATTCAGATATCCTGGCTGTAGTCTGTAGGGCTGTTTTGTCTAGCTGTTTTGAATGTAGGATCACCTTGTACTATGTTTCAGGCGGTCTGGCGTGATCAAACCACATTAGTCTGGAAGGAATCCACATCTTTTCATTTTCTGTGGAAACAAAAATAGAAATCCTTTTCCCCAGTAACTTGTCCTTCAACTTAAATTTTGGAGTCAAAGCATTTTTTTTAAATTTAATTTATTATTTTACATGTCAACCCCAGTTCCCTCTCCCTCCCTTCCTCACTCCCTCCCCCCATCCCTCTGTCCCTCCTTCCCTCCCTTTTACCCTCTCTGCCCTCTCACATGCACTCTAAACACCCTCCCCTCCCATCCCCTCACCCCAATTCCATATGTGGGGGAATGCCATCCAGTTGGGGTCATGTAGATCTGACAGGTCCTGTGAAGTAGGAACTAGGGCTTCTCTCCTATCTCTAGATTAAGGCAGTTATCCCTCCAAGGGGGATATGTTCACAAAGTCCTTTTGTGCACCACTGTCTGAGGTCTCTTAGACTACTCAGTCCTTCTGGCTGAGACCCATATTCAGGGGGGCCTGAGTCAGTCCCATGCTGGCTTCCCAGCTATCAGTCTAGTGGCCGTTAGCTCCTCCTTGGACAGCAAATACTCTTAACTGCTGAGCAATCCCTCCAGTCCCCCTCTTCCCCTTTTTGAGATAGGTTCTCTCTATGTAGGCCTGGCTATACTGGCTATGTAGACCAGGCTGGCCTCAAACCTACAGTGATTCACTTGCTTCTGCCTGCCAGTGCTGAGATTAAAGGCGTGTGCCACTTGCCCATTCTTATTTCTGACTCAGAGGAAAGCACAGAACTTATAAGTCTTCTCTGATTAAGTCCAAGTAGACTACTGCACTGTCACAAGCCAGGGAGTCATGTGGGAAGAGGGAGCTTTAATTGAAAAAAAGGCCTCTATTGGATTTTTCTGTGGTCAAGTCCATGAGACATTTCTGGATTAATAATGATTGATTTGGGAGGGCCCAGCCCATTGTAGGCAGTGCTGCCCCTGGACAGCAAGTTCAGAGACCCCTGGGAGGCAATATTCCTCTCTGGTCTCCAATTCAGTTCCTGCCCTGACTTCCTTTCATGAAGGATTATAAACTGTAAGCTGAAATAAAACTTTGTTCTCCCCAAGTTACTTTTAGTCATGACGTCTATCACGGCAACAGAAACTTAATTAGATCGGACAGATGTCCTTCAGAGAGTGCATTGGAACTGATGGCTCAGCACATCATTAGCAGTAACACCATCATTCATTACTAACATCTTGTTAGCAATACTGGTGGGTCTTATTCTGAGGAAAAAAGTTTTTAAATGTGCCAATGCCTGGCAGTGGTGGCACACATCTTTTTCCCAGCAAAGGAGGCAGAAGGATGGGGATCTCTGAGTTCAGGACCAGTCTGGTCTACAGATCGTGTTCTAAGACAGCCGGAGCTACACAGAGAAACCCTGTCTTGAAAAACTAAAAACAAACAAACAAATAAATAAAGGCATGTTCCTATGTACGGTTGATTTAACATTAAAACGGAGTTACATGAAGTTAGCTATGTGAATGACAAGTTTCTTTGATTGTTTCCTCAAACCAATAATATTGGTTAAGTACAAGTACATACAGAAAGAGAGAGAGAGAAATAGAGAGAGAGAGAGAGAGGAACATGAAATAATGAGTACATCACTGCCCAGAAGTAATTACTTGTGGCTTATTGCATAGGTTTGCTATAAGCGTGACATGTGAAAATTTTACTTTTTAATGTAATAAAATATCATGGGTACTTTACAGTGTTGTTAACAGAATACATAATTTTAACTTCTATTTAAGAATGATACAAGACTGGCCAAGTAGCTCAGTGGGTAAGGCACCCGCCAGCAGAGATCTGAGTGACCAGCTCTCAGAAACTGGGAGAGCCAACTCCTGGAAGCTGCCCTGGCCTTGGGATGTGTGTCATGACATCCATATTCACATAGATACACACAGTAAATAAGTGTCAAGGTTTTATCAGTTGATACTTCATAATGCTCCTATCGACTGCTTATTTAATTTCTTACATGCATACAACATATTTGATCAAATTCAAGCCCCTACTCCCTTCCCTACCCCCACTATCCCTTTCTGCTCCTAACTTCATGCCCTCTGTTTTTAAACCCATGGAGTCCACTTAAGTGCTGTGTAAGATGGTAGAGCCCTCTGCTGGAGCGTGGGTGACCTGTCAGGCCTGATCCCTGAAGGAAACCCACTCACCCTCTGCCAGGAGTCTCTCTTCAGCTGGGAGATGGTCCCAGCTGCCATCCATGCTATGATGTTGTCTGGCTCACAACAGACATTAAAACAAACATTCTTAACCACATAATTTTAAACTCAGAAGAATTCTGGCGTTATTTGTAATAAACTGAATTCTAAAATCTTTCTTCGTAAATATGTGGTGTGAGATAGCCTGAAAGTTGGTTCAGCCTTGTAATGGTAGAGATAATGGGAAATGATTCAAGCAAGTCTTATTTTATGGCACATTCTGCTCTTTAGTTTTAGAGAAATAGAAACTTCATATTTGTATTTAACAGCATTGACAGATTTTGATTTGTTAATCTCTTGGATCCTAACTCTAAGTTGGTTTATTATTTAATTTTCAGAAATAATAATCTATGAAATTAAAATTTCAGTCATACAGACATAGATGCCATCGTTTTCGTACTATTATACAATAGTATTTTTATTTTTCATTTTTGAGTGGAAGTGCAGAGAATGGGGTCTTACATAGCCACCCTCAAACCTTCTGTTTCTACCTCCAGAACGATGGGGTCATGGGCAGATGCAGCCACATCGGTTTTGTGGCACTGGGAAACACCCCTCCCCTTCTCTCTCTTTCCTTGCCCTCTCCTCCTCTCCACTCCCCTCCCCTTCTCTGCCCACTTTCATGGATGCTATACAAGCAGTTCTTCAATGAGGTCCATCCCAGCACATACTAGAGTTTTAAACAACAGCATCTTACCCAGTTGGGTTGTTATAATAGTGCTACCCAGGCTGGATGGCATAAGCAGAGACTTCCTCCTCTCAGTTCTGTGGTGGGAGTGTCCTAGATCTAAGGCTGGGAGATTTGGGGCTTTGAGGGTCCTTGTCTTGCCTTGCAGATAACTAGCATGCATCTCACTACACCTCAGCATTTCCCGGGTTCATGCCTGCAGAGATTGTGTACATCTGTTGTTCATACCATGTCTCTGATCTGTCATTGGGTCCCCATTGCATGACCATATCCAAGCAATCCAAGCATAAGCACTTCCCAGTGGCTCTAATACAAAATAACATCTTATTTGGGCTTGGAGTTCAGTTCTCAGCAACAAACAAACACACACACAAAATAATCTATGTGCATATGTGTTGTATGTATGCATGCATATGTATGCATGTGTTATATATACATGAATGTCAGTCTAGAGACTACCACATTTTATTGGTGCTCAGCATACCTTTCACATTTTCACTATTTTGAAATTTGGGTGAATAATAGCCAGGCATGATGTGCATGCCTTTGATCCCACCACTGGAGGGGCAGAGGCAGGTAAATCTTTGTAGATTTGAGACTTGTCTGGTTTACATATCAAGTTCCAGACCCTGTTCCCCATGCCAAAAAAAGAGAAAGAAATCTGGACGATTGATAGTTAGTGACACCCTATTGGATACACTTAATACACATTATTCACCTTATTAAATACTGTAAGTATGCAGTGTCCATTTTCATTTTAGTTATTGCCTTAGTCCACCATTTGGGGATCCATTTTCCTCTTGGTGAAAGTTTGAATCCCCTGCCATTGATTTATAAGAACATCCGTGGATGGCCTCATCAATCTTACGGATATATAATGTCTTGTATTTGCATTTGGCTTACTCAGTGAGGCTGACCAGCGTTTAGTGGGGGATACACTTCATCTTTAGTGTCTGTGAACTTTGCTCAGTTTTCTAGTGGATTGCAGGCTGTTCTTTGTCTTGGATATGAGTTGCATTTATTTCCCCTAGTCGGCCATTTATCTTTTGTCTTTGCTGTCCAAAGCTTTTGCCATCAATAGTTTATGATGAACATAAACTTAATGCTTAATGCTTTTTGTAGAAAGGCCTTTTCTAATCTTGAGCCTTATTTTTTAGATATGTTATTTTTTCTATTTTTTAAAACAAATTTTCACATTTTTTCCTTTTTTTAAAAAGATTTTTATGTATTATGTATACAGTGTTCTTTCTGCCTGCACGTTGCCTGCATGCTAGAAAAGGGTGTCAGATCTCATTACAGATGGTTGTGAGCCACCATGTGGTTGCTGGGAATTGAACTCAGGACCTCTGGAAGAGCAGCTGGTGCTCTTAATGGCTGAGTCATCTCTCCAGCAATATTTTTTTCCCTCTTAAGTGTCTATTGTCAACCCAGCCTGGCTCAGCAGTTGAGAGCACACACTCATCTTCCAGACCATCCTTTTGCTCCTAGTACAAGTATAGCTCACAGCTGCCTAACTCGAGCTTTGAGAGTCAACACCACCTTCCTGCCTCAGCCAACACTGGCAGTCTTGTCAAGTGCATACACTCACACAGACACACACTCATGCACACATTAAAACAAGTCCTTTAAAAAGGAATCCCTTGCTTTCTTCCCTCCTACGTCCCCACCCTTTCCTGAGGTCATCGCGTGCTTACTGTGCACTCACTTAGACCTCCTTTTTGTACTTTTGTAGAGATGCACATACCTACACATGTAAAGAACATTTTGTTGCAGAATTTCATCCTATGCAATACATTGCAAATTCCTTTTTTTCTCATCAGCTCTGTCTTAGCGTTCCGTGATAGCAGTATTACTACTGCCTCATCATTCTTCTAATGGCATGTGTACTGTACAATAGATACATTTTATTTAACTACCCTGATACTACATGTAGTTTATTTCAAATTTTTGCCATAGTTCCATAATGGCTATGTATACATATGTATGTGTGTGTTCATATATATATATATGCATGTATGTATATATACAGCTTATATTTATAAGGTATATAGCTTTGCTTTTTTAAAAATTTGTGATAAATCTCATTCTAAAATGTTTAGTAATTTCATACTGTATTCTTACTGGGTAAGGAAATTTGGATAATATGACATGATATTGACATCTTGTAATGATCTTATCGTTTTAGATAAAATTCGATGCTGGGACTCTTCTTCTTAGTACACACCGGCTGATTTGGAGAGACCAAAAAAACAATGTAAGAGACCTCAGCTTTTAGCATCTAATTCTGGGCTTTGTTTAATTAATTGTGTAAATCAGGAGTGTGAATTGGAACTGAGGCCTTGACTATGCTGAGTGTGTGCTTCAATCACTAAATTACACCCTTGGCCACCCCCATTTAAGATTTTATTTGCCTTCTCTTGTTTGTTTTTGTTTTGTTTTGAGACAGGATTTCAGGATTTTACTCCCTAGCCTAGACTGACCTTGAACTTGCTATATAGACCAGGCTGACCTCTAACTCAAAGAGCTCTCTACCTCTGCCTCCCCCCGTGCTGGGATACTTAATTCTTAAGCTTTCAAATACCAGTTAGAGTTGTTTTGATTTGTTTGTTTGTTTGTTTCTTATAAGAAATATTACATCAAAGTTTTTTTCATGTGAGTTCATTTTAATTTGAAACCTGAACAAAGCAAATGGAGAGTTATTTTACTTTGGATATGGATCCTGCCATTCATATTTTACAAAAAAATGTACTCAATTTTTTTCATAAATTTTACTTTCGTTGGTATAACTATAAAAACAAAGGTAATTACAATTGTTTTACTTTACTTAGAAAAGATTTATTGATTTACATATATGTGCTCACGTGTAGGTGCAGTACCTATGGAGGGCAGAAGAGGGTGGGCATCCCTGGAACTAGAATGACAGTTGCCCATCATATATGCTGAGAACTGAACTCTGCCCCTCTACAAGAGCAGCAAACACTTTTAAATGCTGAGCCATCTCTGCAGCCCCATCTTACTTATATTTTTTGCGACAGGATCTTACTGTATAACTCAGGCTGGTCTTGAACTCCTTGTCTTCCTGTCTCAGATTCCTGAGTACTGAGATTAGAAATGCATCACCTTCTGATTTAATTGCATGTTATTTATGTGAGTGTGGGCATACCACTGTGCACTTGTGGAGGTCAGCGGATGATAGCTTGCAGACTTCTTATTTCCCCTGTGTGAGTCCCAGGGATTGAACTCGGGTTTAAGCTTTGGGGCAGGCGCTTTTACCCACTGAGCCATCTTGCCACTCCTACACCTGCTTTTAAATTTCTCCTTATGTTCTCCCATGCATCAAAATGCCAGCACAGCATTTTATTTCAATTTTCTTAAGTTCATTAAGGAGATTGGGAATGTAGCTGTGGTAGAGCCCTTGCCAGGTGTGCGCTTTCCTGGCCCTGGCTAAAGTGAGCAGTTTAGTTAAGGAACAGAGCATTGATGTTTTCCTCACAGAAGAATGGCATTCTCATGTTGCCATACTCAATCTTCTGATGTGTGTAACAGAGCTTTTATTTTTATTTTTATTTTTTTTCTGTTGTTTCCTCCTAGGAGTGCTGCATGGCCATTCCTCTGTCCCAGGTCGTGTTTATTGAGGAACAGGCAGCTGGGATTGGGAAGAGGTGAGGTCTAACAAGTTTTTTGTTGTTTTGTTTTTTCAAGACAGGATTTCTTTGCATAGTCCTGGCTGTCCTAGAACTCACTCTGAAGACCAGGCTGGCCTTGAACTAACAGAGATCCACTTGCCTCTGCCTCCCAAGTGTTGGGATTTGAGATGTGAGCCACCACTGGCCAGCACAAAGTTAAAAAGTCTTTAGTCACAAAAAACCATTTCTTATCACAGTATTAGTAGGTTCCTTAAAGTTATTTATTTTTTTTATATTATTTTCATTCTTGAAGTCTTAATTTGAAGTCTTAATAAAGTAGTAAGGTTTGCTGTTAATATCCATGGGTCATAATAAATAATGTAGCTCTGCTTTAACTAATAGCAACACACTTTTAATTTCAGCATGTGGGAGGCACAGGCAGGTGAATCTCTGTTGGAGGCCAGCCTGGACTACATAGCAAGTTCCAGGCTTGCCAGAACTGCAGAGTGAAATCCTGCCTCAAAACAATACATAAATAGTAAGTAAATAAACAAATGAAAAGATTTGAAAACAAAACTAGTGATTTTTAAAAATGGTCAACATATTTGCTGTTTCATTAGTGCCAAAATTGTGGTTCATCTGCATCCCCCTCCGTCCAACAAAGAGCCTGGTCCATTCCAGAGCAGTAAGAACTCCTACATCAAACTCTCCTTCAAAGAGCATGGCCAGATTGAAGTAAGCTTCCTTATGAGTACAGTAAGACGTGAAAGTGTGTGTTGTGCGTTAATGTGATAGGAGGAGACTGTATTATGATTGAAGGTGTGTGTTGTGTTAAGGTGATAGGAGACAGCACTGTGAAGTATACCAGGTTTTAAACACATTTTTACAAAAATAAAACAAAAAAAACCCTTATTATGTTTTGAGCCTTACCAAGTGAAAAGCAGGGGATGTGGTTGCATGGGATCTGAAGTTGGAAGCCTGCTAAATAATGGCAGTCAGCGGCTAGAGAAACTGTTAGTGGGTAGTTAATGAGGCAGCAGAACACAGCCTGGGGAACGAATTCAAGTGAACTCTGAGAGCTCACCACCAGGGAGCTCCGGTGCAGTGACCCAGTGTCATGGTTAGAGGACTTAATTAGGACATTGCTGGACACTTGTTTTTTTTTTTTTTTTTTTTTTTTTTTTGATTTTTTTTTATTTAATTTTATATAACAAAGTCCAATTAAATGAAAACAAACATTTATACACAATATTTGGGAATTTGGGCGTCGTTCTTTCCAAACTACTTCCTGCTGGTAAGGGGCGCTGTCTTGGGGGATTCGAAGAAGATTCAGATATCCTAGCTGTAGTCTGTAGGGCTGTTTTGTCCAGCTGTTTGGAATGTAGGATCAGCTTGTACTCTGTTTCAGGCGGTCTGGTGTGATCAAACCACATTAGTCTGGAAGGAATCCACATCTTTTCATTTTCTGTGGAAACAAAAATAGAAATACTTTTCCACAGTAACTTGTTCTTCAACTTAAATTTTGGAGTCAAAGCGTTTTTTTTTTTTTTTTTTATTATTATTATTTTACATGTCGATCCCAGTTCCCTCTCCCTCCCTCCCTCCCTCCCTCCCTCCCCCCAAGCCCTCCCTCCCTCCTTCCCTCCCTTTTGCCCTCTCTACCCTCTCCCATGCACTCTAAACACCCTCCCCTCCCAACCCCCCACCACAATACAATATGTAGGGGAATGCCATCCAGTTGGGGTCATGTAGATCTGACAGGTCCTGTGAAGTAGGGACTAGGGCTTCTCTCCTATCTCTAGAATAAGGCAGTTATCCCTCCATGGGGGATATGTTTGCAAAGTCCTTTTGTGCACCAGGGATACATCCTGGCTCCACTGTCTGAGGTCTCTTAGACTGCTCAGACCTTCTGGCTGAGACCCATATTCAGGGGGGTCCGAGTCAGACCCCTGTTGGCTTCCCAGCTATCAGTCTAGTGGCCCTTAGCTCCTCCTTGTTCAGGTAAGCTGTCTCTATGTACTTCTACCGCATGGTCTTGTCCTCTCCATCTGCTTCTGGGTTCTAGTTTGACTCAGTGTTTATGTATGGGTGTTTGCCCCTGTTTTCAACAGGCATTAGTTGAGGACTCCATGGAGAAGTTAGTTGTTGATCTCACTCTCCGGGAAGGGCATTTATGATAGCCTTTCCATGGAAGCTGAGATTGTTAGTTGGGAGCAGTCTTGTAGTTCCCTCGACCTTTCTTTGTGTTCAACTTTATCTTCAAACCAATATTGGCTCCCTCTTTTATGTTCTCTCTCTCTGTCTCTCTCTCTCTTTCCTATTTTCCATTCCTAACCAGGCTCAATCCTCCTGGTCGCACATGCCTTCCTCTCCTCCCTCTCATTTTCTCCTACTTCTCTCTCCATTAGCTGTCCTCCCCCACTATACCTGAGGTCTGGGGGACTTGTCCCTTCCCAGTTCTGTGAGGGACTTTATATGAATCTCTTAGAATACAACTTGTATCCTAGTTCCTCTGGTGATGTGAATTATAGGCTGGTGATCATTTGATCTAGGTCTAAAATCCATATATGAGTGAGTACATACTGTGTTCCTCTTTTTGTGACTGGGTTACCTCATTCAGGATGGTTTCTTCAAGTGCCATCCACTTGCCTGCGAATTTCAAGATACCATTATTTTTTTCTGCAGAGTAGTATTCCATTGTGTAGATGTGCCACATCTTCATTAACCATTCTTCAATTGAAGGGCATCTAGGTTGCTTCCAGGTTCTTGCTATTACAAATAGTGCTGCTATGAACATAGTTGAACAGATGTCTTTGTTGCATTGATGTGAATCCTTTGGGTATATGCCTAAGAGGGGGATTGCCGGGTCCTGTGGTAAACTAATTCCCATTTTCCTGAGGAACCGCCATACTGATCTCCAAAGTGGCTGTATGAGTTTGCACTCCCACCAGCAGTGGAGGAGTGTTCCACTTTCTCCACATCCTCTCCAACATAAGTCATCACTGGTGTTTCTAATTTTAGCCATTCTGGCAGGGGTAAGATGGTATCTCAAAGTTGTTTTGATTTGCATTTCCCTGATAGCTAAGGATGTGGAGCATTTTCTTAAGTGTCTTTCAGCCTTTTTGATTTCCTCCATTGAGAATTCTTTCTTCAGTTCTGTACCCCATTTTTTAATAGGGTTATTTGGTGTTTTGTTGACTAGTTTCTTGAGTTCTTTGTATATTTTGGAGATCAGCCCTTTGTCGGATATAGGATTAGTGAAAATCTTTTCCCAGTCAGTGGGCTGCCGTTTGGTCTTGTCAACTGTGTCCTTTGCCTTACAGAAGCTTCTAAGTTTGAAGAGGTCCCATTTATTAATTGTTTCTTTCAGTGTCTGTGCCCCTGGAGTTATGTTCAAGAAGCGGTCTCCTATACCAATTTGTTCAAGGGTACCTCCTACTTTCTCTTCTAAGAGGTTCAATGTGGCTGGATTGATGTTGAGGTCTTTGATCCATTTGGACTTGAGTTTTGTGCATGGCGACAGACATGGGTCTATCTGCAGTCTTCTACACACCCTCATCCAATTGTGCCAGCACCATTTGTTGAAGATGCTGTCTTTGCCCCATTGTATAATTTTAGCTGTTTTGTCGAAAATCAGGTGTTCATAGGTGCGTGGATTAATATCAGGATTTTCAATTCGATTCCATTGGTCTACCTGTCTATTTTTATGCCAATACCAGGCTGTTTTCAGAACTATAGCTCTGTAGTAGAGCTTAAAGTCAGGAATGGTGATGCCTCCTGATGTTCTTTTATTGTATAGGGTTGTTTTGGCTATCCTGGGTCTTTTGTTTTTCCATATAAAGTTGATTATTATCCTTTCAAGGTCGGTGAAGAATTGTGGTGGGATTTTAATGGGGATTGCATTGAATCTGTAGATTGCTTTTGGTAAGATTGCCATTTTTACTATGTTTATCCTACCTATCCAAGAGCATGGGAGGTCTTTCCATTTTCTGGTATCTTCTTTAATTTCTTTCTTTAGAGTCACAAAGTTCTTATTATATAGATCTTTTACTTGTTTGGTAAGCGTTACACCAAGATACTTTATGTTGCTTGTGGCTATTGTAAAGGGTGATGTTTCTCTGATTTCTTTCTCTGCCTCTTTGTCGTCTGAAAAAAATAGGGCTACTGATTTTTTTGAGTTTATCTTGTATCCTGCTAGTTTGCTGAAGGTGTTTATCAGCTGTAGGAGTTCCCTGGTAGAGTTTATTGGGTCGCTTATGTAAACTATCATATCATCTGCAAATAGAGACAGTTTGACTTCTTCCTTTCCAATTTGGATGCCCTTGATCTCCTTTTGTTGTCTTATAGCATTAGCTAGAACTTCTAGTACGATATTGAAGAGATATGGAGAGAGAGGACAGCCTTGTCTTGTTCCTGATTTTAGAGGAATTGGCTTAAGTTTCTCTCCATTCAGTTTGATGTTGGCAGTTGGTTTGCTGTATATTGCTCTTATTATGTTTAGGTATGTTCCTGTTATCCCTGACCTCTCTAATACCTTTATCATGAAAGGGTGTTGAATTTTATCGAAGGCTTTTTCTGCATCTAGGGAGATAATCATATGGTTTTTCTTTTTCAGTTTGTTTATATGGTGGATCACGTTGATAGATTTTCGTATGTTAAACCATCCCTGCAATCCAGGTATGAAGCCTACTTGATCATGGTGGATGATTTCTCTGATGTATTTTTGAATTCGGTTTGCCATTATTTTATTGAGTATTTTTGCATCGATGTTCATCAGGGATATTGGTCTGTAGTTTTCTTTCTTAGTTGTGTCTTTGTGAGGTTTGGGTACCAAAGTTATTGTGGCCTCATAAAAAGAGATTGGCAATAAACCTTCTGTTTCTATCTTGTGGAACAGTTTGAGGAGTAGTGGTATTAGTTCTTCCTTGAATGTCTGGTAGAATTCTGCACTGAATCCATCTGGCCCTGGACTTTTTTTCGTTGGAAGGCTTTCGATGACTGCTTCTATTTCATTTTGGGTTATAGGTCTATTTAAGTTGTTTGTCTGTTCTTGATTTAATTTTGGTAAGTGATAGTTATCCAGAAACTTGTCCATTTCCTTTGAATTTTCAATTTTTGTGGAATACAGATTTTCGAAGTATGACCTGAAAATTGTCTGGATTTCCTCTGTGTCTGTTGTTATGTTCCCCATTTCGTTTCTGATTTTGTTAATTTGCATGTTCTGTCTCTGCTTTTTCGTTAATTTGGATAAAGGTTTATCAATCTTGTTGATTTTCTCAAAAAACCAACTCTTTGTTGCATTGATTTTTTGTATTGTTTTCCTGGTTTCTATTTTGTTGATTTCAGCCCTCAAGTTGATTATTTCCTGGCGTCTGCTCCTGCGGGGTGAATTTGCTTCTCTCTGTTCTAAGGTTTTCAGTTGCGCTGTTAATTCATTTATGTGACTATCCTCTGTTTTCTTCATATGGGCACTTAGTGCAATGAACTTCCCTCGTAGCACTGCTTTCAAGGTGTCCCATAAGTTCGGGTATGTTGTATCCTCATTCTCGTTGAATATTAGAAAGTCTTTAATTTCTTTCTTTATTTCTTCTTTGACCCAGGAGTGGTGCAATTGCACATTGTTAAGTTTCCATGAGTTTGCAGGTTTTCTGCTATTTGTATTGTTGTTGAATTCCAATTTTAAAGCATGGTGGTCCGATAAGATACAGGGGACTATTTCTATTCTCTTGTATCTGTTGAGGTTTGTTATGTCTCCTAGTATGTGGTCAATTTTAGAGAAGGTTCCATGTGGAGCAGAGAAGAAGGTATATTCTTTTGTCTTTGGATGGAATGTTCTATAGATGTCTGTTAGCCCCAGTTGAGACATAACTTCTGTTAATTCTTTTGTTTCTTTGTTGAGTTTCTGATTTGTGGTCCTGTCTAGTGTTGAGAGTGGTGTATTGAAGTCTCCCACTATAAGTGTGTGAGGTTTTATATGAGCTTTGAGTTTTAGTAGTGTTTCTTTTACGAATGTGGGTGGCTTTGTATTAGGGGCATAGATGTTCAGAATTGAGACTTTGTGTTGATGGATTTCTCCTGAGATGAATATGAAATGACCGTCTTCATCTCTTTTGACTAGTTTTGGTTTGAAGTCTAGCTTGTTAGATATTAGGATAGCTACGCCTGCTTGCTTCTTATTTCCATTTGATTGGAAAATCTTTTCCCAACCCTTTACCCTGAGGTAATGTCTATCTTTGGAGCTAAGATGTGTTTCTTGTATGCAGCAGAAGGATGGATTCTGTCTTCGTATCCATTCTGTTAATCTGTGTCTTTTTATAGGTGAGTTAAGACCATTAATGTTGAGGGTGAGTAAGGACCATTGATTGTTGATGGTTGTTTGATTTAGGTTTGTTGTTGGCAGTGGTATTGTGAATATATTTGTTCTGCTTCACCCTAGGTTTCTGGTGTAGTTGGATTATCTGTTGCCTACATTTTTGTGGGCGTAGTTACCTTCCTTGGGTTGGAATTTTCCTTCCAATACTTTCTGTAGGGCTGGATTTGTAGATACATATTGGGAAAATCTGGTTTTGTCATTGAATATCTTGTTCTCTCCATCTATATTGACTGAGAGTTTTGCTGGATATAGTAGCCTAGGCTGGCATCCGTGTTCTCTTAATACTTTTAGAACATCTATCCAGGATCTTCTGGCCTTGAGGGTTTCCATGGAGAAGTCAGGTGTAATTTTGATAGGTCCGCCTTTATATGTTACCTGTCCTTTTTCCTTCGCTGCTCTTAATATTTTTTCTTTATTCTGTATGCTAGGTGTTTTGATTATTATATGTCGAGGGGTCTTTTTTCTTTGGTCCAGCCTATTTGGGGTTCGGTATGCTTCTTGTACTTTCATGGGCATGTCCTTCTTCAGATTTGGAAAGTTTTCCTCGATGATTTTGTTGAATATGTTTTCAGCACCTTTGAGCTGGGCTTCCTCACCTTCCTCTATGCCTATTATTCTTAGGTTTGGCCTTTTCATGGTGTCCCACATTTCCTGGATATTGTGTGTTAAGGATTTGTTGGATTTATGGTTTTCTTTGGTCGATGAATCTATTTCTTCTAGTTTATCTTCTGCGCCTGAGATTCTCTCTTCCAGCTCTTGAATTCTATTGGTTATGCTTGTGTCCGTGGTTTCCGATTTTTTGCCCAGCTTTTCAATTTCCAACTTTCCTTCCATTTGTGTTGCCTTTATTTTCTCAATTTCGGTTTTCAAGTCTTGAACTATTTCCTTCACCTGGTTAATTGTTTTTTCTTGGCTTTCTGTACTTTCCTTAAGGAATTTGTTCATTTCTTCCACTTTTTTGTTTGTTTTTTCCTCTATTTTTTTAAGGGATTTTCTCATATCTTCTTTGAGGGCCTCTATCATTTTTATGATGGTGATTTTTAAGTCGTACCCTTCTGCTTCCTCTGCTTTGTTGTTGTGTTCCATTCTAGTTGGTGTAGATTCCCTAGATTCTGGTGGTGTCATGTTTGTCTTTCTGTTGTTAGGTGTTCTCTTGTATTGCCTTCTTCCCATAGTTTCTTCCTGTAGGTGTTGGTAGTGTCTCTTCCCTCTCTCTATGGTCCTTCCCAGATGGGCTTATGTGGATCAAAGATTCAATGTCTGTATCTCTGTGTGGTCCACGCTCTCTAGGAGGCTTCTCTCTGGCCAATAGCCGGCAGAAGAGGACGAGGGCTGGACTGGAACTTGAGAAGGTTTTGCAGGGTAGTGGGATCTCACTGGAAACTGGCGCTCTCCAGCTGAGACCTCGTTCTTTGGCAGGGGCCCGGATTTGGGGGTCAAGGATCTTGCCTGCAGGAACTCCAAGTGGACCCGCAGAGATAGGCGGATCTCTCTGGACACTTGTTTTTAAGACATATGTAGATACATTCATGTCCCTGCTAGCATCTTCTGCTGTCTTCTGCAGCATCCCACAGAGTGCTTCTCACACAATTTCAAAGTCAGTTGAAAGGAATTCTGCCTTAGTTAGGGTTTCTATCTCTGTGAAGAGACACCATGACCACAGCAACTCTTAAAAAGAAAACATTTAGCCGGGGCTGTCTTACAGTTTCAGAGGTTCAGTCCATTATCATCATGGTGCAGAGCATGCAGGCAGACATGGTGCTGGAGGAGTAGTTGACAGTCCTGCATCTTGCAGGCAACAGGAAGTGGTCTTTGACATTGAGTATAGCTTGAGCATAGATCTCAGAGCCCACTCCCACAGTGACACACTTCTTCCAACAAGGCCACACTTCCTAAGAGTGCTTCTTCCTTTGGGGGCCATTTTCTTTCAACTCACACTTGCTAAAGGTGTTTTCACTGTAGTTGAAAAATATGTTGGGTTTTTTTTTTTTTTTTTTTTAATGAGCCTAGCCACATTTTGTCCCTAATTTGTCTTTGCTTTTGTTTTATTTTGTTTTTTTGAGACAGAGTGTTACATTTCCCATAGTAGCCTTGAATTTGTTATGTAATGAGGGTAGCCTAGAACTGCTCCTCCTGTTGGAATTATAGGTGTGTCCTATTATATATGGCTTAACTAGATATATTCTTCTCTGCTGCTTTTATGAAAAATAGTTATTTAATTTTTTTCTGGACTGTTTTATTTCAGTATAGGTTGAAAGTACTCCACATCTGTAAGATTGTTTAAAGTGAGGGTGTTTACTGAGGGTTATTCCTTTGTGGGAAGGGCACTCCACTGTATATGTAGGAGGCCAGTTCGTGTGTGTGTGTGTGTGTGTGTGTGTGTGTGTGTGTGTGTGTGTGTGTGATGGCTGCCATTTGACTGACTTAAGTGTTTGCATATGCATTACAGTTTTATAGGCGTTTGTCAGAGGAGATGACACAGAGAAGATGGGAAAATGTGCCAGTTTCCCAGTCATTACAAACAAATAAAGGACCCCAGGTATTTTTTTAAGCTATTTGTAAGGGTAATGCCTTCCTTTTTGTTTATCGTCTTAAGACAGGGTGACCTAGAACTTATGTGTAGCCCAGCTGTCCCAGTCTTGAAGTGGTCCTCCTGCTCAAGCCTCCTAAGTACTGGAATTATGAGTGTGAGCCACAAGGCCCAGCCTATACAGTGTTTTCATCTCTACTTACGTAATCTTTTAAGAAGATTCTAACCATGTGGTTGTGCATACCTTTAATCTCAGTATTTAGGAGGCAGAGGCAGGAAGATCTCTTGAGTTTACAGCTATCCTGGTCTCCAGATAGAGTTCCAGGACAGCCAGGGCTACATAGAAAGACCCTGTCTCAAAAAACAGATGGAGGAAGAGAAGGAGGAGGAAGAAGAAAGAAGATGATGAACTCTCTGTGATCACACACTTGTCAAAAACCAAAACAGTAGAGTTCTATTTTTTTAAAAAAAATGAATTTTCCTAGCAATTAGTCTGAATCAATCACCCAGTTGTGGACAGGCACTCATATGTGAGGAAATAGCTTGGTTAATAACTTTTAAAATATAAGAATTTTAGCTACAAGTTTTATACATTTGATAAATTATTAATATCTAATATATGATAGATCTCCAAAGAATAAAAAAATGAATAAGAAGTTTAATTATACCCAAATTACAAAGAAAAGCATGCATACCATTGATTATAAATTAAGTTTTTCCTTTAGTATTTGAATGTCATTATGTGCAGCCAGAAAGAGACAAATATTTTCAAAGGAAGCTAGATGCATTTGTATGCTATTTTCTTTGTGGGTTCTTTCCCACCTTTGAAAAGTCAGTGTAGTTTACAAAGGGTTTTGTTTCCTTCCGTTTTGTACTTTTTATGATCTACTTGGTTTTTGTTTTTTCAGCCAGGAAGAGTAAGAGCTGTAGGAATTGTAGGTATCGAAAGGAAACTTGAAGAGAAAAGAAAAGAAACTGACAAAAACATTTCTGAGGTAATCCCTAAACCTCCTCTAACAGCTGTGACTAGTTCCATTTTGTATTTTGGGATGTATTTAGTTTGCCTAAAAAATCTATAGTCTCCCATTTCCTGTGACAGATCTACCTCACTTTGGCACATTTTAACAGTTTTTTTGTTTGTTTGTTTTCACACTTACAAGGAGGGTATGGAATAGTGAACTGTTTTCCTATTACTAGGATTCCTTTTTCTGAAGGTTGTTGTTATGTTCAAAATAAAGTTCTTCTTAATTTATGAAATAAGCTATTCCGTCTCAAGAAATAAATTATTTCCATTTTTGTGGATTCTTGTGCCTCAAAGAATTCTCCACAGACATTATGTTCTGTTACAGTTCTTGTTCTCCACATATGAACCTATATGAGAAGCTGTGGTTACTGTCACGGTTTACTAGGTAGATAGGCAAACTGGCAGTATTGGCATGTGAGGCACACTTGGTGACAAGAAATCCCAGGATCCAGAAGGGAACCATGACAGGGCCTTTGATGTCTGTTGGGATCAAGGAAGACCTGTTAGCAGCAGGAAAATGGGATTTAAGGCCAGAAGGATGGGTAGTGTTAGCAATGCCAACAGGGATAAGAGATCCAGGGAAAGGAATGAGTTATGCAAAGGCAAGAATCACCAGTAATGAAAGAAAATTCAAACACATGCGAATCATTAATGAAATGGATAACCAGAGCAGTGACTGGCAGTCAGTCCAGACCAGCACACGGTGTCTGTGGGTTTAAAATATAACTGCAAAGGAAACTTGACTGTGGTGTGGAAGACAGAATGTGTATGTGCATCTGTCTGTCTGGCTTTAATTTTTATTTTATATACCTTCCCACACTTTTTCTGGTAGTTTTCTGAATATAAAGTTGATAATAATAATAATAGAAATAAAAGCAAGGAAGCTTTTATTTGAGCATTGTAATTACTTAAAATGTCTTATAACCAATTCTTTGTAAGCACTGTGGTATTTACTTTTATTTTTATTGATTATAAGTGATAAAGATTGTATTCTGTGTAAGTTCAATGTTTTAGTATTTTTTTGCAGTAAAAACGTACAATAGTGATTTTTATACTGTTTTTACTTAAACAAGTAAAATAAATCTATTAGCAGTTTGTGTAGTAAGTGTGAAAGTCTAAGTTTGCACTGTGCATCTTTGTTCTAGTTTTGGAAACAAGGTTGGTGTGTGATTTAAATGTTAGAATTGACTCAGTTTCATAGCTGGTGCCCGGAGCCTCCCACAAAGGGCTTCCTGCATCTGCTGGCTCTGCCTGATAAGAACCCAGTGTCTAAGCCTTTGTTTATCTGAGGAAATTCCTGTGAGGTGTGTGCACGTTCCTTTTGTTTTCAATGTTAGCTTAGTGAGCTGGCAATGAGGATCTTACATGATTATTCTTACACTATTCTTTCAGCAAAAGAAAAAAGGTTCTGCAGGTGGGTGTGCTTTCCTGATATTGGCTCAGCTGAGCAGAACCACAGTATGTCAGACCACTGTGTACACTGAGTTTTCACGTAAGGACAAGCTGCTTAATTGATTCTTAAAAGAAAGGAAGAAAGAAATAAAAAAGAAAATATCCGTGCACACCACTTATTTGAGAAATTCTACAGTGTAGTTTCAATAACCTGAAATAATTTATTAGAAATATATATGACTGGGTTTGAAGAAGCCCTTGAAGTGTGGACATGCTTTAGTGGTTTTATTTAATGTGTTTGGAAGGCATCTGGATCCTTTGTGTACAGTAGCCACAGTATACAAAACTGTGTCATGATTTAATATTCTGAGACTAAGGCTCAGTTATAATTATATACAAAAAAAAAAAAAAAAAAAAAAGTATTCCTGCAGCTGGGTCATTTTCAACCTGGAAAGCTTTTTACAGTCTTTAGTTTTTGATCTCCAATCAGAAAAAAAAAAAAAAAAAAAAAAAAAAAAAAAACAGTGACTTTCTTTTAACAGTGTGTGTGTGTCTGTCTGTCTGTGTATCTGTGAGTGTGTGTCTGTTATCGATGGCACAATCCGGTGTTCTGGACCTCACTGGTGCCAGAAAAGCATTCTGTCACTGAGACATGCCCCAGATCGAGATTTTCTTGTATGTGTCTAAGAACAGTAAATAATAACCTATGAGAAGTTTGGTTGTAGTTTGTTTGAGGAAGTTTACACTTTCTTGAAGTAGACTTTCAAAATGAGAAAGATGTGTTGCTTTGATATTTGTAAGAAAATGTTATGTTGCTTTAAATGTATCATTGCTTTAAAACATTTTAATTCTTTAAATTCTTTAATTCTTTAAAAGGATCATAATGCAAATTTCATTTCTCATTTTAGGCCTTTGAAGATCTTAGCAAGCTTATGATTAAGGTATGTGCCACATGCTCCACTCAGAATCAGTCATGATGATCTTGTAGGTATATTTTCTTACAAGAGTCTTTGCCCTTTCTTTTTCAGGCTAAGGAAATGGTGGAATTATCAAAATCAATTGCCAATAAGATTAAAGAGAAACAAGGCGATGTCACAGAAGATGAAGTGAGGACACTTTTATCTTTGAAGGGGTAGATGCCAGATAGATTGCAGTAATGATCTTGTGGTTGGCCAGTTCTCTCTCCCTCCCACTGACCTACACTTGTAGCTTCTCACACTTTGCAGCCTTTCAAACTTTTTTTAAAATTACACTTACTTCTGTATTGGGGTGTGCAGCAGCATGTACTTGGTGGTCAGAGGACAACGTGCAAGAATCGATTCTCCCCTTCTATCATGCAGGTCCCAAACATTGAGTTCAGGTGTTCAGCTGGCAAGCACAGCTGCCCACTGAGCATCTCACTGGCCTGCTTTCTTAGTATAATGTGTTTATTTCTTGCATGTGAAAATGCTAAGGAGAAACTAGATCATATTCTTTTTCAATAGTTCTATGTGGGCTCAAGATTATTCAGTGCTCTTTCTTATGGTGTAGAAAATAAAGCTATTAAAACGTCTATAGAGTGGCTGCTCCATACATATCTGTGTTTGATGTCGGCTTAGTTAAGTTTGGCTAACCTGGTCATATCCACTTTTTCTTAGTAAGTTTTTAGTTTTAGTTTTTTGTTAGCATTAAAAATAGCATAGCTATTACCTTTTTCTCACATAAAACCTTGAAAATAAACAGTAGGAGACAGGTGTAGAAGGAAGGAGAATAACTAGATTTCCTCAAGGAACAACTGAGCAGCTCACAGCATGGAAACAGAGAAGACATGGCTATAGAGAAATAGTTGGGCCGTGTTAAAGTTTATGATGAAGAATTTCAAATGTTGTGAGGAGAAACTAATTTTACAGTCTATTGATTCATTTCCCACCCTCTCTCATAGACCATCAGGTTTAAGTCCTACTTGCTGAGTATGGGAATAGCCAACCCAGTTACCAGGGAAACCTATGGCTCAGGCACACAGTACCACATGCAGCTAGCCAAACAGCTGGCTGGAATATTGCAGGCACCTTTAGAGGTAGGTAAATTCAAACCCCAGGATACTTTGAAATTCTGCTAAATTATTTCCATGTCATCAGAAATCTCAAGAGCCTAACTGTTTCCATTGAGTTATTAACATTGGCTTAGTATACTTACTAGCTTTTGACTGTAATCTTCAAAATTGCTTTTAATTTCCATTTCGGGTGTTTATGCTTTTTTAAGTCTGTTTGGTGGGGAGTTTTCCTGTTTTCAAAAGATCTTTCTGTGAATAATTATGTTTCTCAGTAGTCTATATTTCGTTTGTTTTTGAGACATGATCTTATTTTGTAGCCCAGGCTGGACTGAACTCACCATCCTTCTACCTCCGCCTAAGGGCTAGGATTATACATGAACCACCATATCTGGCTATATCTAGTTTTTTTTTGTTTGTTCTATGTTCCTGGTTGCCCTGGAACTCACTGTATAGACCAAGTTGGCCTTGAAAGGTCTGCCTGCCTCTGCTTCCTGAGTGCTGGGATTAAAGGCGTGTGCCACCATGCCTGGCCTCATAGCTGGTCTTTATAGTTTCTGCTAATAGGTCTGTACTTTACTCCAATAAAGCACTTTTTATGCTATCTTTTAAATATATGCCAATATAAGCATCATAGCAAATCTCTGTGTGCTCTTCATCTAGCTTTATCAGTAAATCATCCTCCACCTAGAATTATTCTAAAGCAGATTTCAGATCATCTTATATGTAAATATTCTAATACCTATAATGATAGAAAACTACTTTAAATACAACTACAGTATCATATTCTCACTTAAAACACTAGGAACCTTAATTTGAAATGTCAGGTCTGTGTTCACATTTGCTCTTACAGTTTGCTTTCTCGCATCCAGATAAACTACAATTGGTTAGTTATTCTCAAATTTCCTCCCCTCCCCTCCCCTCCCCTCCCCTCCCCTCCCCTCCCCTCTCCTCCCCTCCCCTCCCCTCCCCTTGCCTTCCCTTTCCTTTTTTATGGTGGTTGTTTTGGTTTGGTTTTAATTTTTTGTGCTTATGGTCAAACACAGGGCCTTGTATATTCCAGACAAATATGGTATTTGCCTAAGCTGCAGCCCTAGCCCCAAGTCTATTTATTTATTTTTATTCCAACTTGTTTGACCGATTATGTAGTATTAACATGTTTGTCATTCTATGTGTTCCCTGTAAACTCTTATAAATAGCAGTTTTTTATGACACTAATGTCTTATATAGAGGATGTTGTACATTTCTATCAGTAGGTATGTAGTAGTATCTATCTACCTATACATATATATGTATACACACACATATACATTGCTAGCTAGATAGTTAGCAGCCATTGGCAGTTATTACCTTACCTATGTAATGTTATTATGTTATTTCATTAGGGCTTGCAAAAATTATGATATCGCTTAATCTATTCTTTTTTTACTAACTGAAATTAGTTAAAACATTAAATAAACATAAAAATTTGTTAGCATTTAGTGTGCCTTCCTTTGAGAGACTCCAAGCCACCAAGGCACATGGTCTTCAATACCCTTAACATCTTCTCAGCCCTCCTGCTAAAGAAAGAATCAGAGAAGTTCTCCAAAATTCTGCCATGGCCTCCTTGTACTTGCCAGTGATGGGGAGGCTCTGGGCTTATTTGTGGCAACAGGTATCCAAGTCTGATCCCTGACTGATATCCACAGTTTATCAAGGCGCTGGTCCCTCTTACAGGGTTTTGCCTCATGCTGACCTTCCTGAATTAACCAAGGTGATGCTTGTGGAAGCTTGCCCTTTGGTGGCACATGCTGCCAGCATTACTCTGGCCTCTTGGGTATTTCTAGTGTGGCTGTGTTATATATGGCCCCTGAGTTCTTAGGTCTTTCTTAATCTGAATCCCGTGTCTGCAGTCAGGAGACTAAGTACAGTTTTTGAAATGTGGTATAGTTCTCCTCTTTTCATCTAAATTATATTAAGGTCCATGTATAGAATTTGAGGTACTTCAAAGCATGTAAATAGGCTCTCTTGGGTATAAATACAGCTTTTTAGAAAAGAGAAATGTAATTTGTGATTTCGCTCAGATTATGATTTCTGTTAAGAAATGCTGAGCTAAAAACTTGTTTTTCTCTCCCATTTAAACAGGAACGTGGGGGAATAATGTCACTCACAGAGGTGTACTGTTTAGTGAACCGAGCCCGAGGAATGGAAGTAAGAATGGCATATTTCGATGGTCTTTTAGCTAAAGGTAGAACTCCCCCTCTAGTGAGTACACATTGAGGAAGGGTGTGAGCATCAAAGCTATTTTCAGAAGCAATGTGGTGAGAGAAAAAGTTTTGCCAGTGACTGTGCTGGGTGACCTTGGGTGGTGCACTTGACTGCCTTGGAACTCTATTTTGATACCTTAAAAGTAAAGGTTTGATGTGAGTGACGCCTGTCAGCTCTCTGTTCTGTGTACTGAACGAATGGATGCTTTCCCTCTGCAGTATTTAACTCTTTGGTTTCTTGGTAGATAGTACAGAGGCAAAAGCCGCTGCCCTCCTTTGGCTGGGTACCAGTAGGAGCTCTTCTGTAGGTCCCTTTGCCCAGTCACACCCAGTGCCTTGGCCTCTGAGACTCTCCTGATGCTCTTGGTGCCTCAGCAGTCCAGTGTAGACTTGTGTAAGCAGTCATATGACTCACCAATTCACACCATCCTGTCATCAAGTACACGATTGTCCACGAGGCACACACCAACAGTTAGCTAACTTACCCTCTGTCACTCCTACTTTTACTGTCCTCACCTGGAAGGTAACTTGGGGATGAGGGAATGAAGGAGAGACAGTGGTTTGACAAGTGTTGTACTTAGGCTTAGCTGGCTCTGGAGCCATCCCGTGGGACTCAGACCTATGCTTGTGCCTACCACAGTGCAGATTTATTAAGGCTGCACTATTCAAAAGGAAAACCACTAAGAGCTACATAGAACTGTTGTGAATTTATAAAACAAGTGTAAAATAAGCAAAGGTCAGTATCCATTTCTCAAAAGCAATTTTTGTTTATTTATTATTTATTCCAGCGAGAGCTTGAGCCCGTGGCCTTCACACATGCAGGGCAGGGATTCTATGACTCAGCTCATCCCAGCCCCTTTTCTTTTTTCACTTTCATGTGGGCTCTAGAAATTGGGAAGTCCTGGATATAATCTGCGTCACATCTCCATTGGATGGTGCCACTGAATGCTTCGTGGTTCTTTGTTTATCCTTTCGTCCTTGTAATTGAGTGACTAACATACTTGAGGAATAGTACCCTTTCTACTTTATAAAAAGTGTTTTAAATTTATTATTAGAGAAAAACTTGAAAATAAAAATGTTACATACCAGATCCAAAGTCTGTACAACTCAGCAAACTTCTTTATAGTTAGAGTTGGCATTCAAAATGGAAGCTGAGGCTTACCCTTTCAGAATCAAATATATTTTTTATACTTATCCACCATGAAAACCAAAACTTTCATGGCAGAATAATAACTAGAAAAATAGCTTTTTATCCTTTTTCATAACTCGTGTCCATCACCTACATTCCATTCCTCTTCATCCCCTTATGTATTTAGCCCTTTTTGTTCTCTTTTCTTCCTGTCACATACTGTACACACACACACACACACACACACACACACTCACACATATGAAAGAGAACATGTAAGGTTTTTTTCCCTAGAATATATGACTTCAGTTAATATTGTATATTCTAAGTCTGTCCATTCCCTGCAATTTTTTACTTTTTTTTTAAAATCTTAGTAACATTCCATATGCATACATACTTACATACACACACACACACACACACGTATATACATATATATGAGAAAATTTAATATATGAATATACCAAATATTTTATAATTATATATATTTCATAAATATATACATATATATCAAAATTTTATAATCCAACTCTCTGTTGATGGACAACTAGATTGAGTTCAATTCTTTGCTCTAGTGAATAAAGCAGCAATAAAGGGGTGCAGTCCTGTCTCTGCAGGGTATGGAGCTCTCTGGGTGTGTGCTCAGAAGTGGACTAACTGGGTCATATGTCATTCATTGTCTTCTTATTCCGTTTTAGTGGTTATTACAATTATAAAGGACCATTCTATTGCCTTGTGGTGTAAACTGGATTTCTTTTTCTCATTAGTTGCTCTCACCAGAAGATTTAGTGAATGCATGCAAGATGCTGGAAGCCCTGAAATTACCTGTCAGGTAAAGGAATCTCCACAGGAGGTTTGCCAACTGTAACCATAATTCTGCACAGAGGAGACCTGAAAGACCACCCATGCCTGCCACTGCATGGCAAGCCAGATGATGTCCTCCTGAGGTTATGCTATGTGTGACCTGAGTTCCCCTGGTACTGCAAGCATCTTCATCTTGTCAGGGAGGGCTGTGTCCTGGTATAAATCATATTAAGATTTGTAATTTCAGAGGGGAAATGCAGAAGAACTCACCTCTGAACCTTCAGCTGTACACATGCTCAACTCTGAACTGCATTCTCCTATCTTCGGGCTGAAAGCACCCTGAACCAGAGAAACTTTTGTCATGTAGATTGTGGTTCACAGTTTTATTGTCGGATAATTCTTGAGTTCTTTAGTTCTGTTATGGTTACATGTAGTCATTATGGCCTAAGCGGTGTGTGGTCATCCTCAGGCCTAGCCATTAAGTAAAGTAGTGCATGGCTTGCTTCCCCCTTGTGGTTGAACATCCTAGACAAATCTTCTCACATCTGTGTTTTTCAGGCTTCGGGTGTTTGACAGCGGTGTCATGGTAATTGAGCTTCAAACCCACAGAGAAGAGGAGATGGTGGCCTCAGCACTAGAGACAGTATGTGAATTCCATTTCCTTCAGTCCTTAGAGCTGGCCACAAAGACTGGAGCAGCAGCTGGAGAAGCAGTGCTCACTGTTGAATTTAGCTTCTCTAAAACATCACTCACAGGCTCAGTGCTTTGTGACTGACAATGATGTGTTCATTTAACCAGCATCTGTAGTAAAAGTTGTTGAGGTTTTTGTCTCCCTTAACATCTCAGTGAGGTGCTTGCTTTCGCACTGCAGCTCAGCATTGGGAACAGGTTTTCTAGTCACATCCTTTACTGGACCTTATATATTATAACTCTATGGGCCCCTTACCAAAGCCTGTACCACACACAGTGTGCTATGTTCCTTTTAGAACACCTAGTAGCTTTTTCTAGACTTTTATGCCATGCCTTCCTACCACATGAATAGCTGTGTTGGTATATAACTTCTGTTCTTCCTGTTGGAAGCCCATTGTTGTTTGTAGAGTTGAACCGTTAAGATTCAGGTCTGCCGGACTAGAGGGATGACTGAGGGTTTAGAACACTTATTCTTGCAGAGGACCTAGGGTCAGTGCCCAGAACTTTCATGGTAGTCCACAACCATCCATAACTCCAGTTCTAGGAGATCTCACCCCCTCTTGATCTCTGTGGGCGCCAGGCACAAATGCGGTGAGCGTCTCTGCAGCAGAACACTCATGCACAGAAAGATAAATCTAGAAATAAAAAACACCTAGTTTTATAGTGACTATTTAGATTTTAGTAGAAAACCCAGTCTAACATTTTCTTTGTATACTGTTAAGTATTCCTCTAAGTATACTAAAATCATCATGGTTGTTGGTGTTTTGCTTTGTCTTGTTTTGGTTTCTGTTGTGTGTTGCCCTTAGGTTTCAGAAAGGGGATCCTTAACATCAGAAGAGTTTGCCAAACTTGTGGGGATGTCTGTCCTCCTGGCTAAAGAAAGGTATGTAAACCCTTGCCCCTTGCTCTGCTGTGTGGTATGTTTCTGGATGAGCAGATCATTGTGGGGTTTTTCTGCTTTGTTCCCAGGCTGCTACTCGCAGAGAAGATGGGCCATCTTTGCCGAGATGACTCCGTGGAAGGCTTGCGGTTTTACCCAAATTTATTTATGACACAGAACTAAGAATTTTGTATCTGATGTACCTTTTGTCAGTAGACTTGGCATTATGCCAAGATCATATGATATTGAGCTAAGAGATGAATACAAATAAACCAAGAATTTGTTAGAACTTCACAATATAATATAAAACTCTTAATCTTTCCCTAAAATTATGGTCTCAGAAATGTATTTAGGGTACATATAGGAAAAATACAGAAAAATGAATATGAATATTCATTTAAAGTCATGCTATAGTTGTGTAGAACCCTTGGAATTTAACTTGAAACATGGAGGATTTTAATTTTATCCTTGAATTTAGGTCCTCTGAGGAAGAAGTAAAGTTGTATGTTTGAATCACTCAGATAATCATTTTCTGTGCTAAACTTCACCAAATTGTAAATGTTTTTCTCTGCATCTAATGTGTCCATCTTGGGCATTCATGAAGGAAGTATTACCTACACTCACTGTAGTTTAAGAACCATAAACACAGAGTAAAAGGTCAAACTGCAGAGTGGCGTGCCAGGTCTTCCTTGGCTTTGGAAGCAGACATAGGTGTGTCTCTACCCGGTCAGATAAAGCCCTTTGAAAAAGGAGACAGCTAGGTCTAATTTACTTGGAGAGTATTTGCCTAGAAGGCAGAGGCCTTGGATTTCAGCTCTACCACCCAAGTAATGGGGGGAAAAGAATGAGAAATGGCTATGCATTTATTCCTCAGGTTCTTTTTAGGTTTTAAGTGATAATTTCATGACCGGCATTTTAAAAGACTGCAGCAGTATCATTTTGTTTAAGAAACATGGATTTTGAAACTGAATTAAAGAGCTATATGGACACACCCAGAGTTGAAATTACAAGTCTGAGAGTTGGACAGTTCTGGAAGGGCATTAACTGCATAGGACCTTAAGTGCTCTTGGAAGCCAAGGATGTGAAGTAGGAAATGGAAAAGTTGGCAGATCTCCTTTCTCCTCTCACAGGGAATCTCAACATTCAACTAGAAACATTCCTGTCAAAGCCCAGCCATTTGCCCTTCTCATGCCCTACATGCTGTAAGTTGTGTGGAGGAGGCATCGGAGAGAAAAGTTTTGTTGATAGCAAAAACTGGCTTTATTGCCTAGAGATTGCTGGAGTTTTTAACTGAGTTGCCTGACTTCATACGTGTAGTATGTGGGCATTACCTCAAACTCAGGGAGCCCTATTAGAGGCTTAGCTGGAATTGGAAGGGCCCCAGAACTACAGGGAGGGGTGTGCCCAGGCCAGGCACACGGGAGCTTGAGGATACTCTCTGGATGAGGTGGAGGCCACCGCAGATGCCCTGTGGAGAAGTGCCAGTGTCCTCAGCTGTAAACCAGGGAACCCCACCCCGATCCTTCCTGGGAAGTGGCTGCCCATTGCTTCTTCCTCCAGTATCATGAGAATGCTGTGGCCAGGGCAGCCTCCCTTAGTCTTGTTTTACAAATCTGTCACTTATTTTCAAGTGTAGTGACATCTCCCCTAATCACCTCATTGTTTAGCTCAGGTTTACTATATGGTTAATTCATTGTTGGCTGCTCAAATGTTCTAGGGGTTGGTTACCATTGTGTCAGTTTATTAGTGTGTCTCACATATCTCTCTCAGCCGCACACAGTCTGTCACATGGCTCTGGCAGACTTACACACACACACACACACACACACACACTTCCTCCCTCTCTCTCTCTCTCTCTCTCTCTCTCTCTCTCTCACACACACACACACACACACACACACATCTGACTGAGGTTCTTTAAATCAATTACTGATAATCTGTTCTACCACTTAGATTTATTGTAAGGTTGACAGCTTATAGGGGCTGCTGAAAGTAGCTCTGATGGTTTGGATTCATCACAACAAACACATAATACATTTGTTCATTTAATGTGACAGCGAATTAACAGGAAATGGAGCAATCTGATTTGTATAATGTGAATGAAAGATGAAAAATGACATAAATACACTTTGAAAAAGTCACATAGATAAAAAATGATTTGTTTTTTATTTTTGTAATCACTGTTTCCATACCTTGGTTTATCTTGTTGGCTTTTTTTTTTTTTTTTTTTTTTTTTTTTCTCTTGCCAAATGTGTTGCTTTGGTCCTTTAGGTACAGGCTGTGTTTAAAAACAAACCAATCAAGCCCTGGGTGCAAAATATTCGACTTTGGTGCTCATCACTGTATAATTTTTTTTCTCTCACTTTCTCTTAGGAAAATGAATCTCTTTGTAAGTTTATAATGGAATAGTTTAGTTCCTGTAAAGAAAATAAAGAAAAAAAATTTACATTATATAATTGAAGACTGTTTCCAGAGTTAGATGATTAGTGGTAATGTATATAGAGTCAAATTGTTGTGAAACTTTAAACTAATTTTTTTTTAACCTTAGTGTTCTTTTTAAAATTCTCTGTAAAATATATGGAAATGATAAATGATCAGTCACATAAATCCAGTATGAGAATTTTCCTATTTTATAATTATTAAGTAGTGCTTATGAGTTGTCTTTGAGGTTTTATAATGTTATCTTTAAAAATGGGAAACGAGTCATAAGCTTTTTAAAGCTCTTGATTCAGATCTCACTGTAAACCAACCGTGCATTCATGTTGATGGGTTACCATGTGTTTCTGGTTACTAGTCTAAGTTGGTCAGAACATGTGTTTATTAGTTTCACACACACATACTTAAAAGTTTATCTTTTGCCCAATAATCTCTGCATCTTCATTTTGGTACAGTGGAGTCACAACTTGTTAGGTGGCTAGGTTTTAAAATCTTTGCCTAAGGTCAAAATAAAGCATGCTCAAAATGACCCCTGAGAAGTCTCTTGAATTGCTGATAGAGTTCCTCCTGTGTTCTTACATTGGGAGTCCCTAGGGAATGATATGCAAGTATGAGTTCATTATGCATACAGTAAACACAGTATATGATGATGTGCATGTCAACAGTGGACTTTTGGGGGGCGGATGGGTTGTTTTGTTGTTGTTTTTCATCTTTAAAACCCATGAAGTACAGTTTCTGCTCCCCATATACTCCTGAATATATAGCCTTTACTGCAGGGTGATTAACCCATAAATGGCCACGCCCTCAAAGAAAAATGGAACCTCTCTTCCCAGCAGCTGTTGCCAACAACTTCCTAGCCAGGGGTGGGACTTCACTGAGCTTGTGCAGGTCTTGTGCACACTGACTCAACTGCTATGAATTCATATGTGCAACTGTCCTGCTCTATCCAGAAAGCACTGTTTCCTTATAGTTACCCCCTGCTCTGGCTCTTACAATCTTCCAGTCCCCTTCTGCTGTGATCCCTCAGTCATGGGAGGAGGAGATGATATAGATGTTTAGGACTGAGAATTCCAGTCTCTTGTTTTCTTCACCTTGACCAGTTGTGGGTCTCTGTTAATTGTCATCTACTTTAAAAAGAAGCTTCCCTGATGAGAGTTGAGAGATGCACTACTCTGTGGGTAAAATGAGAAGTCATTAGGAGTCAGTTTAGTACTATGTCCACTAATAGAGTAATAGTAGTAGGTTCTCCCCTAAGGCCTATGACCTACTATAGGTTCTCAGCCCTGATAATAGTGCCAGGTATGGGTTTCAGCTTGTACAGCAGGCCTTAAAATTAATCAGAAAGTGATTGATTACTCCCATGACATTTGTGCCACCATTGTAAGAGTGGACATGTCTTGCCAGGCCAATAATTGTTACAGTTTCTCAGGGTTCATGGCTGGGTGAGATTTGTTATTCCTTTTCTCCTCAGGTAGCATGCATAGAACCTTCCAGTGTTATGGAAGTAGGGATGAAGTTTTCATGTCCCACCTTGATGTCCCCATGTCCTGTTACTCAGGTGTGTGGCAGACACCACAGGACAACACATGAAAACCCCAGTGCCAAGAATGGGTTTCCTTCTTTGCAACTGTTGGCAAGTGAGGTCTCCTTGACCTGAGACATGATGGAGTATTGCCAGTTCTCTTAGTTAATCTCTGGAGCCCTGTTTTTATGGCAGGTTCTGGGGGCTTTGCAGAAGAATCTGACAAAGACAATGCGGTCTCAAAAGCCAGAAAATGTCAGTAAGTGGAAGAGGCAGGGCTGAGTGTGAAGAGGTCCTCATTTCTGGCATATGCCTTGGCTTGTCTAGACTTTCTTTCCTTACTGACTTCCACTCACCCACAATAACCTAAATCATACCATACCTTGCACCATCCCACCTACCCTAGAAAAACCTGCCTGGTGTGTGTGTGTGTGTGTGTGTGTGTGTGTGTACATATATTTTAAAGTCTATAAAAGTTACTGCCTGCCTCATATATTTAATTATATTTTGTTTTGTTATTTTAACTGTTGCTTTGAGGCCACAAGAAAATACTGAGTTTCTTTTAAGTTCAGAATTGGTCATTTGCCACATCCTGTATGGCTTGTGTTCCAGAATCCCTGCTGGAGTAGAGAGGGAATGAAGAAAGGACACATATATACAGACAATATGTACAGTGAAGGGACACACATGCACAGACAACATGTACAGTGAATCGGGATCAGATGGCACTCTCCAACCATCACCCAGAATCTCAGCATGCTGGGTTTTTGTTGTTGTTTGTTTGTTTTTTACATTAAGTTTATGGTTTTAATCTGTTGATTCACAGGGAAATGGTAAAACTGTGGTATGGCGTACAATGGATCATTACCCAGCAGCAAAAAGCGACATGCCACCGACCCAGGATGTCCGTGAACTAACCTCAGGACAACAATGTTGACTAACAGAACAATCCATGGCTATCCTAGGGCACATGTGGCTTGTTGACAGCAGTTTAGACATGATATACCTCTTGGCATAATTCCTCAAAAAATTTGTCTGTTTCTGTTTATACTGTTCTCCCAGTCTTTTCCCTAAGAGTTTGTAAGACATAATTGATATTCAACTAGCTGTATGAAATTTGTTGTTCTGAACTATTCATACATACATCTATGAAGCCATATTGTAGTTGTCCCCAAAGATTTTTCTCATGGCACTTTATTCTCTACCTTATGTCCAGCCTTCTCCTCTTCACCCTACTTTCTCTCCATCCATTGATCTGCTTTGTCACTACTCAAGAGTCTGTTTTGTAGAATTTTCTATAAACGGGGTCATAAGTTTGATTTGATTTTTGTCTTGTTCCTGTTACTCAACATCTCCATTCTGAGATGAGTTCTTGGAGAACTCAAGTCAACAGCATATTCTTTTTTGTTGCTGAATAACAATCCACTATATGGACCATACCACGAACCTCAGCAGAACTTCAGCACGTTTACTAGAACAGGGTGAAGAGTTGCCAGTCTCTAGTCTCATCTCTTCGTGTGAAGTCTTGGCCTTAAACATCAGGAGGAGGAAGCCAGAGTTGCTAGTCTTTGCACACACTGACCACTCATTCATAAACACTCATATTCAGGCCCCCAAGGAAAACTTTGCCATTCCTCTTGAGCCTGACCCATACAGGTAACGGTTTTGCCATTTTATGACAGGCCAGTTGGCTTTGGAGTCCTCAACAGGCTGTGCCTGTTGAAACACACATTCATTCAGGACTTCACTACTCGTAGCCTACAGTCAGGCAGCAATTCCTTTAAATCTCGCTGTTCTACATCATTGAACATACACAGTACATTTCTAATTGAGTGCTAACTTTGCTAAGTGCCTTTTGAGTTATCATCCCCTCCTTTCAGGGAGACTTCCCAACCAGCTCAACCTGTCTGAGATCTGCCCTTCTTACTCGAATTCTAAGAGATGAGCCATAGATCTTAGAATGTAGGAGGCACTCCTGTAAAGTTGAATTGCACATGTGTAAGATCTTGCTTTTGCAAGCTGTTATTATAGTGTGAAAACTGGGTCATTTCTGTTCCTCCTTGTGTCCTGATGTGAAATCACTGAGTTATGATTTCCAGACCATTGCTTATTAGAATAAAGAACATTTGTATACAGATGGTTACTAAGTGTATAAATTTTACAATTGCACATGTCACTTCAAGAGTTGATGACTCAGAGAGTTCAGGGTGCTGGAATTAGAACTCAGGGCCTTGCATGTGCTAGGTTAAGTGCTCTTTTGCTGAGCTATATTCACAGCCAGAATTCAGCGCATGTTAAAAGCCAGTTTGAGTTCAGTACTGAGGTCATACCATTCTCCTTCGAAATGGTTTTATCATATTTGTCTAGAAAAGACAGTAATATGGTGTCTTAGTTAGGGTTTCTATTGCTGTGATAAAACACTACGCCCAAAAGCAACATGGAGAGGAAAAGGCTTATTTCAGCACAGTCCATCACTGAGGTAAGTCAGGGCAGAAACCTGGAGGCAGGAGCTGATGCAGAGGCCAAGGAGGGGTGCTTCTTATTGGCTTGCCCCCCAAGGCTTGCTCAGCCTGCTTTCATTTAGAACTCAGGACCACCAGCCTGGGGTGGCACCACCCACCATGGACTTGGCCCTCCCCCATCAATCACTAATTAAGAAAATGCACTACCTTCTTACCTATAGCTGATTTTATGGAGGCATATTTAAAATTGGTGTTCCCTCTCAGATGACCCTAGCTTGTATTAAGTTGACATAAAACTAGCCAGGACAATCAGTTTGTTATGAACGATAATTAATATAAAAATGACAATAATAACGATTCCTAACAGCAGTCTTTGAACTCTCCGGAAAGAAGATGGGGTCCCACATCATCGTTTCCACTTGACTCAACCTGATGCATCGGAACTACAAACATCACCCTAAAACCGATTTGAGACTGTTTTGCTAGAGACAACTCATGACTAGCTAGCTGTAATGGTGCACCTTTTTATTACACCCTGGCCAGAGTTTCAAATAGAACTTTCTGCCACACAGTGACTAGCTACATATGTCACAGCCAGTTCTGTTGAGAAATTTGGTTGCTAAAAATTTTCTTCCTACAGGATCCATTGGAGCAATCATCGTCCCATTTCAGCAGGAAGTAATCTTAAAATAATGACGCCCCCTTTCCCTACCCTTGGAATTTTGGGATAATAGTCATCGTCTTTGGGTTGGTTTTAGTTATTTGGGATTGGGTTTATCTTTTAGACAGGAATAGGGAATGGTTGGGAAAGGTATGGTTTAGATGGGATATAGGTAGATTAGCCTATTTTCTTGAGAATTTGAGTAAGAATGATAGTATTTTACAGCTTACATTGTTGTGTATTCTTATGTGGTAAGCTATGTAAAATTAAGTTTATATTTTGTTATATTGTGTTAAATCTTTCCACTTACAATGTTTTATGCACATTATTTTTTACCATATTCTATGTATGTATACTTTTCTTGTATTCAAGACATTTTGTATATTGATACTATTTGGGATATTTATCTTGCTGCCCTTTATAGTTCTACCTCTTGTCTTGACCCTTATACTCTACCTCTATTTTAGGGATTTACATGTATGTATATGTAATAGTTATATTGTTTAAGTATTTGTTCCTGCTTTACTCAGGGAAGTTTTAATCAGTCTTTTTAGTTAAGTTCCCGAGTATTACAGATTATCTCCACTCACATTTCCTGTACCTATGAGATTAGTCAGATATAGATGCTTAATCTTCAATCACTTCATAGACATGCAGAACATGGCATTTAAATGTTTTAATATTAGTACTCCAGTGACATGAGTCACTGTTGCTCCTGACAGCACCGTGCACTTTCCCAAAAATATGTTGGACACTGTTGTTGCTCCTGCTGGAGTTTAATCTCGCCTCAGCTAATGGCCTGTTGGGCAAAGAATTGCCCCCACCTTGACCACTGATTTAGACATGCAGTCCTATGTGCTTGCAGGAGACAAATATAGAAGACT